TTTTTTCTCAATTTTCATTACGCAAATGACATTTTCAGCCATATGATTAATGGATATCTAATGACTATTCTTAGAATCATTGGATTTATATTTAGTCATGTGGTGTAAGGAACAGATGATTGAATAAATATTGATTTTGATTATTTTTTTAAATTACAATATTTTTGAAGCTGATTAAGAAAAATTATAAAAAAACAGTCATAAAAAATTCAAATTGTGGGGCAAACAACTTGAAAACAGTTGTAAACCCCTCTCAAAATTATTCAAAGACCGAAAAGATCGTTAAATTTTCTTTCGTGAACACACACATCTTAACTTTTGAGAGAGAAAAGAAATTGTTGAATTATTTCGTGACCTATAAGCAGAGCTAAACACATGAATTAATCAGAAAAAAACGGTTAAATAACGTACCTTAAAAATTTGAATAAAAATATAAGCATCTTACAACAACTTTTAAGGACAAAAGAAATAAAAATTATAATTTATTTTAAAAAAAAGAAAATAACAACAAAGAAATTGTTAAAAAAATGAATTGAAAATTTATATCTCATAACAGAAATTAAATATTAAATAAATTATCCATTATTGAAAAAGATTGTGTTCTTCTATATTAAAGAAAAATTGAAATTTTTTAAATAAGAATTAAATCGACAACAAAAATGCATAATATTTAAAAATAAATTTTGTACAAAAAAGCATAAAAATAATAAAAATTACTATAAAATTAATGTTTGAATGCAGTTTTTAATCAGACAAAATATTCATAAAATGACTAAGGATTATTTTGGTAACTGAATAGATGTTAAAGGTCACAAGATTTAAAGTTATTTTTGGAAAGGTTAAAATGAGCTTAATTTCAAATCTTTAATTGAGGTTAAAAATTCAAATCTATGCAAATTTTAAAACAAAATTCAAAATTTGAATACACAGAACTTAGCAAAGTTAAATCTGAAGTATCGATCTAATTGTTGGTGAATCTACCAATTCGATTGACAGGTTTCTGTGGTCGAAAATTTAAGCAATCTATAGCTATCTTGCTATCTTTAAGTAAACAAACCTAAGTTTGATTCCTACTAGAATCTGATTTTTTAATCAAAACATTGAAGTCTCTAAGAAAACCAAAAACTCCAAACCTTTCAAACATCCATTCAGTCACTAGCTCATCCATCTTGAATGGGATAGGAAAATGAATAAAAAAACATATTTTAAAGGAACAGCATGCAGAGTATTAAGTACAAATCGATCATAATTTACATGCTCGTATGCTTCATTTTCCTAGATGCATTCAAGACATCCTTATTCATTCACATACATAGGATCAAATTCATTCATTCATTCATTCCTCATGACTAGGTTGATCTCACTTTTCGAAAGTTGAATGAGGATTGAAAGATATGAAAACAGCAAAATTGTCGTTTTGAGAAGTGAATTCCGCCAGCAATTTTTCTTTAATTATAGTTTTGTTTCGTTTTTCATTTTTTAACTGTATCAGTTCGGAATTTTTTGGTTAAAATTTTTCAAAATTTTATTTGGCAAACTTAAATTTATATAAAATAGAAAAAAAGAATGAAAACTTTTGATCGTCAATTTGAAAAGAAGTTAAAGGATAATTTAAGACATGAGATATGTAAGGTAAATTTATTCTTAAATGTTTCTTTTGGTCGTTGAAACCTACTGTGATTGTAATATTAGAAAGAAATAAAAAAGTGAAATACAACATTATACTTATAATTTGTAAGTGAACATTATGATCTTATACGTATAATATTGTAACATTGAAAATTGTAAACGAAATGAGGAAAAAAAAAATTAATATTGACGATCATCAGTTAAATTTCTTTGTCATTAATGAATTAGAGCACTTAATTCAGATTCTGTACTATTATTTTGTTCAAAATAATAATTGGTAAAGTTTTTCTTGTTATTAATGTTCAGCCCTAAATGATTATTACACATAATTAAAGGTAATTGAGATCAGTGTCTAATATAAAGAAGAGTAACAGCTTTTTGATATATTTAGGTTCAAATTAATCTTTAATTATGCATTGAAGCTCATCATTTAAAGCATATGAATTAAATTGATGTTAATCATCTATTGCTTCTTTGCTGGTTGTGTCAATGACTTGTGAATTATGTTCTTGATTTTGAGTACTTTATTTTTGTGCTTCTGATAGCTTTTGGCTGTCTTTAGCTATTGATCAATACCGAAATGAACATTCAAAAAAAGAAAAACTTTTCCAACTATTTGAAAATTCATAATCTTTATAAAGCAAGTGACTAAACCATCAGACTAGCTTAAAGTCTATAGCTACCTAGTCTAGTCACTTGCCAATGAAAAAAATCAAACTTGTACATATAATTGCTTATATTTTTTCATAAAACCTTTGGCAAATGTCGGAATTTTTTCATTTTTGGAAAGAAGGAAGCAGTAAAGCAGTTGTAAGGCAAATGAATGATTCAAGAGAAATAAAAAAATAAATAAAAATAAGGATAAAAGGTAGATTTTTATACATGAATGATGAAGAAGTAAATTAAATTAATTAAAAACTAAAAACCACGGTGAATGTTTGAAGAAAAAAAAATGAGAAAAAAGTGAAAAAAAATGTTTTAATGATAATAAGGAGAAAAATCATAGATTAGTGGCTGCATTTTTTTCTATTAATTGATAATTTTTTTTTTTTAATTTAAAATTGAACTCACATATTATCACAATAATGAATGAAATGAAACATTTAAACACACACATTTAACAATAGAATGCCCAAAATAGACATTTTTGCATACATTTAATAAGAAAATAAACAGCAGTAGGGATTAAAAGTTTAAGGGATATGAATTATAATTAAAACTATTTGAAAGTGAGCAGATACCTAATTCCGATAAATGAATGGAAACTATAAATCCGGTTAAAGTCGATCGATTTATCTCAATGTTTTGTATGGTGACGAAAAAATGGAAGTCGAAAAAAAATTCTTTTTTGATTTTTTAAGTGTTTTTTGGGACTTTCTTGATAAATTCAAATTTAATAAATGATAAAAAAAGCAAAGAAAAGGAGAAAAAAAAGAATTAAAAAAATATCTTTTTTGAGATAGTTCTGGTAATTTCATGTAATTGTAATGGATGAAACCTTTTAAAAATAATTCTTATAAAAGATGAGAGAAAAAAAATTATTAATTGTGAATGAAAAAATATTTAATGATGAAACATATAATAAAAATTTTATTATTAATTAAAATGTTTTGTGTTCTTAACTGCTTAATTTACTTGATTTCAGGAGTTCTTTGTTTTCAGATGAGGCTTACACACTTTAGAAAATTCCCAAGATATAAAAATACTAAAATTCCTTTGCAAACTCCAAATAAGTAAATAAAGCCAATACTTAGCATGTAGTTATCAATAATTACACTGGAGTCATATTATTTCATCATGTCTTGGGTATTAAAATGCTAAAAAACGAAAACTTCCCCAAACTTTCGGAAATCCAATAAATTTTTGAGAAACTTCTGGAAGTTTGTACGCATTGTTTTCAGATATCCGTATCATTGATAGTAAGTTAAACCGAATTGGAAGATTGTTTGATTAGTTCTTGTTTTCCAGGATTGGTTTGGAATGTTCACAAGGTCTTTTATCCAACTGATGCTTATAAAAGACGAAATCATCCCATTGAACTATTAAGTATTTTTCAAACGGCAATTACATTTAATAACATTGAATTCATGTCAAACTAAAATCAACAAACGAGTTACAGGAGCTTTACATATCTAAAAACAACTATTTTAGGCGAATAATCAATGATAATTTGTCTGCTTTTATGAACACTACACTGGTTTCCTACTTGGTTCTTTGCTCAAAAAAATTTTAAGATGTTTTATTTGTATTTGTTTTAAGCACTAGAATATTTATGCAAAGTTTCGATCTATTTGGATAAACCCTCGAAGAAAAAAGTGATAAAATTGATTTTGACTAGGGTCGCCCCTAGTTCAAAATTGAAAATGTATTTCCTACTTGGTTCTTTGCTCAAAAAAAATTCGGATGTTTTATTTGTATTTGTTTTAAGCATTAGAATTTTTATGCAAAGTTTCAATCCATTTGGATAAACCCTCAAAGAAAAATGTGAGAAAAATGATTTTGACTAGGGTCGCCCCTAGTCCAAAATTGAAAATGTATTTCCTTCTTGGTTCTTTGCTCAGAAAAATTTTTAATTGTTTTATTTGTTTTAAACATTTGAATATTTATGCAAAGTTTCGATCTATTTGGATAAACCCTCGAAGAAAAAAGTGATAAAATTGATTTTGACTAGGGTCGCCCCTAGTTCAAAATTGAAAATGTATTTCCTACTTGGTTCTTTGCTCAAAAAAAATTCGGATGTTTTATTTGTATTTGTTTTAAGCATTCGAATTTTTATGCAAAGTTTCAATCCATTTGGATAAACCCTCAAAGAAAAATGTGAGAAAAATGATTTTGACTAGGGTCGCCCCTAGTCCAAAATTGAAAATGTATTTCCTACTTGGTTTTTTGCTCAAAAAACTTTTTGCTTTTTTTTTTCTATGGTGTACTTAGGTCAAAACAATTTTTTGCATGTTTTATTTGAATTTACCTAATTCTGACATAAATCACATACCAATATTAAAACACTTGACAAAATAGCGACATAATTCAGGATTAATTACTTTTTAATAATATATTAACATTTACGAGAAAATGTGGTTCAAATAAGTGTGAAGTATGGTCGAGATTTGGACCAAAATCAGCTATACTGGTCTTAAACTTTAAACAATCAAAGCATTTTAGTACTTTCAACGACATCTATTGGCAAGCACTTTAAACCTTCAATAAACAAATTCTCCAAAAATGTAACAATAAGCTGCAAAATAAGTATTAATCACTTTCCAAGATACAAATGAAGAAATATATATCAGTGTTGAGCAAATATTGAAACTTCATTGTAACACGGGTAAGTGATAGTAAAACAGAGGAAATATCAAGATAAAATAAAGAACCTTCCTTCATAATTTATTTTTTTCTTAGAAGTTAATTCGTAAAGTGTTATATTATAATGACAATAGTAATAATGATTATAATCAATATTTACATAGGATACATATGTTTCATGAAACTTTTTTTGCACACTACTCAGTTACCCATAATAAATCTGTTTTCTGTCTATTAAATCTCTCTCAATCTAATATTCAAGTGACCATTCATTCTCTTGTACAAAACCGTCAACAACTTCCTTCATTGAGTAATTCGGTATGAGTTGTTCTACACTCAATGGTACTCGCGTAACTGGATCGAAATGTCCTACAAATATAAATAATACATTTTAGACATCTTTTTATCATGTTTTATTAAATATTTTGACTTACCAACTCGCTGTAAATGTTCTTCAATGTCTTTCCTTTCATATGTGATGCCAGATGGCGTAATGACTGGTTCCTGAAGAATTTCAAAACTAATTTTACCACAGAGATAATCAGGAACTTCACGTTTACGGCGCCTATCGTCAATCTTTGCAAATAAACTATTAAGTTCTGTACTATAGTTCTCACATTGCTGTTCAGCATCATTAGCTGCTTCTTTCTTCCCGTCGTCCGATAAATTTTCGTCAATTTTAAGCTTCTCTAATCGTTCCTCTAAATCTTTCTTAATAAGACGGTTTAAATATGACTGTAGTTCAATTTCTTGCTGAATTCGCTTTTCTTCTAACAAGTTCCATCGCTTCTTTCTTGCTAATCTCAACTGACTAGCTATGTCGTCACCAAAATTAAGCTTTTGTTCTTTTCCGAGATCTTGAGCTGCAATTTATAATATTGTAATCCATAAAGTGTGACTGTGATCTTATTAGGCGAAAGCTTATTATTTATGACAATTTATAATCATGATTATGTAACAGAAAGTGCTATTTACCTCTCTGAAGGTGTTTGATTGCCTCGTCAAACGCTTCAAGTTCCATAAGACTCAAACCTAAGAAGAAATGTCCCTTAATCAAATTATTATCCATGTCTAAAGCTCTTCGACAATCCTGACACGCGGCTTCATATCGCTTCAATTTGATGTAACAAAGTGCACGATTCGTAAAATATGTTGGATTATTGGGATTCTTAATCTGTTGACAGAGCGTGGAAAATAGATTATTGGGTATGAGGCGTTTAAATCACGACATTTAATTAGCGTTTCTATATTATTTAATAATACTATGCATGCATTCACATGTTTGTAATAATAGGACAAGTGTTCTTGCGACAAAAGAATAAATCCAATTATGCTGTTTTTAAAATAAAGTCACTTTGTATAACAGAAATAGGCACAAGAGCTTAAAAATGATGAGCAAGGAGAATTTAAATAGAGATTTTTTTTCGCAATAATTTTGTTTGATGGATCAATAAATGAATTTTCAGATAGAGAATTTCACTTTTCACAGTTCCTGATTCACAGAAGGTGAATCATGCTTTGTTTCTTTACACTTAACATATCTAAAGTAAAAATATCTTCAAGTGTGTTGTGTATTTAATGGAAATGAATGAGAAAAGTAATAAGATTATTGAAAATTTTCACTTTTTTGCTTACAATTGCTTTATTATAGCAGGAGATTGCATCGTCATATTTCCTGGCTGCAAATAACTTATTGCCGTGATCCTTTAACTCTACATCACTTAATTGAGCCGCTGGTTTACTCATTTTATGAATTATTTAATTAATATCTGCGTTTTATTTCTGTCACTTTATTATTTGATTTTTTTCGATCCTTCTAAACTTATTCTTGATTGCACTTGATGTTCTTATGAATCATATGGATCTTATGCTTCCTGTTTTATGCACAGTACAACCAACAATTGATAATTGGAATAAAATAAACACAAAACTTCAATAAATCACAAAATTTTCACTTCTAGAATTTGTTTTGATGCAGTTCACGCCCCTGATATTCAAAATGTCAAAAATCGTTATTTTTTTCACTTTTTCCAGATTTGATTTGTTTAATTTCATTATTTGTAAAGGAGTTTGTTTTACTCATAATTTATTATTTTGTTCCTGTTATGAAAATCTAATAGATTATTCTTGCAAAAATTTGTGTTTTTAACTTATTCATTTTACTGGTTATTTAAATTTCAAAGTTAACATTTGCTCAAAATTAAGTTCCAAATCTCGTCAGTTTTTCTGTTCATTATCAAAGCGCATTATTATGGGCCTCGTCACCAAAAAATTGTACGTGAGTGACGCTTAGTTTTTCTTGATTATCTCCTTATCCTTAAAAGTGACAAATTTAAGAGTTACTTTTTTGAAAAGAGAATTAAAACCCCCATTCATTGTTGTACAATTCACTTCATGAAAGTTTACAGTTACTCGAAAAAATCACTTTAACTAAGCGTCACTCACGTACAATTTTTGGGAATTTTGATATAGGGGCCATTCACTTATTACGTAACGCTTTTAGGGGGGGAGGGGGGTCTAAGATTTTGTTACGGTTCAAACAAGGAAATTTTTTTTTCATACAAATTTTGTTACGAGGGGGGGGGGGGTCTAAAAAGTCATTTTTTCGCGTTACGTAATAAGTGAACAGCCCCATATCTTCAATATTGTTTATTGATATATCTTCAAATGTATTTTTTTAGGTCCAAAATTCAATTCTGTTTCTTTTGAGTATATAAAAAAATTAAAATTGCTGCATTAACATAGGGGCTGTTCACTTATTACGTAACGCGAAAAAATGACTTCTTAGACCCCCCCTCGTAACAAAATTTGTATGAAAAAAAAATTTCCTTGTTTGAACCGTAACAAAATCTTAGACCCCCCCTCCCCCTAAAAGCGTTACGTAATAAGTGAATGGCCCCATACCCAAATGGACAAAATTAAGTTAAAAAATTTTTAACGGTTTTAACGTTTTTGAATTTTTTCGGTTGTAATTTGTTTGTTTACAAACAAAATCGAAAATGAAATTTGAAAAGTCACGAAAATATCACTCAATAATGATGTAAAACTCTTCAAATATTTGGAACAGCTAATGCATCATCTATTTTTCGTATTCAAATCATAATATTTGGGATTAGTGATTGAATAATTAAGAATTTTGAGAATTTAATTTTTGATGTTTTGTATGATAGTGTTAGTGAAAAATTCCGTTCACTTATTACGTTACGCAAAAAACGTCTTTTTTCACCCCCCCCCCCCCCTTGTTACAATATGTTACAACTCACACCCCCCCCCCCCCCTGAACGTTCATAATTTATTTTATTTTGATAATTTTTTGTTCTAAAAAGACGGTTAAATTTCTTTTGTATTTTTTTCTTAAACATCAAAATACTGTACAGCTAAGCTAAATAGGTCATGTTTTGATTGATACTATTAGTATTCTCATGAATTATTGGATTGAGATATAAAGCAAAAATTTGTTTTTTTTTTTGAAGAAAATTCAAAAATATTATGCCCGATCGAATTTTGGAAAATTCAATCTACTTTGAATGTAAATATCACAATGATGGGATCATATTAATCATCATATGAATGACAGATTTAGAGAGATTTATTTTTAAACTTACGATTGATTTAATTTTGAAAATTTCCACAAATTATGATTGTATTTTTAAGTCTTGTAAACCAGTTTTCTATTGATTTGTTACAAAAACTATGTATTGCTTAGCTATCAAAAGAGATCTGGACATTCATAAATCATTAAAAAGGTGAAAAATTTTAAAAAAATGTTTTTGGTGTGAATTTGTAAACAAATTTTTTTCGTGAACTTTTTTTTAAAAGACAGACGATATTTTGAACGTTACATACTTCTTGACACCCCTCCCACCCCCCCCCCCCCCGCCTATGTTACATTTGGTTACAATTTTTCAACCCCCCCCCCCCCCCCTCCCCCCTAAAATGCGAGCGTAATAAGTGAACAGTTCCTTATTATATTTCAATAATAAAATTGTGTAACGTTTAGTTATCTGCCATGATCAGGCTAAAGGCCCTTAATTTCAATGAAGTTTTTTAAAAATTCAACGGTTTTCAAATTTTCAAAAATTAAGTCTAGAAAACGATCCCACCAAAATAAATAATTTAAAAATCTGAAAACCGTTAAATTTCACAAAAACATAAAAAGGTGCTTTAATTAACAAAGCTATTTCTCAAGAGTGAGCAACAAGACAAAGTGAGTAAAAAACAAATTATATGCAAGAAATATAGTCAAAAATATTCATTATTTATCTTTACATTGCTGTGAGTTATTTTTTGATTAAAATTATTAATAATTTTGACTATTAAGCAAGAAAATCAGTGAAATCATTGAATCAATGTAAAATATAAAGCCATCACATACAAAATCAACATCACAAACTTAGGAAAATATGAGAAAATTAATTTTAAAAAATCATTTGTGAAAGATTCAAAGATCAAGTTGCACAAAAGTGAACAATTTCCTATCATCAGCTTCATAAAGTGTCCATTCAGCCATGCACTTCTCAATTCCAGAAACAGAGCAGTTTGTGCAGAATGGAAGCAATGCATTTATAGTGAGTATACTGACATAATCAGTTTCGAAAAAGGCTATTTATAAAAGAATTAAGTCACGTTCAAAATAAGTGGACAATTTGGCTAATCGATAAGGCTCGAACGAGAAATATTGCCTTCAATATTAAGCATATTTCTTACTTAAAAGTCCAAGGTTTCATCATGTTAATTAAAATGTTCCATAAGAATGGAAAATATTGCAAAACATTCGATGGATCAATCATGTTCGTACGTACGTTCGTTCGTGTGAAACAGCTTTTGTTTACTTCATTCAGAGGTAAAGAAAAGAAAGGAAGTAAAGAGAGAGAAAAAAGAAGAATAGACGTAAATATGATTTTCTCAAATCATGACAAAATGAACAAAGTCATGCAAAAGCCTTCAAATGGTGAACAAACATTGAAAGGAATATGAATTAGATAATAGATTATTTGCTTAATATGATAAGCATGCTCTATTCTCAATAAACTCGCTAGCAGTTAAGTAATTGCTCATTAAGTAATCTCACTCGATTTCATACACAACATTTGCATGCATATCATAATATGCAGCACGTTCTTTACTCCCAAGTCATCCATGTAATCTGATAAACGTCGAGTGTCTGGTCTTAATGCATTCATATCCGAATACTTAAATTTCATACAAAAGAAGATAAACTTCAAGTGCTTCGACAAATATAGAAACACAAATGTTTTCCTTTTCCTTCTTATTCTTTCTTTAAACTCACTGTTTTGCTAATTGAGAGGAAGAGAAGAATTGCTTTTAGGTATCAGTTACGGTAGAAAAATCTGATGAATGTAAATTTATGCATTTTTAAGATAAATGTTGTAAGGAGATTGCATTCAATTGTAGCTGCAAACGATCAAATTGCAGTTTAATGAAGTTATACAGCACAACTTTAATCAGCATTCCATTCAACTTTATTTCACTGGATTTCAACAGCATTTTAAGTGTAAAGTAAATATTTTGAGTAGCTTATTGTAAGCTTGTGAAAGAATTTGCTAGTTCTGAAGTTAATTTTCGAAATATTGAACTTTTCTGCAAACTTTTGAGTTCTCTTCATATTGATACTGTTTTATAGATACTTACAATCGCGTTTAAGTTTGATCTAATGCCAAAAACTTAGAAAATAGATAATTTGTAGGCGTAAACCTATTCTATTTAAACTCTCATGACCCAGTCAGTCACTAGACAAAAATCTACATAATTAAAGAAACAAACAGCACTGATCCCTGACAAATCAATTGTTTTGTTCATTCTCAGCCAGCCCACTCGATAAGCCAATTTATCAACAAATTGAAATAATGCAATTAAGCAATAAAAAAAGCGAATAATAATTTTCATAAAGATAAGAAATCAGTCAAGACAGCATTTAAAGTGTCACTTTCCTTCACGGTTGATTTAATATCATTAATTAAGTTCAATGAACATCAAACGATGAATCATAAAATATTTGACTGAAACTTGATTGATTTCTTATTTATGATTTATTATTGAAATGTGATGCAATTTTCATTTGACAGGGCTATAATATTTTCATTAATGGAAGCTTCCATTGCTGTCTACGCTACAAGCAACTCCATAGTCTTCATGAACAATTGAAGAAATCATTAGCGAATCTCTCACTACCACAATTTCCGCCCAAAAAGTTTCTAACTCTCACTCAAAGTGAATTGGAACAACGTCGACTAGGTTTAGAAAGATATTTACAATTAAGTGAGTATGATTGATTCTCAGAATTGTTTACAATTTTTTTTAAATGACATCATCATGTCTGTGAATTTTAGTTGGACAAGATCCGGTAATATCCAAATCAAATTTACTACGTACATTCTTCCTTAGTGCACAACAAGAGTCTGCATTTATAGAGACATATGAAACCACAATAGATGTATTTTTAATGAATGAATATCGTATATCCGTTAATATATCAACCACAGAATGCTCATCTAAAGTGCTAGAAAAAGCCTTACGTGCCATCGACTTATCAGAAGATTGTACGTACTATTTTGCCTTATTTTTAATTCGTAAGGACTCAAATGGCAGTGTAACATTGCTAAGGAAACTACTTGATTTTGAATCACCATTCATATCATTACGTACAGCAAATGACTGTGAGATTGTTATTAGACGTAATTATTGGGATTCATCATATGATCTTGATTTAATGCGCGATAGAATTGCTTTGAATCTCCTTTATATCCAATCAATTAGTGATTTTGAACGTGGATGGATTATCACAAATAATGACACAAAACAGAAACTGAATTTATTACAAGCATCAGGAAATAAGAGTGAATATATGAGTATTGTTAGAAATTTACCATCTTATGGCTGTCTAAACTTTCCGAATGTCATTTGTGATTTTCCTGAAACAAACACAAATACGACAATAATCGTTGGTAATCAAGAATTGTCAATTCGAATACAAATCGGACGACAAGTACAAGAAACAAAGTTTCGTGTGACGAGAATGCGATGCTGGCGAGTTACAACTATACACAATGATAAGGATTATGATAAGAATTTAAAGGACAAGAATCGATATTCATTTGAGTTGTCATTTGAATATCTCATGTCCAAAAATTGTCTCAGATGGATTAAATTAGTTACTGAACAAGCAATGCTTATCTCTGTTTGTCTGCAGGTAAATAACAAGCTTGTGATGTTTGTCATGTTCTTTATAATCAACATACAATCTTTCAGAGTATGGTCGACGAGCTTCTAAACCAAAAGAATGGATATGACATTAACAATATTCAAAATTCACACACTTCCGATCTTCAAATTGACTACATTAGACGAGATTTTGGCTCCGTATCAAGCAGGATGTCTGATTCAGCAAGTGATGGATCGATCAATAGTTTGGTAAGCACTTTGTTAAATCTTCAAATCGAATGTCCAAATATCGATATTTGCATCCTTAATTTCAGAGTGAACTGAAGCCAATGACAAGAAGCAGTGAAGTTTCCAAAATGAAAATTAAGAAGAAAGTGTCTACGTCTGTGTTCTTTAAGAATGGCAAAGAATCTGTCCAAAATGAAGCGTTTGAAAATATTGGTGATGATGATCTTTAAACGAGATTTATGTTAAACTGGGAAAAAGCCTTATGTCGAGATTGTAATGACAGTTGATTGATGTGATCTTGAAAAGAAGTAATTCAAGTTTTTAATGAAAATGACATAATTAATCAGCATTAAGACTTTCATCAAAGAACTTTCATTATAATCTTGCAACTTTCTACAAAAATTGATTTCCATTTTAAGGACTTTTCTCTTAAAAACTATTTTTTGACGTAATTTGATTGAATTTAAACTTCTAAGTACCTATGGAATATGACAAGATTATTTTTTTATACTTATTTATCAAGCATCATACATTTAAGGTATTTGAGAGATTTTTAAGACCAGGAATATCAAGTTGTCAATTAATGTTTAAGATTCTGCCATGAAATAAAGAACCTAGAGATTATATCAAGTCAACCTTCTCTGAAAATCATACGTAACGTCTTACAATACCGTAAAGTATTTCCATTACTCAATGGTTCCGAAAAATCTCTTAAATACTTTAATTGATAATTTAAATTATGAATTTCCAATAAGTTAAATTTATTATTCTGACAATTTTAATTTATATGCATCGTAATTTATCTTGTATTATTAAATCATAATAATTTTTTGTAATAAAATATATACAGTAATTGAGTAAAGCACTATTAGTACTCGAAAATGATTGTCTTTTGAAGTTTGCATGAATAAGCTTTCGGTTGTTTTTAAACTTTTTAGCAAAATAAAATGACTTTGAGCTTTTTTGGCTAGTGTAGCTTATAAGTTCTTGTTCGAGCTTCTTAAGTTCGATAAAACCAGAGCACAGACTTGATTCAATCAAAAATTAAGAAGTAAATAATCTGAAAAACAATTGATTCTTAACCCCAAAATAAGAACTCAAGTTATTTCCACTAAAATAATTCAGCAAAAAATATAAAATCTTTATTAAATTCGATTAAAATACAAGTAAAAATTTTGCCCTTCAGCCATCACAATAATAAATTTTGAATATAAAGGAGGTAATGACCCTCTTAATGGTAACATATCAAATCATAAAATGGTGTATATCCAAATTACTAATGAATTTACGTTGAATCAGTTGATTGTGAGTTCATGAGGTTATTGATTACATTTGAAAGACCTGTAAGGTTGAGGAACCATTTTCCAAAGTAGTATAGCATAAACATTTTGAAAATGATGTCTACAGCATATTGGCTATAAGAATATAAAGAGAATTATAGCAGTCAAATATCAGAAAATTGAAAAGGAACTTACATTTTCAAGTGCAATCTTGCTCTTGGTAAATTATCTAAAGATTCTTTAAGACAATACTGACGACCACCAATAATGATGTTCTTCAAATACTCATCTTGATCAACCTCTTCTGTGTTTGTGTTAAAAATGACTCGTTCCTCAGGCGATAATGTATGGTATATCTTCTTATAATTATCAGACCTAAAGTCCCAGATACGTGTTGTGAAAAACTGCAAGACACCAAGCCCAATGTAAATCTTCTTCTGTACACGAATCATAAATCTTCTCTGACAGAAAATGAGCATCAAGAAATCAATAAGAACTGCTGGAATCCATTGGCAGAAGAAAAGTGTTAAATAATGTTTGATTGGATTCATTGTGGCATCTCCATTTGGATACCAAAGACCAGCATCAAATGGATATTCATAAGTAAGTCTCTTTCCGTCATTTAAGACTGTTCCCCAAGTCACACGTTTCTTTTCACTGCATGTAACATTGTAGACTGGAATTTTGCTTGGTCTGAAAGGGAATATTTAATTTTTATAAATGATTGGAACTTAATTATTAAGCCTTACCGTTCCTTCATTGTACCCATAATGTAAGCAACACCAATAATACCACTGATTGCCATATCAACTGGAATAACTTCAGCTGTATATTCAGATTCACACATCATTGAACGCAAAACTCCCTTTCCACCCGCAATCATGATACCGATTGGTCCATTCAATGAATCAACCCATCCTTCAAGTGGTTCCTTCCATGCTGGTGTAACAATCGATGGACGAATAATGCAGACATTCAAAAGTCCTTCATTATAAATGTCTCTGACAAGAATTTCAGCCATTCTTTTGGTATAAGTGTACGTATTTGGATGTGGCTTCATCAGAATATTACCCATTTCACTCATAGCTTCCTCACTCATCCATTTTGAGCATCTTACCAAGTCAAGTGGCTTTTGCTCCCATTCGTAAACTTCTTCGTATAAAACATTTTGGTCACAATTACAGAAAGCCGTTGATAAATGGAGAACAGCAAGAAGATCCTTCATTTCTTTACACATTTCAAGAACATTCCAGGTACCAGTTAAGTTCATCTCAACATTTGGCTTCAAAGTTGCTTCTAATTTCAATGAAGCAGCCAAATGAAAGACAACATTTGTTGTGCTGACTACTCGTTTATATTCTTCATCACTAAGTCCAAGACGATCACTAACGATGTCGCCATAAACTGGAGTAATCTTCTTAAATTGGTCAGGCATCTCCTTGACGATTCGATGAAAAACCTGTTGTGATAGAAGAAAAAGATTTTAAAATCTAAAGATTAAAGTATTAAGCAAGGAACTAACCGGAATCTGAGCGAATTCTTGAACTCTTTGTTCGCCAGTTTTACCACGCTTTGGACGCATCAGGAGGAAAATTTCTTTCAAATCTGAGCATGAGTAAAGGAGCTTCTCCAGCAACACTTTTCCCATAAATCCACTACCACCAGTGATGAAGATAGTCTTCCCTTTGAAGAATTCTCTAATTCCGCTTTCTGTCATGGTGCTCTATAGGAAACAAATGATTGAATAGAAAGAAGGTTTGAGTATCTGTGGTAAATAAATTAAGTTCGTGTATTTTGAATTACATGCTTCATTCAATAATTGAATATGCAATTTATAAAGATTTTAATTAAACATTTTCGAATCTTGTTACACTAAAGATGTGTACTTTACCATAAAGTGTGTATTTAGTAATAGCCACAATAGTTTTCCATTAAGGAAAACAATTAAAGGAAATTCCACTAAGTTAAAGAAGAATTTTAATGAATCTATGGCATCTTGAACTAACCTCATCTATTAAACCTACTCTAATTGAAACCAAGTGTGTCGATTAGACATCACTGATTAATACAGTCTTTGAGATCACATTAAACGAATAAGAAGTAAGTATTTAATCATCTAGATCTTATATTTTAACTTTTATAATGAAATTAAAATACATTTTTGGAACAAACGAAAATTCATTAGAAGTTTGCAATAATCAGCAATAACGACTTATATAAGAAATTATTGAATAGTATAAAAAGTAATTTAGGTAATTGAATCAAACTATTCAAAACACATCAAGCTTCAAATTAATTTGGAGCGAAAAAAAAAATCAAAAAGATTATTTAAGAGTTGAAGCAAATAATGAGCTACGAATGAATACACTTTTTGTGTATCTTACAGTTTGGACTTAATGCTTCAATCCGGCATCCGATTCAAATTTCGATTTTTAGGAATAACTTGGATGAAAAAATGAAGGACAAAGTCAAATGAAGAATTTCAAAGTCCAAAATGATTTGACTTATTTGTGTTAGAATTAATGAAGCTTGAGAAATCGCTAGAGTAAAGTCATTAGATGGAAATTTGACCGAAATTATTCACTTTCCATGTTTGAAATTAAGGCAAGAGGGTCAACTTTTTGGAAATTTAGAGCAGCAGTATTAAGCTACAGTAAATAGATCAAATAAAGTAAGAACTTTAAATTCAATCCAATAGATAAAAGGCAACCTAAGATCCAAAATACTCAATCTGTACGAAAGATGTTAATTGACAAGTTGACATTAGAAATCTTAAACATTTTGCAATCAAACAATGTGAAGTCACTCATAAATTGAGAGAAAAATAACAATTCCAAGAAAGCAAACTGTCTAATGTCATTAAAAGCACTTGACAAACAATTGACATTTTGTATCTTTCACTTTGTGTCTATTTTTATTTTGGTAGATGTGGTTAACATTTCATTTTTTTGAAGAAATATGGTCGTGTTCGCAAAATGGCATTGTACTCATTGATTTGATCCTTTGAAATGATAAATTTGAAAGTTTTTGAGTTTAACTTTATGAATACGATAGCCTATTACATGTTACTCCACCATTCACTTGTTTAGAAATTTCTGTCGTTTAATTTATTTGTTGTGTATTTGCATTTATGGTGTTTCATAAGCTGTGGATGCATAAATTCTTTAAAACCTGCTGCAATGGACAGTGATCCAATGCTGAAAAAGATTGTGAACTTCTTTCTAGTTAAGAGTGTTTTAAGTCTCTTTAATTCGCTTTGAAGACACAATTTGAATGTTATGAACCAGACTAGCAAGATCTATATTCGAATTGCAACTGGAACTTTACGTAAAATATCTCCATTATTAAAGATGCTCATAAGAATAATTGATTATAATGTAAGCACATCTCGTACATTTGTCAAAAACCATTTCAGCTGTCAAGTCAGCATCATGTTGAAATACATTACATTTATGCCTACATTTAACCTTTCATTACTTCTTGTACGAATTACCTTCAAAAACATACTCTGCACTTACAATTGCTTCAAGTCGTAAGTCAAAAAGCTGAACGATAGGAAACATAAGGAGAAGTAAATACTCGCCACAGTTCACTGCACGAATCTGAAATTTTCTTCTCTTTTAAAGATTTTTTTCATCTTTTTAACAGCAGTTGCATAAACATACACCGGTTTAATGCATTACGAAATATCTAGACTTTCCGCATATGTGTTTTTACAGCAAGAATACGATATAGTAACCCAGTGCAGTTAGTGCATTCATGCGCAATTTGTAACAGAAGTACTATTTACCTTTGAAACGTTGCACTGAGCCTTGAACTTGAATCTTTAGAACAACTTCGGAAGTTTATAAATTTACTTTAATTTAGATTTTTATGAAGACTTGGTGATGAACTAAGAATCTTCCAATTTTGCTATTGCCTAATTACATTTTCGTTCAACAGATTGGGTAGGTTAATAAGGCATGAAATGTCATGTGACATTTGCCAGCCAAATTACTCACAAAATCCACAAAAAAGAAGACGTTCAATTGTTGACTTAAAGCTATTTGCAGGCTTCATAACAATACTCAAAAAATCTCAATATTCAAACAACTTTCGCAGTGTCGTAAGAAAATTAGACAATCTTATTTTCAGCAACTGAGCATTTTTTTGGGAAAGCACAATTTAGAGAAATTGTTTGACTTCAAAGCAATTTTTTTAACTAATGACGGTAATATTTCGTAATTCCACGTCGAATGGTGTTTTGGTGCTTAATCTCAAGTGATCACTTCTTATAATTTTTGGCTACTCATTCATCTTCTCTTGAGCTTGTGTTTACATCAAAAAAACTTAAATTCATTAAATTAATGAAACCTTCAATTAGCCTTCATGAGATTTTTGTTACTTCATCCGAAGCATAGATCGATAGCAAAAAATAAGAAATATGAATATTTTTGGCAGTTGCTTTATGTAAGACATGGAATGTAATGAAAGTTTGGAGCAATAAGCTGTAATTGTTGTTGTGTTGGAGAAAACTGCGTGTTTTTTGGTAGAATTGATTCGATCAGCTTTGTGGGCTCGTTCACAAATGACGTATTGTTAAACATTTTATACTTATGTAAAGGAAGGGATGATCCTAAAAGTTCGTTAACCTTTTGTCTAATAGTTTGTAGAAGCTTGATGCTTTGTATAGTAACTGAATGTCATCAACTACATCATTCTTTAGGCGTCACTTGTAAATGACCCTTTATGTAATCGACTGGTGGTTGGTCCTATTTAAAAATAGCATTTATACTCAACATGTTCATTTTCAAATATGTTTTGAAATCAGATCAGGTAACTCGATAATCAAGCACCACACACAGTGTCTTAAATTATATGCTTTTCCATCACAAAATAAAAATCTCAAAACTTTCATAAGCACATGCTGTACTTAGATTGAAAAGTAACTGAAATTCATAGACAAAGAAACTGAACCGTGCCAAATGTTTGCATCTTCTTTAATGAATTTCGCTCAAACATCGCGAAAGAGTTTTAGAAAATAAATCAAGATTCATATAAAACTTAATCATAAAGTACTAATGAGTTTGCTTTTTACTGTTAACAGAAATATTAAATATTTATTTTCGCACTTGTTCAGCTATTTGGAAGCTCAGGTATGAAGATTCTTCACTAGACCCGGATTATTTTGACATTAATGGAGAGAATTCTAATTGAAAGATGTATTTTGAAATTGATGTAGGTTGAAAGATCTATGGAAAGATAGTAATCAGCAATTTGGTGTCGAATCCTAGGCTAGACATTCTAAAAACTTAGTTAAATCCAAAAATGACCATTGAGCTTCCGTGAGTTAAATTAATGCTGAATAATGATCTTTTCAGTTGTTTTACTATCAATGTAGTCTTACAGATGACTTCAAATGTAGTCTTACAAATGACTTCAATTGGATATTCATTCAAGAATCAAACAATAATTAATTAACAGTGACCATGGAACATTGTTTACAAAGAAGATGCTCATATCTTTAACAGTCAATTTAAGTAAGCACTTTTAATCATATAAGAATATGAATACTTCCGATTATTTTAAACTTAAAAGGGCACAGTTCAAAAAATATTTAATAGCACATTTATAAGTGTTAAAGTTTTATTATAATTATAGTGCTTTTGGAATTTACAAAATTATTTCACACAAAAATTAAAATTTTGGCTCAATTTGAAACATTTTAAAATAATCTTAAACTAAATCCAATTGTTATTGATGTAAGTACACAAACAAGATATTTATAGGTCAAGCGAAAGTAAGCGCTGTATCTTATTTTTCGGATATTTTTCTTTCTCTCAAGGTCCTTCCATTGCGAGTATGAAGCTCCATCCAATTAAAATTAACATTTTTGGAAATATCCGAAATATCAAAGAAGTCACACTTCTTTGATAACTTAAATGTTAACAAGTCATGGGGAATTCTATTTGATCCTTTAGAAGTAACCTTTATCAAAAATATGAATTTAGATCCTTAACTCTAGACTGTTACATTAGATTCTCAAATATTTTCAACTTCTTATTGCAATTTAACAAAAATTTTGTGAAGAAATTTGCTTAATGTAATTCAAAAATATTCGATAAAGCTATTAGAAATAAAAAATACTTACGTCGTCTTACGCAATGAATCCAATCAACGGTCCAAAAAAAAAACTTTATGTTACATGCAATGAAAAATATGTTCAATTTATAATTTTTTTTTCTACAATTGCTTCATGCAATTTTTTCGGCACACACGACTCGAAGAGCGACTTGATACTGTACGTCTGAAGCAAACCGCGGTTGAATAGTAAATAATTCAAGCAAGTAAATGTAAGTAAGCTGCGAGTACAATTTTTATTTCTCCTTTTGGTCTCTTAAGACTGCTTGCGATCACATACGAAAGAAGTAATTTTGCTTCCGTTTTCATGCTTTGTATTGAGCTATTAAGGTAAATAATAATTTTTTTGTATTAGTAAGTACGAGTCATATGATGATGATAGCACCATCGATTATCCATTTTCAATAAATCATGCACAATAGGTATTTATAGAATATAAAAGGTAGTTAAACAGTTTTTATCACATTTTTATGTGATCGCCGACGGTTTTTGCATGTTTAAATAATTTTTATGGCCAATGAGATTAACACAAATTAAAATTATTGCAGACATTATGGAATGATTTTATTTTTTATTAATTTACTGCAAGCATGAATTGAACATCTTGAGCTTGAAATGGTTTATTACTTTAATAATTGAAAATTTAATTTTGTGTGAAAATATACCGCAAAGTCAAGTTGATCAAGTCAAGTAGAAATAAGTCAAGTTCAACGATTTTTCAATGTTTAAATATCTTAGGGTTAATCCATCAATTTTAAATCTAACGGTTTTATTTGCTTATTGGTTACAGACGCTTGATTTATCCTTTTTTGACTTTGGATCATTAATATTGTTAAATTGACAAATCTTCCACTTTGAACTGTATTGATAATCTTGTGATCCTTTGTGAATTTGACATTGAAAAGTGGTTCTATTAATGAGTCGTTGTCCTATTATTATATTCCCACCCAATATCTTACATGTAAATATTGAAATTTTTAAGGTACAAAAGAAGTCATGTTAAACAATTTAATGCCTTGGAATCAATATGATGTTGTTTAATGTGTCTTCTAATCTATATGATCTAAAGTCAATTTTCATTTGATATTTTTCAAACCAGAAACTTAAATTGTTTGACAAACATGAAGCATCTTAATAGTCTATGGCATATTTGATCACGGTGTGAATATAAACTAATCAATAAAGAACCTTTAGTGCTAGTTTTTTCATGAAAACAAAAGAGAGAATCGAATCAGCTGAAAAAATATTAGAGAAAATTTTGATTTAAACTATAATAGATTCTTAACTTCATTGACTTCTTGCTTATTTCTGCATCACAAGAAAATATATTTGATTAATTGGAATAGAGTTCCAAGAGATAATTGTTAAATATGGAGAATTCGGAAACTTCGTCGCAAACCCAAAAATCTCCTTCAAAAGAAAAAGTAGAAAAATCAAGAGATTCGCCAGCAGTAACTCCATCAAGCAGCTCAACATGGTGGGGTGGTTGGATTAATCAGGCAAAGGAAAAGGTAAGCATTGTGATATTATTTAAAGACATTTCTTAGCCAACACCTCAATAATTTGACACCAATTCTTTCTTCCGTTCGCAATATGCAGTCAGCTTCAGTTCTTGAGGCAGTAAAAAATGATTTAAATGAAATTACTTCAGCGGTCACTGAGACATTGAACTTAGTTCCATCTGAAGAAGAATTTTTAAAAGAGCCATCAAGTGATGCTTCTGATTCTCAACAACAGCAGCAACAACAACAACATCCAAGTACTGTTAATTTTGCGAATATGAAGCAAAGTATTAGTTCCTCAATTTCTACATTTTTTGGAACGGTGTCGGATGCTTTAATTCCCCAAATGGATGAAGATGATGTCAGCGAAGCTATTCTAATAACAAATGATGATTCTATTGTGCTGACTGGATTTACAAAATTCCTAGCCGAGATGCAAGCAAATGACGAAACATATTTAGAGGAACCTAGCAAGACTGCAGAATTAGCTGAAAAGTATCGAATGTGGCTCGAAGTTGTTGAACAGGATCAATTCACACAACAAAGAGTTGATAAAATGCTTGAGCAATCACAAATTCTTAACGAAAAATAGTAAGCAAGTCAAAATGATTGGATTATCGAATTTACTTCTTCATTGTTCTCTTCTATTTAAGCAACAAATTTGTGCCTAATACCGTTTCACACATGAACTTCTTTAAGCGCTATCTATTCAAGAAAGCTTTATTAGAAGATGAATTGGCGAACGAGGAAAGGAGAAAGAAGGAGGAAATGGTAATAGAAAAACAACCTGAGCCAGCTGTCGTTATTGAGTCACCTACGCCAGTAGTAGCACAAATTAAACAGACACAACCACAGCCTCAGCAACAAACTACTAGAAAAAATGAAATAAATGGTAAGTTTAATTACCTTGATTCCTTTAATTACATAGGACTTATAATTGTTATGTGATTGAAGATCTTGACATAGCAAATTATGAAATATCCGAGGAAGAACAAGCTCGATTATTAGCTGAATATGAACAAGAAATAAAGGAACGTGAGAAGAATAAATCTGATGACGATATTGTAGTTCCTGACGAAGACTTAGCTGACATTGAACCGACTCCCAAGCCTAAAGCTCAAAAACCAACGAAAAAATCTACAGTGCAATCTAAAACATCCACTTCCACTTCTGCTGCCGCTGCTACTAAAGGTAAGAATATTAAAGATTCCAAAACACAACAGCATCAACATAAGTCGAATCAACAACAGAAAACAAAAAACCCAGAGAAATTAAAGACAGCAACAAAAAGAGCGGACGATCCACTGCCAATTGAGAAAGATCACTTTAAAAAGGAATCGGATACATCCACAAGCGATGAAAGTTGGGAAAAAGATTTTGACATGTAAGTCATGAATATCCTATAAAAAAAACCTTTAATTTATATATTTTAAGCATTTCGCCACAAAATCTATCTCTATTTGTGGAGTCACCTTATTGTTTTGAAATAGTTCACGTTTTTAATTCATAGAAACAAACCTCTTTGATTCCCAGAGCTCCAATTCAATGATTCATCATGAATCCTTTATTCATATTTTTTCAAATTTACCTTTAAGTTTAGCATGACTTTATTTCAGTATGACGAAGTAATTGGACATTTCAACTTTCAAGTCGTGATGTGATAAAAAATGATTGATTTGTCTTTGACATATTGAAACTTAAACATTTTCCAGTTTGTATTGATAAACTTCTTGTCTTCTTTTTGTACGCATTGCTAAACGTGTACGTATTCCTAACGTTAAAGTCGTTTGAATCAAGAAAAATCCTTAAATTTAGAAAGTTTAAAAGAAATTTCAATCATTTTTTATTACAGCACATAATGAATATTTTTGTAATTGATGCAATCTTTATTTTTAAAAATTTAACTTAATTCATAATTTCGACAGTTATTTAATAACAGATAAAAATTGTATATTTACTAATATATATAAATAAAATTATTAAAAATTTATTGAAATTATTGAGTGTTATTAACTGACTTAGTTGAGTTGAGTTCTTCTACAAGCCGCATGATTTTTATAGGTTTGGTGAAAAAGTACAGAATTATAATACGTGACTTTGGAAAATGGAACGTGTAAAAGGCTTACTAGTGGATTTGACTTAAATTTTCCTATAGCTTCTAAAAGCTGATTAAATTTGAGGAAGTTCTACAAAAAGTTTTTAAAGATTTCGATTATTTTAAGTCACTAATTTCAACATTTTTCATTTCCAAAGTCGAATGGATTCATCAATAACTTGTATGCTACATAGATTAGAGCGAGATGGGTGATTTTTGAAATACGATAGTCATATGTGTATGGTGAGTAAGTAAATCAAACAGAAGATGAAGAAACAACGAGTATTTAAGTCCAAAACTCTCTGAACTCATAAACAGTCTATACCCAAAAGCAAGCAAGCAAACAAGAAGAAAATTTTTTTAAATTAAATAATTCTTCAAAATAAATAATTAAAGGATTAAAGCACTTGAAAGTTTACTGATTATTCGTCTGTGCTAAGAAATAAAAAATTGTGTGAAAAAAAATGTCTTCAAACTTCATGAAATTGAAACAACCAGTGCAGATGGCTGCATCTATGAAAGGTGAGAATTAATTTCCAACAGACAAAAAATTTAAAAAATTTTAAATGCAAGTTGCTGTGTACATGTGCTAAGTCATGAATTAAGCCGGTATAAGTAAGACGAATTATTTGCATTTTAAGTACGAAAAAGATTTTTAATTTGCATTTTTCAACTCCATTTTCTATTTTACAACTCTACTGTGCATCGATACATGCCTGACCAAAAAAATTAGAGTAAAGAAAAAAAATAAGAAAGATTCTCAAAACTACCTCAAAGACAATTCCCAAAATTTATACTGAAAGAGATTATAAAACGGACCGAGCATACAAAAAGGTCTGTATGGGGTTAAAAAAATGCATTAACGAACGCACAAAACAGAAAAAGAGAGATTATTCAATGGCAAGAGACATTAATCACATTTTATTGTATACGTGCAATTTGGCACATAAAAAAATGTTCTCTGCATCTTTCCCTTACACTTCTTATGTCGCTTCGTTGTTGAGCATGAAAATGTTCACAAAACATTTTTAGAAGCGGTTGCGCGATGTTTCTCACGTGCACTCATTTCTTCGTTTAGTCTATGACTCTATGCGTTCGTATTATGGGGCATAATGTAATAATTTTCAATGCTGTTGCTGTTGCTAGTTCATTGCAATATTATTATGTAAGGTGCCTTTTAAGACCTAGAATCATTGGTGTAATCATCGTAATTCGTATGAGACCCCCTCCTGCTCTAGCTACACCCCTTGCCTAGAATAATTAAATTTAAAACTCCACAACATTTTTTATCGCCTTCCATTCATGCCTATAAATATTGAACTCGATAATGATTTAATATTTTTTAACTTGATCACCGCATAAACGGTAATAGCAGTGGAATAAGAAGAAAACATGAAAAAAAAAGTCTCGTGCAAAAATGAAAAATGAATAGAGCAGTTGATGTAGGTTCAATGAACATGAATGAGCGAAATATTTTCATGCCAGCTAATTGTGGAGCTTTTCTAGTCTATTTAGCTTCCATTAAATTATTAAAAGTCACAACGAATCGATCAAACAGTCAGAGGGAAATGACCTTAAATGGCTTGTGGATAATTCTGAAAGGAATTAGTCATTGTCAGATTGTAGTCATTAAGTCTAGTGGTTTTTGTGGGTCATGTTAATTTTTGATTATAATTTTCGAGTATTTTGGATGTTTACTAAGTAATTGTCATCAAAATTGAGGTTTTCGGATCATGGACGATCCACCGAAAACCAAAGAATGAGAATAATATCCTTAATTACACTTACTTCTACAGAGCACATAGTTCATGAACTATTACTGTTGCATGTCCAATTTCAACAATTTTCTGTATATGTGAGGTCAGTCAGGTATTTCAATCACGTATCCACAGAAGCTAAAAATAACAAAATTTTTCTTGTGACTGACAGGAAATTCGGAAAAAGTCACAACAAGAAATGAGCCACATGTTTAAATGAAAAACTGAAGGACACAAAAAGTAAGCGTAGCAACAGAAGAAAAGAATCTCATTTACTTAATATAGAATGACTGCAATGACAGCAAGACTGCGAATGAAACAATTAAATACGAGATTTGCTGACATGATTCTTCTTCTTGTCACTTAGCAAAAAAAAATTGAGTTGATCATGTGAGATATTTTAATTTTTATCGTCATCATGGGCGTACGTGATATCCACAATGTAGTTTTAAAGATCAAAGTGATGAAGCTATTATGCTTACTAGCTTAAAAAAGTGAATGGCATTGCATTATGTGAAAAACTATTGATGAACTCGCAAATTACAATTTGCTTAATTTTAATGGCTGCAAAAAAAAAGGAGTGTAGGATACGTGAGTCTATTGACGTTTACTCTTTTTTTTTCTCTTTCGTCACTTACTCAAAGTATACGGAAATATCCATTGGACAAAAGAAGAAATAATTACACAGCACAGTACTCAATAATGAACAAATTTGGTATGGGAGCCGAAATTTCACCGAAAATGACGATTGCACATTTTAATCTCAAACAACTTTTGGACTCTTATCAAACCATTGACTAATAATGCCTTTATTGTACCTTGTATTTACAGTTCCATCAATGACGTCAGCATCATTGATGTCAAATTTCAATAAAAGCGGAGCCTCAACGAAAGTAATGAGCTTCAAGAACACACTTTATGAACGTGCCATTGGAAAGCATTTATATAAAACAACACCAGCACATAGCAATCCTACAAGATATGGTGATTTTGAAGTATCAGGCAGAGTCAGCGATTTCTAATATGCCGCTAACTTACTCGTCATATATTTTGATACTTATTGAAACCTGAATTTGACGTAGATGTAGATTGATGCACTTAAAATTATAAAGATATGATTAATCTTTATCTACCTACTTATGGTTTGCATGAAAAAGTAATGGAAAAATTAAAGAAATGTATGAGAATATCCAGTCAGATGTGATGCAGGGAAGCTTGAATTTAATTCGTTGGAATTGGTGAAATTTATCATCGATATTACTACAAATTAGTATACGACAAGTTCAAAGAATAATGTATAAGGTCCGGAATATAATAATAAATTATCGGCATGATCGTTTTTCATTAAATTAATGAAGGATATAATGCTATGTAAATTTATTGAGCATGATACAGCCAGTTATTAATCTTTTTTTATAGATTTGTTTTCCAAGTAACTTTTTTATATTGTTTCTATTAAAAGTATGTCCATCATGATAGAAAATAACATTTTTATATAAGTAATAATGCAATAATGCAATATCAAGCTACTTGTAAGGAAAATTATTATTATTAAACTACATAAAAGTTATTATGAAAGTATGTAGCTCATTAGAGCTTGTAATAAAAGGTAATGTTGAATGAAGAATGTAGATCGACGATGAAAGAAGAAAAGAAAATAAAGACTTGCAAAAAAATTATAAATAAATCGTATTTCTTTCTGTACATTTTAGACTTTGATTGACAGCTTAACGAATAAGAAACCGGTTTTTTTTACTTTCTGAATTAAATGGAATTAAAATCAAAATGATCTGCAAGATAAGATTGGCATTAAAGGTAAGAAATAACGTATAGCATTTGAAATTACAGCCAATTTACTTTGAGCTGCAATCCCCCTTGTTTACATCAAGTGCTTCGTAGTTTTATTGAATATTATTAATTATTTTATTGATAACGACTGAATTAACTAGCTGTATTTCTTCGTAAGATGATAAGAATACAGAGTGCATTGAGAATAACAAAGTTCATAAATGGAACAACGAGTTTACGAGGTATTATTGAAATATCTTCCTTATCGTCGCTAGCAATTTGCATTTCAAAACAACAAAATTTAAAATTCAATCAAATAATTTGCATACTTAATTGAAATTATCTACGTCGTAATAATGAGTATTAAGCCTGATGTAATTCAAATGAAGGTCAATTTTATATAAATTTTCAAATTTCCCCAATCATCCATTAATGACACCACAAGCTAATTTTGTTCCAATTAATTCCATTTCATCCTTCACAAGAAGCTTTATTACTTAAGCAACAAAATTTCTGATAAAGAAATCCTTCAAAAAAATTATAAAGAACTCCAGCTGTGAAGAAACTCGATCGAGTAAACAAAAACAATAAAAACCGGCACTGCTAAACAGTTAACTTGTTTACTATCCCATTTCGCCGGTTTTCATTATTCTACGTTGCATTCCCAGCTTTGAAAAATGTGACTAGCAGTAATTGGCAAAACACAATAATTTTCTAAGCTTGCATAATTTTTCGCTTTGAGCTAGTCAGCTTTATTGCGACGTAAAACTGCAAGATATATCTTTCCATTGAATATATAGATGCATACCGCTCTGCTTTTGGAGAGAAACTTCAAGAATTATAGGTTGAAAGTCCATTTCCAATGCTGTTTTACCGTAATATGTACAAAGTTACAAAAATGTTAGAGCATGAATAGAAATCAACATCATGCGACTAAAACGTGATTTTTTTATGCTATCAGCTATTTACTTAGATTAATAATGTCATCATCGTTAATAACAAATCCTATTTATTGACAAATGAAGGAAGTACGAAACCATTGTGCTACTGTAGCAATTTAAAATTATAAATCTTTTTGTAAGTAATTCCTGAAGTAATTACAAGAAGGAACAACTTCAAAACATTGATTGGATTGAATTTTTATTCTTTGCAAAGCTTTGTCAAGGTTTATTCAAGGATTCATATATCTTGATTGCCTTAATTAATGGATAGACCCGAAATTCTTTTTCAATTGTTTCAAGCAACTCTTTAGAGTTTAGTTTGATGATTTTAAAATGGTTTTTAATTTGTCTTTATTTTGACAAGATATTCGGAAGAATATAAAGTAACTAAAGTCTACTACTTTAAATTCATGTTCAATCATAAAAGCAATTGGGTTGAAGCATACAATTTGCATTAAAATTTGAAAGGAATTGTACGGAAGTGCATTGAACAACTCGAACCATAAAATTCATTTAACCTTTCTTTTCTTGAAATTGGCTTTATGGCTTGCAGAGTTGATTTTGAATGATTTGCATTCTTAGAAAATTCATGCCCGTTTAAAAAGAACGAAGATTTATCTAACAAAACCTTCTCTGGTTCCAATAATATTAAATCTCTAAAACATCAAGAGTTGTTTATGTCTCTAAAACCACAGGCTTACAAATTAATCTGCAGTCTTCAATGCCATATTGCTCAATGCATTTGCGGAATGGGAAGTAAACAAAGTGTCGTTATCGTATAGAATTCATCCCTACTTTATTGCCTGTCGATAACAAATGAAGTTCAATAGCGAAAAACAAAATTTGAAGGTCCACATGTGGCTGATAAATATATTATTGTTTATGGACAACTTCAGAAGGTTCTATGATGTTTATTTATTCTTGTCATATCCACTTGAGAATTGACGTTATCACTTACAAATTCATAATGGTCTCTAACGATGATCTAAAAATATTCAAATTATTGTTATGGAAACAACTTGAAATACTTGTTATTATCGCCTGTTGTCACAAATTTACACATTTTGGATACGATTGTTGTGATTATGAACAACATGCAGTGCCTACGCAAGTGAAGAAATTGTGATAATAATAAAATCACTCTCTTTTTGTTTGTGAGTCAACAAAAGAAATTTGGTGGCTGTACTAGCTAGGACATACATGTATTTTTTAAAAATATGTGAAAAATGGCAATGACTCGACATTTCGTTCACTTTTAAAATAATTGCGAAAAAAGAAAGATCTTTCTGTCAGGCGATGGATGAACGCAAAACGTCTATAAATAAAATATTAGAGGTGATTCTCAGGTCGGTCTTTATGTCTTTAAGAGTTCACTAGCTATTCACATGCTTTCAAAAAAAATCCAAATGTGATGTTTTTGAGGCAAAATTAATAAATATTGATATAAGCCTCAAACTTATTGATAATCAGTTTTGCATTAGTGAAACTTAATGCTCTAATTACAAGTAAACAAACAATAAATTTCTTATCATTACTCTGCGTGAAGAGTAAGTTGTGGAAGGTCAGTGACTTACGAGTAAACATGTTTTGCATTTTTCAGTCTTGATAATTTTTGATGAATCAATGAATTAAGAAACATAAACAAAAGAACCAAAAAAATTTTCATATAACAACTCTCGTGTAGTCGTGACGATCTGCATGTCGCTGCATTTATTCTACATGCAACACACAACAAACAACATCGTAAAATTGTTTATTGCAAAAAGCCCTTTATTTGCAAACTATAAATAAACTTCTGGTTTTAAACCGAATTTTAACACTGAATTAGTTGATTTAAATAGTCAGTTTAGCTGACTGGATTGACATTATTTTGAAAACATTTTGCCTTATGCTTGATTTCACTTATAAAGTGATTAGTTTTGAGATTTTTCTCTTTGTTGATGCAAAATTAGCGCAATTGAACAACTGGCAGTTTACGTCAGTAAATGCTATAGACGAAACAGTCAATAATTTGGTTATACAAAGGAGTATTGAAAGGCAAACACTTATTCATGTCTTGCGATATAGATATGTATAAAGATAGCTTCATGCACGACTTTGTTTAAATTATATAATATGGCTTAAAGTTAATTACAAGTGCCTACCTAAGCACCTTAGAGGATTTTCTAATTTTAAAACTTACAATAACTTAACCATTGACGATGCCTTTCTTTTTATGAATTGAAGATGTATCAAGGCTGGCTATCTACTTAGTTCATCAAAGAACTGTGTCTTGTCTTCCCTTTTCAAGAATTTCGATCACTTTAGACTTAACTAAGAGTTTGATATCGTTTTTAAACTATTTTAACAACACCATGAATAAAATCCTCACAAAACATCTAGACATCCTACTCATATCTCCCAAACACATCTTTCACCATGCAATTAAACTGAGAAATGCTGCAAAAGAGCGCATCATTTTAATGACGAGCATCCGCAGTTTGCAGAAATTAAATTCAATTAAATTTTATGCTGCATGAGTCGAAGTAATTCAGGCCAATGACAATCAGGATCGACTGTTTATTATGTGACGATCATTTTAATTAATTTTTCAAATTGCAGCCTTTGATTCCTGATTGCAACAAATAAAAGAATTAATCATGATTATTTCATTGTTCTTGGAACGAGATTCCTAGTAAACAACCACATTAAATTCTAGATTTTCTTATCACCTTGAGAATTGCTTAAGTCAGCCCTAACAGTCGTAGTCGTTGTAGGAAGAGATGATAAACGCGATTATTTAAATTAAGGCGCAATTAATATTGAAATTTTTTCCATATTTTTGTTTGGCGATAACGTGAGCTCAAACTCTACTCAAAATATAAACAGAATTAAAATTACTAAATTATTCATCCAGCCAGACCTTGCGTGACGTCGCTTGCGATTAAAAATTCTATATTAAGACCATGATAATGTCAATTTAAAATTCATTTGATATGATTAATGTGAATGGATTACATAAGAGCGTAGTTTTATGTTGGGAACGTCAAGTGATTAATGTCATCGACTTTAAGTAAATAAAAAAGAATTTTTGTGTGTCAACTAATGTGTTACGGAATGTTTTCGGTGCCTTTGACTTATTTTCATTTCATACAAACTTGTATCGCATTTACTTTATAGGAATTCACGTGTTGATCTTGTCTTACTGTCTTGAATTTATAATGTTTTTCTTTCCCTGAATGAATTGCAGACATAACGAGGTCTATAACTTTGTCAACACAGATGCTACATGATGATCATCACAAAGACGATGAGAAACTTAGTCCGAGAATGAAGGAATTCAAAGAGAAGCTACGAACAAAGACACCAATTGGAAAATTGGATGAGATCGAGGGTAAACATCCATATCAAGAGAAAGAACCATTGGAAGCATGGCCTGATAACACCAATCCAAAAACTGGAGAAGTTGGAGGACCTAAAGGACCAGAACCAACGAGATATGGCGATTGGGAACGAAAGGGAAGAGTAAGTGACTTTTAGAGCTGTATTTACAAACAGAATCTTTATTTAGGAAATGAACGAATAAATTTACATGCTAATAAAAATGATGATTTATGTCCTTTAAAGCTAAGATTCTATTTCTTTCCACGCTCTTCAGAAATGGTATTTCTTTTAGTAAACAAGCCTTTCTAATTCGCGTGTTACAACCAAAATATTGACTATTCAAATACTATACATGCGGAGAAAACCTGTTATTGCTTATTATGTTTGTAGATGTGAATAACATTTGTTGATACCGGCAATATTTATCATACTCGTTGCGTATTGCATTTTTTTGGATGTAAACATTCTTTATCGTTCTATTTTAAAATGTTCTTCAGCGACCTTCTTTAAATAAGTCTTTTGAAGCCACGGAGTATTACGCAGTAATTGAAAATTGATAAGAAACGATATACTTTGTAGAAGCAACAATCACCACGTGTAAGGCTCTGTCATAAACAAAATCTTGTGCAATCAACATCATTAAGCCAACATGTTGATTGTGCAAAAGCTGTTTTAGAAGATAACATGCGGAATGTAAACATTTAATCACAAAAGACAATCGGCTATGAGTCTAACCATATAGGAAGTTCAACTGGCGCTGAATTCGATAAAAATTTGATTAATAAAATAAATAGAATCGAGAATATCTATATGTTTTAATTCCGTACACACTTGAATGACTCACAATTGAAAACAAGAAGCTTCAGCAAACGAGGAAACTCTTTGAATTATTTATCAACTCATTATCGCGCTTCCATGCAGTAAACAATATTTCTGATTTGTTATTGAATGTTATGCAACAAGTTTTAAATCTAAATGGGAACATGTAAGCTATTTTTATTCCAGAAATAAAAATGTGTGGAGCATATTGTAAACAATTACGTAATTTGTAAATTCATGTATTACGTTGTGTCAACAAAGGCATGAAACTTGCCATCTATAAGTTCGTTCAATCGTACAGTTCTAAACATCGCAATAATTCCCTTTTTACGTTTTTGAAAATTCATTATTCTGGAATAATTTAACACAAAGGAGTTGTGATGCGCAGTGTTAAGATCTTACTGATAAACTTTAGATTAATAACGAATTATCAAGATTCCGATCCATTTTTAATAATCATGAAACTAGAATTTAAACAAAATAAGAGTGGGTGTCATCAAGATACCCAACTATGGCACTATGTTAAAACTCAATAACATCGAGTTTATCAGATCGAACCGAAATTCAATATCACGAGAATAATCGTTACTAAAGCATAAAGCTGGTCTACCTGACTTTTCAAGCAGAGACTAAAGGTGCTAAAATCTCAAACAACTTGCTGAATGGTTCAATGCTTTACTCAATCGATTTGCGAGTGATAAACGATGCATGTCGTGAGGATTCTATTAAAGGAGAAATTCCTTGAATAATTTCGCGCGAAAAAAGTAAACAGCTGAAGATGAGATTTTTGCACAAAACGTGAACAACGCATGATCTTTCATCCTTTCTTCATCAACAGAGAATAAAAATTTATAGCTCATAAAGATAATCTTAAAAATCTCTGCTTAATATGTTATGACAGGTCAGTTATTTCTCATTTTTAAAACAATTCTGTCATTGACTAGCTTCTTCTTAGAACATTTAAAAGCATTTTGTTTAAACATACATTCATCTAGGCCAACAGAAATGTATCGTGAAAATTATCACGTCGACTCTACTGACTGGGATGAGCATCTATCTTTCTTATTCAATATGTACGAAACTCCACGATGTGTGAAAAATCGAACAAGAGAAAATAAGAAGAAGGCTGCATCAAAACAGAGAAAAGAGTCGCGGAAAAACAGAAAATTTTCTTCTGTGGATTGAATATAAAAGAGCGTACATCAACTCAGTGAAGCATTTTAAATCAAACAACCATAAGCAACACTTAAAGTGAGCCTTACTATCGAAAATTATCAACAATTAAAGTGAAATTTACTTTCAAAATAAAGATAAAGTTGAAGTCAGTGAAAATAAATTGAGTTCAAAGATATCCAAAAGATACAGAATTAATAAGTGAAGACATAAAACAGAACTTGTGAGACCAAAGAATTCAGTTAAAATTCAATTAAAAATGTTCCCAAACATACTCAAACAAGAAGCACAAATGGCAACACGCTTAAGATGTAATGATAATTAATCTTTAAATTATTAAAGCATTTACTTACTTCTAGTATATTTCTTTAGTGCCACAAATTTCATACGATGCGGTGACAAACATGCTTAAAAATAGCAGAGTAGCTGCAAGCTTAACACAATTCAAGAACAATGCATACGAACGTGCTATTGGTCAGCATTTACACAAATCAGCAACACCTCACGATGATCCCACAAGATTCGGTGACTTTGAAGTCCGAGGACGAGTTAGTGACTTTTGAATGCCTTAACACTTGAATCTAGAAAAACCTGTGTGATTTAATGTACTTAATAAAATTATTATAAGTGTTTCTTTTGAAGTTTAGTATTAGAGTGGAACTATCGAATATTTTTTATATTACCGAATTTTATTGATTTTTGAAGAAATCAAGCCTTATTCTTGTTACTGTGACATTTTTATAAAATGTTTAAAAAATAAAGAAAAATAACATTTTAAAAAATTAATAATTTCTTGCCTACAAAAATAAAAAAACAACAAAAACGTGTCAAATGTAAACATTTTCAGCCGTCGATTCTCTCAACAGTAACAAATTTCTCTCCTTTCTCATCTCTGAATTGCACATGCCTTAAAAAATCTGTTTTAAGGAAGTCGTGTATTTTTATAAAGATACAAAATTATTCAAATGTTTATAAAATCATCGATAACTCTTTCAATATTATTGTTGGACATAGAAATTAACGCAAAATCATCCGCACCACAGCAATGAAGTAAAACGCAAAACTAGGAAGCAAAAGTTCAATGAACATGTGAATAATCACGATAAAGAGTAAAATGAGAGCATTTAAAGCTAAAGAAATGAACTCATAAAATTTATTTCAGGCACTTAGCAGAAGATCTAACAGGAATGTCAAGCATAAAGAAATGTCGGAGATGAGTGACGAGTAGAAAATTTTCTATTATTATAAGATACACGACACTGACAATAATAATAATTTGCATGGACTAGAAATGATTTAAACTGCTCTACATAGGCATGGCGAGTAAAATTCACAGGACGAAAATTGATTATTCTCTTCTTTATTGACTGACCTAGATTAGATCATTTTTCAAGGAAGTAATTCGAATTTGGTGCCATAAACTTTTTATGACTATTTGGTCTTAGACTTTCTTCTTAATTAGCAATAAATCTTTAAAATTAACAATCACGCAGAGATCGTTCCTTAATAGGGCTTTCATATTTGCTTGGCAAAACTCTCACTGATTCACATGTAGAACATTTTTTTTTTTTGTTTAAAAGTTCATTTATTATATCAAACTTAAAGTTGTGTTATAAATTTATACAAATTAATTATTGCAGAGTGAGAATAAAAAACAAATTACTTCATATTCAATTTAATTTAATTAGCATCAAAATACAATTCCAAATAGTGCTCTCTCAAACGATTTTTAATAATGCTCAATGAATGAAAAGCCTTTATCTGCTGTGGAAGATTATTGAAATCCACAAATGCTCGAATGTAAAAATTCTGCGCTCCTTGACTAGTGCGACACATTCTTATTGTGAAATTTCCTCGATTTCTTGTCGAATGATTATGAATATCGCTACCTAATTGTATTTCGACATACAATTTAAATACTTGAAGAGAGCAGTTTGTTTTACACATTACAGAGACTGGCAAAAGTCTAATGCTATACAATACTTCCTTTGCAGCAAACCAACTTTTCCTCAATACAATTCTTAGAGCTTTTCTTTGAAGAATCTCAAGAGACTTCATTTGACCAACTGAAAGACAAGACCAGACTGTACTCATATAACCTAAATGTGACTGCACATGTGCATAGTATAAATCTCTAGCTGTTTTTCAGATATAAATTTTCTTGCTCTTCGTAACGCATATATAAACGGAGTAATTCTTTTCTTAATTTCATCGACATGACATTTGAATGTAAGCTGTTCATCAATGATAAGACCTAACATCCTAAAATAATTAAGAATAAATCCAAAACAAATCATAATATCTATTTAGTGCAGTTTAATTATGTTTTCTGAAGAATCTCATTTATGATCTCGTCACTTAAATTCCATAATTCTGTAGCCAAATTTTCATTTAATGATAATTTTGATGGTTGACAAATATAGCAGTTGTTGAAGTATAAACCACTCAGTCCTTTTAATTCATCAGCAATTGAGCAATAAATTGTTGTGCTTGCAGCTTGTTCTAGGTTTTTCGTGAAAGATTTGACGGCAGCAAATATAACTTTATAGAACCACCAATGACGTGAGAGATTTGTAGACACAAGATTTCCAGGATGTAGAGCAAAGACACTGATTCCTCGTGACTGCCATTTCTTTGCTAGTTCCATCGCGAATAGTATATTGCATAATTTGATATTATTATATTGCAGCATGCTCCAATATTTTGCAGGCGGTGGATTCAAGATTTCCTTGGTTAGTGGCAATGCAGGTAAGCTTGCAAAACGATGAGATTCTGAGGATACAATAACTACTCTTGAATTTTCATTGAGTAGTGAAGACAACTGTTGAGTAATGTAAAAATGCGACAAGTGACAAACTTGAAAAGTTGTTTCAAGTCCATCTGAAGTCAAATAATAAGGCAGTCCAAAAACTCCAGCGTTTAGAATTAAATAATTGATATGCTGATATTGAAGCTTGACTTTATCACAAAATTCTTTACATGACTTTAAATTCGTTAGATCAACTTGAATGAAATTAAGCTTAGCACGACTATTTTCAACTTCCAGTGCCTTCATTTTCTCATTTGTTACTTTCTCATTTCTGCAAGCAAAAATGATTTCACATCCAAAATTAGACAGTGATCTTGCAGTTTCATATCCAATTCCACTTGATGCACCTGTGACTAACGCCACTTGACCAGTCAAATTCTTCCCGTAAAGTATTGAAACTGCTTTTGTGGATGAATCAAATCTCTGTCGAAGCTTATCATTTGCAAATTCCTGAGAAAATGCCAAACGTGGATCTGTTTTTGTCTCACGATTCTCTAATTCATTGATGTAAATGACTTTATTGTCAGCATCAACTGTTTTCTTCCAGTTGTAAGGCAATTCAACTGGAACTCTTTTCATTTTATTTGTTCTTGGATGATTCCTACAAAATAGAGTGAGTCAACATTTGCTACGCATAAATTAAGGAAGTAAGCAAGATAATCGAGTTCATCGAACTTTAAATCGAAACTTACAACTGGATCTGATTTTTCTCAACATTAACGTAATGAATGAATCCATTGGCTGAAACCCGTTCCTCCCAATTGCTTGGAAGCTCATCCTCACTATCAGTTTCCACATGACAATGATCCATTTAATTAAGATACATGTATTACTCTTTTGTGGAATTTTAAATGTAAATAACGGCTTTAAAATCTCGATACAACGAACAAAAATTTGAATTTTCAACAAAAAATTTCCCGCACTTTTCACAATTAAAAAAATCTCTCAGAGTGAACGAAGTTTTTTTCTTTAAATTCATTATTTGCTGTATTAAACCTAGTTAAACGTTTAAGTTATTAAGATACTTAGTGTGATAATAATCCTTGTACCTTCATCTGTCCAAAAAAAGTGAATTATTGGCTGTACAAGTAAAGATAATACAAAATTTTATTGAAATTTAAAAATTGCATGAAAAATTAGTAAATAGAACTTTTAATTGGTGTATTTTCTCATAAATTGCTTTAATTACTCATACTGAATTGTGTAGCATATAAGTGTAGTTTTTAAAATAGTAAAAAATTGTGTCAAAAAAGAATTTTCGTGAAATTCGTCAATATTTACGGATAATTAAGTTTTTCCAATTACTAGCACTTACAGTGCTATATCTTGTAACTGCTTTAGTGCCACTACTTGTCACTTTTATCATCTATCCATATAGAATCATCAAGTTTTGATCAATTAGCCTAAGGCAGTGTCTACAAGTTAGACATAAAAGCTCTAAGGCACATAATCAACAGCTCAGTCATTCTCTTATCAAACTGATTTATAAATATTTTACCGATTGATCGATGATGATTCATACAAATTTCATAAATGAGTAGTCAGACTTTTGTTCCGTTATACGTCCATTGTACATACACGAATCGATGACGTTTAAGAAGTTCTTTTCACAATTGGCGCATTTCATTACAAATTCAAGTTTCTAAATGACCTTGGAAAAGGAAAAATCAAAACATATTGCATAGTGGATGTATTAGATGACTTACAAAGCTTTTTTCCTGACTAAATTCTATGCATAACACAAATCTTATTGTTTTATCATTTTCTATAGATTTATATACAAAATATTATATTCTTTTAATGACTTTTTGGTGGGTTTAGCAAGGCAGAACTAATATAATCTATACATGAATGAAGTGCTGTGAATCAAGAAACAAGTAGAAATGGAATATAATAACACAGGGTTGTTAGCAATTGTGATAGAAAAGACGATAGCAACTCTATGTGGTGTAGATGGTGGACCTGAATATAAGATTGATGTGCATCGAGGAACAATGGTTGATATCAAAGATGCTATGGGAGCTTATTGTAAAGTCATGATTGTCGACTATTATCAGAAAAATCTAGCATTTGAGAATAATTTATATCTGATGAAATATAGTACATTAATGGAAGTAAATAATGATGTATGGCCATATCTAGTCGCGATATCAGATCCACATGAACGAGCAAATGTTGCCAAAGATAAAGAATTCATCGAATATTTGCAAACATTACGAGATCTTAGCTTTGTAGCAATTAATGGCCAATTCTTCAGCATCTACCCAATGAAACAATCATTGCAATTTCTACCAGAACGTGAACCAAAAAGTCGAGCACTTGACTACGATTGTATCATACGGTATATGGGTCCTGTCGGTGAAATCGGTCCGGGTTACTACATTGGTTTAGAACTATTGGTAAATTTATTATTGATAAGACACATACACACGAAGAACAAACTTTCCCACGATAATATTTAATTTTCCCTCCTTTTGAACACCCACTTAAAGAGACTCCCACAAAAATAAATATTTATGCTGCCTGCTCGGTAGTTTGTTTTTCTTTTGTTGTTACTTCCTTTCTTTCTCTCTCTTTTTTGGTTTTAACGAGTTCTGATTTGTAGATTTAAGACTATTAGTGCGCATTTCTGCTTCCACATTTATTAATGCTAGAATTAGTGTCTGATAAGCTTGATTTTGTGATAAGGTAGTTCAAAAAATTAACTGCCCAAAAATATTTGAATTTCAACGGTCGAAAAATATTTGAAAATTTAACCGATTCCAAACATCCTAGTTTAACACCCCTCAATTTTATGAAATACCTAATTCAAATTTTTTAAACCGGTTAATAATTAAAAATAAGTTTAAAGCTTAACAGACACTGCTTATTGCGTGCATTATTGGTACAGTAGTTTTAACAGTGCAAAATAGTTGTAAATTAGCTAGTCAGTCACAAAAATCGGAGAATTGCATGCATAATAATCTCGGTGGAAGTAAAAATGTGCAGAAAGAATTGAAAAGTATATACTGGGGGTCCTCGATTTGAGTAGTTGTTTTGTTCCAAAAAATTTCTACTCAAATCGAATCTATTCAAATCGAGGCAAAGAATCCATACAAAATTACATGTTTTGTTCCAGAGTCCAAAAAATGTATCAAAACAATGAAAATTTTGATCATTTTTTGCACATTTTACCTCGTTTCTTAACTTTTCTTTTGTGTTTTAGATAACTTAATTTATTTCAACGCATATTCATATTGTTTTTAAACGGAAATTCACAAAAAAAATGTTTTTGAAACAAAACAAAAATATGAGAACCTTGCAAATGTTATTTCACTGAACAATTTGTAAGGTTTTTGAATTTGAACTTTTTAAAATCGTTGATTTTATATCGATTTTTTAAATTTTTACTTTAATTTTGTAACTTTAGTATTGATTTTTCTATCAATATGATAAGTTCACGCTTATCGCAGTAAAATTTATGTTTTAAGATTATTTTCTGAAATGTTTTTATCAAAAATATTTGTTTTGTAAACAATTCAAATCGAAGAAAACAGGAAGAAATCTACTCAAATCGAATATTTTGGTGGGTAATAAATTTTCTGTTCAAATCGAATCTACTCAAATAGAATCTACTCAAATCGAGGACCCCCAGTATACACATTTACTCTCGCCTTCTCAAACTTTATTCAGAATTTCATTACGGTTTTAGATGGGATAATAAATTTTTAAAAAGCTTTTTTCATCTTTTTTTTGGATTTTCCTTTTATTCTTTCGTTTTTTGAGGAATGAGTATGAAAAATAATTGGATGTATAACATATTATTTAACTGATACGAGCTGAGATGTGTAAGAGAGCATCTTACACGCTTGATGACGAAGAAGAGAGAATACAAAAAGGAAGCCTCGAAAACGGTTTTTTGAGAAGGCATTATTCATATTATTCTCGTAATGGTCTTTTCGTGACTTCCTTTAATATCACTTCATTATTTTGAGCATATTTCATATTTATTCTCATATATTTTATATCTTTTAACAGAATCTTGTAAAAGGACATTCTCCACAAGAGAAAGAAATCGAGAAGTTTTCATTCAAATATACCAAATGTGAGGCGAATCTTGCCTTCATCCTACCCGTGAATTTTTTGAAGAAACCAGCTCTGCTGAAAAAGAACAATAAGTCAACATTTAGTAGTATTTTGTGTGGAATTAAAGATAAAGTGAAGTCACATTCCAATCGACATTCCTATATTGATAATAGTGTAATTGACTCGGCAAGTGAATATTCATCAGCATCAACAAAACGTTCCTTAACACCAGAATTGGTACATTATAATACAGTCAATGGCAATTATGGAAAGATGAATGCATCAAATAAATTCCCATCGTCCATATCGAGTCCAAATTTATCGAAACAAGATAGTGGCTCATCGACAACCAGCGGCTCGCAGACACGCTTTAATAATTTAGACGTGCCTGAATTTTCAGAAGATTACGGTTACATGGTTGCTGAACGTGAAAAGAAAATGGAAGAGAAACGATTGTCAGGATCTCGTGGCATACAAACGACATCGAGCAGTGGAAGTAGTATAAATGGTGAAGCACGTACGCCAAAAAGTAAAAAGAAAACAGTTTTAATTCCGTCAGCACCGAATCGTGATATTAGGCCATCAACAATACTAAGCTTGGAGGATCGTGACTTGATTGTGATTGATAAACAAGACATTAAGGAAGCAGTGCGAAATGAAAGTGATGTAATTATTGTAGATCCACCAACAATTCCACAAACGCCATCTGATAATGACCATGCTGATTTGACAGACATTCTTGGTGGACAATGGCCTGATTTGGCAGGAGCGAGTGGAACATTATTAAATAGTGACAGAAAATCAGGAACAATCAATAATGGATATCGAAGTATTGAACGTAATAAGAGTGCAAATATTGCTTCGCATTTTACAAATTCAAAGTCACGTTATGATACACACAATGGATATCGGAAAAGTGAGTAATTTGTTTTAATTATATAAAATAAATGTTCTTTAAGTCTCTCGAGAAGATGCCATATTAGAGACACGCGAATTTGTTATTCAAAAAGTGCTCTTATGCACTGAAAGATGTTTTAAACTAGCATGTGTAGTTGTCTTGTGACTGATTATAGCGCATTTTCAATTAAAGGAAAATAGGAATCAAACTGAATTGGTTTTTGGAACGATTTAAAAATATTTGAAATGTGTTTAAATTTAAGCAACGTTAAGAAGATTCTTTAAAAGCGAAGGGGAGGGGGGGGGGGGGGCAGGGGGAGCAGATTTGTGAACAACCTCTTTATTTATCATATTTTCAAAGAAAATGAATTCTAGAAACAAGAAAATGACTAGGAAACATGAAAATCATGGTACTGTTGTGATACAGTAGCGTGCAGAATATTATGGACGGTCAAAAAAATTTCGTTTTTATTCTCAAAAGCATACTTAACGTTGTCCAATTTAGATGAAATTTTCACCACTTATACTGTTTTTCATGTGCTTTCACATGATAAAATATAAATATGCTATAGTTAATAATTTTTGAAAAAACCGTTAAAATTCAAAATCAGGTGCGTGCAAAATATTATGGACGATTCTTTTTTGGTAATTTTTTTTATGTTTAAGCTATTTAAGCTTACTTTTTAAACTTTAAACATGAAGTTCAAACATTTTACTCCAATTTTATACATTCTTAATGGATGTGTAGCAAGTTTAAGGCATAAAAAAATCATGATGAAAAATTATGCAAATATTTTACTATTTTTGTTACTTTTCATCAATAGCAAGCATTAATATCGGTTATTTTAGACTGTAATGTATTGAATTCTTAACTATCTTTCTATTGATATATAATTTGTCTGTATTAATATAGTCTAAATGAAAAAAATTACGAAAAAAGTTCATTGAAGAGGGAAAAATTTCATCAACAAAAATATAAATTGATTAAAATTTCTTAAATATCCATGAAATATTACCCAATTTAGTCTTATTTTCTCACATTTATGTTGTAGATTAGTAATTGAGCAGTTATAAATTTATATTTTGAGTAATAAAGTCATAAAAAGAGAGCCTTCTGTATGACCAAAAGAAAATTTTAAAGACGAAAAAAATATTTGTCATTAAACTTTTAAATATGCATTTTTCTCTCTTGTTTTTGGCTTAAATAGTTGGCAAAGAGTATTTTGAGTTGTTTTTAATTGATTTACATAAATTTATACTGCATAAAATGTAAAAAATATTATGAAATATTTTTCAAGTTTCAACATGACTTTTTTCATAGTATTGGCTCATAAAAATATATCTTATCGTGCAATATTAAAATGTAATTCTACCTAATTACTAATCTACAACATATATGTGAGAAAATAAGACTAAATTGGGTAATATTTCATGGATATTTAAGAAATTTTAATCAATTTATATTTTTGTTGATGAAATTTTTCCCTCTTCAATGAACTTTTTTCGTAATTTTTTTCATTTAGACTATATTAATACAGACAAATTATATATCAATAGAAAGATAGTTAAGAATTCAATACATTACAGTCTAAAATAACCGATATTAATGCTTGCTATTGATGAAAAGTAACAAAAATAGTAAAATATTTGCATAATTTTTCATCATGATTTTTTTATGCCTTAAACTTGCTACACATCCATTAAGAATGTATAAAATTGGAGTAAAATGTTTGAACTTCATGTTTAAAGTTTAAAAAGTAAGCTTAAATAGCTTAAACATAAAAAAAATTACCAAAAAAGAATCGTCCATAATATTTTGCACGCACCTGATTTTGAATTTTAACGGTTTTTTCAAAAATTATTAACTATAGCATATTTATATTTTATCATGTGAAAGCACATGAAAAACAGTATAAGTGGTGAAAATTTCATCTAAATTGGACAACGTTAAGTATGCTTTTGAGAATAAAAACGAAATTTTTTTGACCGTCCATAATATTCTGCACGCTACTGTAATTTGAAATGATGAAAGGAAGCAATTGTAAGGAATTACAAATGGCACGAAATCGTTAAGGCTGCACGATAATTGAATTAAATGTTTTATAAACAATTGTGAATTGGACGTATTTTCCCAGTTTTGTGTCTGTCTTATTTATCAATAGTTGTGTCTAGTGACGAGCACGAGAATTTCAGCGTAAATCCCCAAATGAAAAATACCCTTTTGGCATGCATTATTCATTCATAATCTCAAAACAAGAAGCTGGAGGAAGAAGATAACAGCAAGTTTATTATGATTCTCATCTCAATTCGATTTTAACATATTGCTGCTAGCTGAGACGACTTGGTGCCATTTCTCTCAGTTTACATTTAATGCTCAAGCAGACAAAATCTGGTCCCGAAAAGTTACATTATTTTTAGAAATTTGTGAGAAGGAGAAAGGCACGAAAAGAAGAAAAAGTTCTCCCATCTCTCAGTTTTTATTCTCGCTCGTGAAAAACTTTTTATTTTATATTTTAAAATCCTCATTTTGTGATTTTTCTCGTGTGCGTTAAGCAAGAATCAATATTTTTTCTCAATTCTTTCATTTCTATCTTGTCGACTGCAACAGAAGTGCCTTAATTTTCAATTCACAAGCAATCAAAAAATAGTTTTGTGAAAAGTGAGCTTCCAAATTATTAAAAAAAAATTGTGTCTGAACAAGAAGTGAAAAATATATAAATCTTGTTGTTCTATTTTTGGTGTTGCATCATCATCATAATTCATAATTAGACTGACTTTTAGTTGCCGCGTTTACTTCTTTTTTTTTTGTCGCTATTAAATGCTTCCGTACCATCCAAATTACTACACAAATTTTCAGTTTGATGATTATCGTGATCTTCCTGTAACAGTTCTTGAACATTTTGAATGGGCTGCTCATAACAATCATGAAGGTTTTTTTTTTCATAATATTCATTTTTTAATTTTCTTTATTCCCTGTTTTTTTTTTTGGTTTGATCCACTCTAAATTCTCCACATTCCTTTTCTAAACTTAATATTTGTAGCTATCTGTAGTATAGATAGAGTCACTCGTGACCGACGGAAGCGCATTATTTATCCTGAAAGTGAATATTCCCAGTAAAATAAAGCTTAAAAATGCAACGGTTAAAAATAATTTGAAAAATAACGTTGTGCTAGGTAAAAGCTTATAAGGTTATAAGTATTAACCTGCTCAGATTGTCAGACATAAGAACCCAATCAGACAAAGTGCCTTAAGAATAATCTTTAAATCAGGAAAATGCGCTAGGAAAATTCTCATCGTCTATCCAACGTGACTCTTTGTTCTTGTTCTCAAATGAAAATTTCACACAGAAAAATCTCGTTTTCTTCTTTATTCTTAGAACCAAACGGACAGTACGACAACTTTGATCAGGACTCTGTCTCATCCATTGATCAGATTTCAGACTGCATTGTACCCTCGCCACTTTTTGACATTCCAAATTCTTCATTGGAAATAGGCACAGTTGTAGAAGTAGCAATAGAAGGTGGTAAGAATCTTCATGGTGTTATTCGTTGGATTGGACTTAAATATCAAGAAGACGCTTTAAAGATGTCTAATGGATATAATAATAATAACAATAATAATAGTGAATTAGTTGTTGGTGTTGAATTAGATGAACCATGCAATGAGCGAGGCTTGAGACTAAGTGATGGAATTTATAATGGACAAAGATGTTTCCGCTGTCCAGATCGTCGTGCAATTTTTGTGTCGCCTAAGCAATGTACAAAGGACAGAAGATTTTGTGAAGAGGGAACTTCCAAAACATCAACAATTCGATCGAATACGCCGAGTGATGGAAAGGCTTTTGGAGCAGATTGCCCGATAATTGAAGGCTCTGTGTCAGCTTTAAGTGAGTTACTATATTATTTTTCACAAAGATTATTATCCTAAAATCTTGTTGCTTTATTCCAGAATTTGTAAACTACGATGATCTTGACGCGCACTGTGGAAAGTTTAAAGGCATTCAAGGACACCATAATTCATGCTATTTGGACGCAACTCTATTTGCAATGTTTACATTTACGAGTGTTTTTGACTCAATTTTATTTCGTCCACGTGAACCAGAGGATCACGATCAGTATGAAGAAGTTCAAAGAGTTTTGCGCGAGGAAATTGTTAATCCATTACGCAAGAATTTGTTTGTTCGTGCTGATCGCGTGCTTAAATTGAGAAAGTTGTTAGATAAATTGACATCTGTGAAAGGATTAATGAACGAGGAGAAGGATCCTGAAGAGTTTTTGAATTCACTTTTAGCACAGACATTGAGAGCAGAGCCGTTTTTGAAGGTAATACTTTTTTTTTATATATTCAGTGGTTCCTTAAACTTCAATTTAATTCAACAGCTAAGTTCGGGACAAGATGCATATTTCTATCAGCTATTTCTCGAGAAAGACGAGAAGCTAAGCCTACCTACAGTACAGCAATTATTTGAGCAATCATTCTTAACATCAGACGTAAAATTAAAGGAAGTTCCATCATGCTTAATTATTCAAATGCCACGATATGGAAAGAACTTTAAAATGTATCCACGAATATTACCATCTCAAGTTCTCGATGTGACGGACATTATTGAGGATTGTAAGTTTAAATTACTGATTTAATTCACTGTTAATTATTTTAAAATTGATTGTAGCACCGCGTCAGTGCACGATATGCGGAGCATTGGCAGAATTTGAGTGCAAAGAATGCTTTGGTGTTTTACAAACAGGCTCAGGACTAGAATCGACATCATTTTGTCAAAAATGTCTAACAACAGTACATACACATCACAAGAGACAAAATCATACACCAAAAGCTTTATCCATTCCTCATGACTTTAAGATAATTTCCGATTATAATCAAGTTCCAAGGCTATTTATGGAGCTTTTTGCTGTTATTTGTATCGAGACATCGCATTATGTAGCATTTGTTAAAGCTGGCTCAGGCTTAAATTCACCATGGGTATTTTTTGATTCAATGGCTGATCGTAAAGGCGAACAAAATGGTTATAATATTCCTGAGATGATTTCCGTACCTAATTTACCAACATGGCTATCTGAAGAAGGTGCAAGGAATTTACACGAAGCAAATTTGCAGGACAAACATCTTCCAGAATTCGCAAAACGTCTTTTATGCGATGCATCGTTGATGCTATATCAGTCAACAGAAATGATGATGTATCGATAAATTGGAAGTTCCGTTAATTATTATGTCAACTTTTTTGGATTTATTGAAATATATATTGAAGAAGTAGTGAAAGAATATCCATCAGAAATTTATATGGATTAATATTAATCAATTTAAGCATTTATGTCCATTGAAGATTAATGCTTACAAAAAAAATCTTTTAAATGACAGTATATTTAGATTGAAATGGATATTTAATATCTAATGAATTAATAACTATTAAAGAAGAAGGAAAAATATTCTTAAAAACAAAATTAATCTTTGCAATTCCCTTATACTTCCTACAAAACAAGCAAGTTCTAAATTATTGAATCGACAAATGAGATAAAAAAAAAACTTTAAACGCAACAAAATATATTACAAATATATATTATAGTGAAAAATCTGTTACCTTTAGCGAAAATTCAAATAGTACATTGATTCAAATTCATCAAGATGCTTGAGGTTGATGTGATGACTTTTTGGTATAATGGCTTTAAAAGATCTAAAAACTATTTTGACGTTTGAAATTTTACGTACGTATTTTGAATTATTTACGTAATTGAATTTACGTACGTATTTTAAATGTCTTACGTTATTTTACGTACGTAAATTGAATTACCTACGTAATATAATTTACGTACGTATTTCCAAACTAGAAATTTGTCTCAAAATCAGAAAGTCATACACATCAGACGCAACATTTTATAGACCTAATTTATCATACAAAAAAGAAAGAAAACATATATAAGATGATCCTGACGAACAAAAAAAATAATAAGATTTTCAAATACAATATCCAATGAATGGAAATATATATTTTTATAAAAAAAGAAGCCAAAAGAGAAGATTAATAAAAAAAAACTTTAAAGAAGCCCGTTTTTTCCGGAACAAAGTGTAATGCATTAAATGCTATAAATGAAAAAAAGAAGAAGAATAATGATACTAATTATTAATAATGTTATTTAATCGCTTAAATTCTTGTAAAGCGTTATAATAATATTAAATGAAAGAAAAAAACTTAGCAAAAAAAAATTCAATAAAAACGATACGAAAGATTCTAAGAAATTTAAATGAATGTTTTGGGACCATTAGAATTCATGTCCATTATTAACTTTGCTTTTCAGCTCAATCATGTTTTTCTATGTATATTTTAGTACAATTAAGAATTAAAGACGTCCTATAAGCTTCTCAAAAGAACTTAGTCCATGGTGATGTTACGTAAAACTACGTACGTAAATTTTTATCATTTTAATTTAAATATATTATGACAGTTAAAATTCAAATATATTTTTACCGTTGGTTTTCAAATATTTAACTACCGTTGGTTTTCAAAATTTAAATCTCACTTAAAAAGTGCTGAACCTCATTTATAAACAACCGTATTTTCCAATTCAATCTGTAACATTCCACAAACTCATGACAGTGATACAGCATAAAATAACCACAGCAATTGACTTTTTCTTGAAATTATCATTTTTTATTGGTACCAATTTTCACATTTCTTTTTCGTGGGCAGGCATTCAAAGAGAAATAATCGAGACACGGACACTGAACATTTTCAATTGTGAGAAGAAAATTGGAGTTTCTAGTGTCAGTGCCTTATAAAAAGTAGAAAATAAGATACAAAAAGTTTTTTTTTCTTTACAAATTTGAGAGAAATAAAATGACTTTTTTGTTGTTGTTGCTGTCTCATAGAAGAGGACATGAAAAAAATAGGAAAAGGGAAGTGATAACATGATTAAGCGAGTAGGCGATAAAGTGGCATTTTAGCTTCTATTATAGCGATTTCCATATCCTCTACGATGATCGTCCTTATATTCGTCCAAATTGCGTGCTTGATTTAAATATTCGGGATCATCGTTTTCGACTTTCTGTTCCTTTTCTTCTTCCTCCTTGGCTTGTTCAGCTTCCTGATCTACCTCACAACGACCTTGCAATGATTGATTTTTTGCAACTTGTTCAGCACTTGGAAAGATTCCTTCTTCGACTCGCTGATCATAAAATTCCTGAACTGTATATGTTGGTAATGAGGGATATCCGGCACCATAAATGGCTTTTTGTATTGCATCTTTTGTTATAATTATTGGCTTTAATGGTGCCGATTTATGATGATGATGATGCTTTTTTGAGGAACTAGCCTTATCATCTGACGTATGATCCACATATTCTGGATCATTTTGTTTTAATTTGGCGATATGCTCGAGAATTTCACATTCCTGCTCTAAAGTACTCAATTCATCCTGCGTTTCCCATACACATGACTTAATGAGCTTCAAATAGAAATTTCTCTTAACATCCTCATCCGTATGATCACGTTCCATTGCAACCTTTAATTGCTTAATTTGATCTTTCAACTCCTTCTTCTGTTGATACTTTTGTAATTTTTGGTTTCGCTGTTGAGCCATTTGTGTAATTCTTTGAATTTCATCACGTAATATTATATCCTTATTTTTCGATACAGCAGTTGTACTTCTCTCACATAAACCATACTCTTCACATCGATTCAGGTAATCGTCATAATAAATTTTTGCAACATCTACCACATTCTTTCGATCCTGTACATTTGTTAATTTTAGTGTAGCTTGTGCGAGTAGAAACGGCAATAAGAGATATTTAAGATTATCCGTAGGAATTTCTTCATACGATTCATTCTGGCTAAACATTCCCGTAAAACTGACAAGTCTCGTTGCATCCTCAAGCATTTTAATACATCTTCTTACGTCTTCCTGCAAGGTTTTTTTAAAGATACAGTAAAGTTTTTGAACCAAAACAAAACAAAAACAAAAATGCAATTTCGAGAAATCGTGAAAATCCACATTTTTATGCCTTTATGCTTAATAACTTCATATTACCTGGAATTCTGGGCTGTTTGATGGATCGTCGCGCCTGTCAAATTCCTCAAATAGTTTGTATGCATTGTCAAAAAGCTCAAATAACTTAATTTCACCTTCCATTTTTTTATATTTTTAAAATTTGAAGTTTTTTTTTTACATTTTTGAAATTTTGAAAACCGTTAAGGTTGCAAGGGAACCAAATTTTTGAAAGTTTTTCAAAATGCTCAACGCTTGTTCTTTCTGAAATTCAAAATAATTTCGGTCGTTATTCTTTATATCGAATAAAATTTATTAATGCATTCATGAACTACATGATTCCTTTATTAATTTTTATACAATCTGCACATAACACCGATTAAAATGAATCAATTCTAGGTCCTGGATTTTGGTATTTCTCTTTGAGTTCTCCAGACCAGTATTGTTTCGTTCTCTCATTGCGCATTGCCTAAAATCAATCAATTTAATTAACATAAATCCACTATATCAGTAATCAACAACTCACAAGTGCTCGCATAGTCCTCTTAGTCATTGTTAAACATTCATTGAAATCCTCAATCAAGTCTCGGCACTTTAATTTGCCTCTATCCTGTCCATAAGCTTCTAAACATTCAACAACATCCAATTCAAACTGTCCACACTTGTCATAATGCTGAGCATTAATCAAACCGCCTGTGAAATCAGTAAATGGTGATCGGAAGAATGGAGTAAGCGGCATCTACGAAAATTAATATATTTTCAAAATAATCAAAATGATTGAGTAACACCGAAAATTTTATGATATTCTGGAATATCCATAAGAGATCAAGCTGTACTTGACATGTCTTATTGTTTATAGGGTATTTATGGCTTGTTAACTATAGAAAACAGTTCTTAATACCTTGAAATCGAGGAGCAAATCTGTAATTTAGTGAATTTGATATTTTTTTGACTGAAAAAAACAATTACGACTAGTACAAAAAATTCAAAATTTTGAAAGTCGTTAATATTTTCGAACAATTCAAATTTAAATGCTCCGTTAATTTTGGTTTATAAATTTTTATTTCTTTAACTCATTCATCTTTTTTATGTACACATTTTAACTACATTATGTTTGTTTTTCATCAGTTTTTCATATTTTCCATTCAATAGTCAAAACATTTTCTCATTAGAACTTAAAAATTGTTTAAAAATAAGGAAATTGTCTCGAATGCATGCAAACATTTTTCATCCTTAATGGCATTCTGCTCCTTGTGCTTGATGATTTTTCATTTTAAAATAATCAATCAATATTGATTCTTTATTTTTTAAGTTAAGAAGACAGAAAATTCCTCACAAATTTCTCTTTTCATAGCAAATTTTTTTAACATTCTCTTTTTTGGCAAAAATTTCAAAAGATAAAGTTATTTGTGTAATTATCATATGCTTGACATTCATCAAAAATATTTTTTTAATTATTTTTTTTACCTCTTGTATTCATTTTTTTTTTGTTTAATTAAAAAGGACGGGATTTGAATATATTTAATTTAAATTATGCTATATAATAACTTATGCGGGTATTAAACTAGATTATGAATATGCAGAAGAAAAATAGAGTAACATGTGACTATACATGAACTAAGATTGAAAGTTTTATGAGAAATATTCTTTTCTTATTTGAAGCATTTAGTATCGAGGGATGTGTGATGATTTCTATGGTCCGAAACTCGACTAGTTATGTCTAATTCATGTTTTTTATGTATTGTCATTTTTAACCGACTTTTTCAGTTTAAATTTTTTATTTTCACGTTTCAACATTTTATTTTGAATTTTTGAAAACCGGTAAATTTTGAATTCCAGAAAACCGTTACAAATTCTACGTAATTTTACTAAGTACAGCAATAAGGAACTATCTATCAAGTTTCGAGTTTCTAATCATAGAAAACTATAAAAAATCTTACTATTCCATCACACATTCGTGTCTAAATCCCTCGAGTAGCATAAAAATAAAAGTTATAAAATATAGACTAGATATTGACAACTAGAGACACTATAAATGAATCAAATAAATAGGAATAAGGAATTACTAAGTAATAGAGAGATAAAAATATCACAAAAATATTGTTAAAAGAAGCTACAGTGATTGTCAAACTTCACTGTATTCATGTACTATTTTTTAGATTGAATTTTAATTCATTTTTTTCCACTTAACACGTCTTCATTATTAAGTTTTAAGGATTGTAGTTATGGGAGATCTCTCTTAACGTAGATTGATTTATCGCTGAAATTATATGAAGTGATATTTGACCTCGATTTTCCTCATTAAGTTTTTATTTTTTTGATAGTAATGAACACTTTCTTGTCTCCTGAGAATTCATCGTGATATTTTGCCTAATTTTATCGTCAGCGATAAAGCAATCTTCAGCGAGGTGCGAAATAATAATAAGTATAAAGTTTGGTCACTCATGAGTCATGACCGAGGCAGGCGCATTCTTCTAGCAAAGAGTTTGATTTTATGATTGAAACTAGGGAAGCTAGTGAGGTAAGCATGGCTTATGTCCAAATCTTTCTAAGCAATATAAAAGAGAATTTGAGGTTAAACTGGGTTAAACCAGCAAAAGAAGTGATTAATACCAAAAATTCAATCAAATGCTGTAACCCAATAATCATGAATCCCAAGTTTAACACTTTATTAAGCCCACAATTGAAAGATTGAATCTTAAAAACTTAATTCAGATCCGACAGAATTCAGCCAGATTGTAGACAACAGCATCAATACCTTTCAGAAAAATGCGCTAAACAAGGAACAGATAAAGAGGGAAAGAATTAAGCAAGCAGAACAAGCCAGAGAGTGTTCTTTAAAATGTCAATGCTATTTCAAATACATAAATTATTTCTGACTGCTTCAGTTTTACATCAATGGCTCGATTACAGGAATTTTTCGTGTATATACTTGTGTCCTTTATTGCATTCTAGAGTCGTTCAATTATTATTATTTTTGTGTGGGGTGGGGGCTGACTTGACAGGATGGGCAGTGAATTGTGGCAATAGGGGGAGTTGAGGAATAATGTCCTAGACTTATGATCTTGCAAAAGGGATCCATTAAAGTCCAAAATTAATAATTGGATTTCTTACAATTCTGGTCTTTTTACATACCCCCCCCCCCCTCCCTTATTCCTCAAAAATATTCAATTTTCTAAGGTTTACTAATCACGTTCTTTAAGACATCAAACTATGTGAACAACCCTAGCCGTAGTAATTGAACGATCACTAATATAACTAATTCTCTTTATCATCGTCATCAGGGGTGTAGCTAGAAGAGTGGGGTTTTTTATAGCTACCCCCTGACCGTCATCATCACAAAAAAACTAAATTATTACTTTTTAATTACTTTTTAAGGTATTAATGACCACCACATGGCATTTATTTTAAATTTTTGATTTAACTACATCATGACCCTACGAAAATATTTTCTTATGTTTCTTGTTATTCTCAATAAATATCCTGTACGTACAATCATTTCAATATTTCATTATTTCTTCGTTTATAATAATTATAAATAATTATTGTTAAGTTATTGTTCTTTCAAAAACGCATTATTATTTTTTTTTATATGGCTGGAATCAAGTTATAATGCATAATCATGTCCAAGACATTTGCCGTACAACGGTAAGACAATCTTTAACATCTAGTCATCAAAAAAAGTTTCCTAATTCCACATTATATCTTTGATTAATCATTCACATCATCATCATCTATTTATTTACAAAAAAACTTTATGCAAGGCGTTATGTCAATTTAATTAAACTTTTTTTTAAAAAAATTTCTGTTTCGTAATTTTTTCCACGTTTTTTCAAGAAAATTTTTTTGAAAAAAGTCCAAAAATGAAGAAATTTGCAAAAATTTTAACTTTTTACTTCATTTATAATTCGAAAATGTGAGACATTCAGAAATTTAACATGTGTGTGTGTGTGTGTGTATGTGTGGGTGTGAGGGGGTCGTGTCTGTGTCATTGAACTTGATGTAAAAATTTTCTTTTAAATATTTTATAGTAAAAAAATTAAATGAAGCTTTATTTCTTCAACATGCTCTTATGTAAAAAGAAATTATCTACAAATATATATATAGCGTATATCATCATCATCATCATGAAAGAAGCCACGAAAGATTATGCTACAAATCTACAAATCAGAGATGAGGAACTGCTTTATGATTTCTTCTTTACTTGATTGACTTTAAAAAGGATCTCACAAAAAAAAATGGTAAATTACTTCATTGACATGGGATGTTGTCAATATCTGATGATGGGAAAATCGTTAATCCTCACGAAATTATTTATGTATAGCCATTACTTCTTTTTTGGGATATAGATTATGTTGTCGTGAAGGTTTCTTTTAAGGAAATGACGAGTCAATTTGAGTTTCTCACAAATTAACCTTAAAAATTGATGAAATTTTCCTACTCTAGCTTAGAGTCCTCTAAACCTACACTTAGTATACATCAGACTAACCCTAACCTAGAGTATCCACTAGGAAAATGAGTTCTAGAAGTGTACCAGGAGTATTTCTCTTAGAAGTAGGTTGTGCAATTGGTCCAGAGACCAAGAAACACGACTCTATCTCCTCCACTGACTCTAATCCTAAAAGTATAAGCCTAATCAAGAAAGCAAGAAACCACAGCCAACATCCCTCATCTCCAGCTACAATCAGGAAGGAAAAATATCTTCACATTCTTTATATGCCTTAAAAAATATGGATGTGAAAAAGTTGGGGTGTATATAATTAAAAAGATAGCAATTGTCACGAAGAATAGATAGATAAATAGATATAGTGAGCGAAACTAAATAAGAAAATGATTGACAAAAGTGTGATTCTCATGTTGTTACAAAAATTTAAAGCTTCTTGGTTTCATTCGTGTTATATTATTCATAATAATGTCATTCGTAAATCGTGAATTACATTGTCTATAAATGGTATTTAATGTAGTTTTTCTTATCTCATTGTATATGATGAACAACTTTTTTAATATATTCGATGAGGAAGGAAGGGTCAAATGTTTCATTTCTTATGTATGGAAAGAATCAAAAAAAAAATCTCATTTCCCATTCGCATGTTCTTGTTCATACAATCTTTTTTTTAAGGATTAAGACCAAAAAAAAAATAATAAGGAAAAAAGTCGTGACGCTTAGAGCCATTCGAGCGATTTTATATACAACTAATATACTTTTCTAATTATTTACCCGCAAAAAATGGTTGTTTCATTCACGCATCCACACATATGTTCTCATTCATTCATTCGCGCCAAATCTCTGTTATTATCACGCAAACTTATGTCCTGGATTTATTGGAATTATTAGCTCATCATCATCATCCTGATCGTCAAAGCCATGATCGATTATGAATGTTGGACTTTGACGTGATGTTGATGCTATTGGTTGATAATGATATCCTTGACGATTTTTGCGCATTGAGCCTATTGTTGACTTTTGATTATACACCTGGTCAGGTCGTTTTACTGTAAATAGAGGAGGAATTTGATGTTAGATCAGTGCTTAGAAAGATACTTCTTAATTGGTTGTAACCCAAACCTAATACAGCTCTTAATTTAAAAAAGTGGAACTCACTTGGAATATAAGCTGGCTTTTGATTCGGCATTGGCATGTCTATATCACCTTCAAGTTGCTCTCTTATCGTATCTGTTACAGATCTCTTCATTGTTTTATTGTAATGATTTGGAATATTGCTGACTTTACTACGTTTATCACCAATATCGTTACTACTTAACGGACTTAGCTCCCTATCATGCAGTCCCACTTGATCTTCATTCAAACCTCGTCGGAATCGTCTGAATCGTCGACGACAATATGGACAGCATGCTAAAATTGCTAGTATAAATGCTTCTAATGCACAACAATAACCAATTATCTGAAATTGAGAGTTATTTGAAGATCAACATGTTTAACCTAAAAACATAGACTTTGAGGAACTTACAGCTGATACAAATAACGTATCTTTTGTATATTTGACCACCCATACAAACTCCTCAGCAAAGAAGACCATGTGAATGATCAGCGATGAGCTGAGAATGAATAACAATCCAATCGTCAGGTACAACCACGCATTCTATAATAAGGAAGAACCAAAGAAGCTTTTTAAACACTGTCAAGTAAGTTTTCAGGATGCGAAAAGCTTTAAAATCATTAAAAATTTTCTCTTTGAATTTTGAATTTTGCAAACTTATAAAGGAACAGAATAAAGAAATGAAATTTAAATTATAAATAGCACTGCATTCTGCTAATGACATTTCCATCAAGCTAGCTACGAAGGCGATAATGTCATTTATGCAGACATGGCAGTAAAAAATTAAGGAAAATTCCCTCATGACTTTAAAGACGAACTACGAGTCGCAGTCATGAAGAAATGTTTATAGATATAGAGTTAAATAGATTTAGAAGCCACCAATAATTCAAACTTCCAATGTTTTTAAAAATTGATCCAGCTGATCCCGAATACATACAAGCATACTTACTAATTTCCCCCAATTAAAGGGAAACATCAGTGCAATATGTGAGATATCCAAAAAGAGCATTAAACATGTTACTAGCAATGAGAAAAGTGCACAAAAAACCTATACCAAGAGAAAGAAAGATGTTAAGATCTTTGTTAGTGATGATTATAAGTTAATTGGCTACACATTAAATGTTATTATTTATAATTATTATCAGTGATGTTAATGGAATGTTAGTATGTTATTAAGATATCAAATTTCATATTCTACAAGAAGCTACAACACACAGACGGAAAGGAATAGTAGGAAAGAAGGAAGGTTTAAAGTTAAGAAGAAAACATTAACTGTAGGATTATGATTCTTAAAGAATCATTTTTGTTGCCGACATACAGGAGACAAAACAATGTCTATTGAACGACCCCTAACAATATTAAGCATATAGAATAACAAACTCGGTCACATTTAACTCAAATCGTTTATTTTTCCGTGTCCTGATTTCTTAAATGTGTTTCGCGAAAAGAAAACTTTCTCAAAAGAATGTGATTTGTCATTTGATGGGGAGGAGTAGAGTATCTTGTAAAATTATGGAAATCATAAATATCAACCACACATACACTTTGGTGTCACACATTTTTGGATGTTTTATGAACCATATTCATTCAATTGAGATAAATGAATTCCGACTCAATTCAAATCACATGAAAGCTGTTCATCCATTAAATTGAAGTAAAGTAGAGTTATCATATATCTGACGAGCCTGACAAACGACTCATTGGTTTGTTATTGAATTTTATGAGAATAAGAACTAGCCTTTACTTAGACTGTAGTTCATGGATGATTAAGAAGGAGAGAAAATGAACGAAAGTGTGATAAAATAGACATGAACAAGTAGGATGAAAGGAAGGCAAAAGAGAGAGAGAGAAAAAAATGTAAAGTAAGTGAGTACATACCATCAATCTTAATCGTCCAATCAATGGCAGTAAAAAAAGTCCAACTTGTACTGTTCCAGCAGAACATTCAAACGCCAAGCAACAAGCTGATGATATCTAAAAATTATGATAATTTTTAATAAGAGCAGCATAGAGAATAGAAAGAGAAATGAAACAATGAGGCAAAGAGGAAGGAAAAAGAAATTTTTCATAAATGTATGTATGTACATGTACATTCCTGTACGTTTGTACGAAATAATACAAATGAAACAGAAGAGAACTTGTTGAGTGAGGAACCAAAAAATAAAATAATAAGGCTATAGACTTACAACCAATAAAATTCGAACAATTCCTGTTGGTGTTTTAAGATGTGACGCATCACAATGAAGCACAACACCTCCCCATCCCATTTGATTTTGTCCAAGACGTTCACGATAATTGAGATGCGAGTCCCATGATGAGCATGTTTCCAATGGCGATTCAAGAGGTTCGAGCGGTGTTGTAATTGATATTTCTCCGGCTCTGCTACCAGCAATCTCAAAATCTTGTAAATCCTCGTGACAGCAGGCCGGCTCCAAATCGCGTATTTCTTCCAGTAGAAAGTCTATTTCGTCCGTACCATAAATATCAGAGACTGAGCGAATCGGAGGCGGCTGTTGTTGTTGCTGCATTTCCCCATTTCCCAAAGCCCCTACTATTTCGAATCCGGCTGATTTGGAGCACTACTGAATTTTAAAATCCCAACTCACTCCACACCTTCCTTTCCTTACTCGTCTCGTCTCGTTCTTCTCACGTTCCTTACAACGACTTACTCCTCTGGATTTTTTTTTTTCAATTTATTTTATTTTTTTTAAATAAGAAGGAAGAAAGTGTAAAATGGAAAAAAAAAATATGTGTTCATCTATTAATATACACTCCATAGTAGTATTAACATAAAATCGATTATAATATAAAGGCATAGTTGAGTACGGGAGTTATTCGCAAATGATGTCTAGGGCTTTTTTTAAATTAAGATTTTTTCAGGGATTTTTTTTATAATGTCGCATAGGTCAAGGGGGTTCTTTCTAGGATTACTTGAAGTACCCTTCCCCCAAATTTGGAATTCAAACGACATATGACTGTGACTAGGGAAGGGTATCCTTAGTAGCCCCAGAAACCAGTCCCAAATATCTTCTAAATTTTTTGACATCATTTACAAATGACCCTCAGTGGCAATTCTCGTGTTTTTTTCACTTCTTCAATTCTAAAGTCCTTGTCTAGTCTCTTTTATTTCATTATTATGTTCCCATTTTCTTCTTTTTACGATTATTATGCATGTATATAATATAATGAAATTTTATACACAGCACACAACATGCATTCACTTCCTTTTATGTGATAACAAGGATCAATTATAACGATTTTAATCATCTTCACTAGAACTTTTGTAAATTGCACTTAAAATTGCCTATTGACAATGACGATGAGTTATTGAAGTGTCGATTTTATAGTGAGTAAGTAGGTTACAGCACCACTCAAAAAAAAAAAAAAAGGAAAAAGAAGGAATGTGAGAATTTATGTGGGAAAAAAGTGAAAAGCGGGAGGAATTTGGTGTAAAAGAAAATCGTATGCGAGGGTTGTACGATTTTAGGATATTCTTTTTTTTTCTCTTCCTTGTACACATACACACTGTGCTAGTTCCTCTAATCACTTAATATTCACTCACGAAAAAAAATTTAACATGAAAAACCTTTAAAAATTTTCTTTTTGTTTTACAGGAAATGCCTTTGAACATACTATAATAAATTTTAATGTTTCGTTATTTCATTTCCCATGCTCGTAAGCAGGACACATTGCGATGAATGAATGAATGCTACTTGCATATTTCCTTTTAATGAAGGGAGAAAAAAAAACATAAATCGATAATTTTTCATTCAAGGAAAATGCAGTTTAATTTATGTTTTCACACATCCAGCACATTATTCTTCATGATTTTCATTATCTTGACACTCTTGTCTAAATCATTATTCACCTTTTTCTTTTAAGATACTTAAAATAACTTAATTAAATACATTATTTTAAAAATCTTTCCTAGCATTTTCAACTTTTTTTACTCTCAGCTTTTTATCCTTATTCTCTTCTTAATTCTCTCTTTCTCTCATCATGTCCTTTCGCAATTCGAATCTTACAATACTGTTATGACAATTTTGCATGATCCTACTTGCTGTGCTTACAATGGTATCTGATGAGAGGGAGTGATTGGGGGGTGTCAAAATTCCAAATTCAAGTCTCAAATCATTTTTCATTGTTTTAATAGTTATAAATCTGCTCAAATACATAACATCAAGTATCAAATCATACCTCCTACCTCTATTTTCAATTAATTTCCTCATATTGTAGATTGAATGACAGTTGATAGTCACGTGTTGAAAAAATTATTTGAAAATAACGAATAAAATTTGAATTTTTGAGGGTGCACAACTAAGCAATTGCAGACAAAATCAAAACAAAGCAAAAAATTTAAAAGTTTATCAAAAATCATAAAAATAAGCATAATTAAGTAGTTTAGGCACGTAGAAAACAATCAGTTGTACTTACAACACCAATTAAACACCATGACAGATATGTCAAGCCCAGTTAATCGGATAGATATAGATGCACTTGAAGTCCTTTCATTTTTTGGAGATATTAATTTAATTAATTTGTAAGTAGTTCACTTTAAAGTTGATAATCACTATGACTAACATGATCAAATGATTAATTATTGTAGGTCTGAGTTAGATGTAGCGGAATTAGAAGATGTCACGATTTCATTGACCAAAAATTTTGTGATTCTCACAACGTGCTTCAAGACTGGATCTGTGAATATTTTAAACTTTAAGGAACACTCATTAAACTGCATTAAATACCTAAAAATCATATGCTCAAAAGGTTCTTCCTTCCAAAACTTAATAGCCAACACAAATGGAATGCTTGAAAGTGTCAAAATAATACTCGAATCAGGATGTGACGAAGAAGTTAAATTAAGATCCTTTCAATTGCTAGCAAATCTTTGCGTACAGAATGAACGAGCACAAAAGAAGTTGTGGACTGAATTGAGTGCCTTGATTATGGACAAGTTCAATTCAAATGATACAGCATATATCAATGTGTCAGCAATGATAATTTACAACATTTTACTGCACAATCTAGACATTATTGATAAAAATCTGGTGCTAACAGATAGTTTGAGTCATTATGACAAGTTTTTAAAAGAAGAGTCACCCAAAGTTCCCGATTACTTCCATATTCTATTAGAATATTTCATTTGCGAATTTAATGAGATAGTTGTAGCTTATGAGAACTTAGAGGACGACTTGAAAAAAATATTTCTGTACTATTTACACGATCACGTCGAGCATGAGTCAAATCCGTGAGTATGCAATTAAATTGTTTCTATTCAGCATTGCTTAATGTTAAATTTTTATACTTTTAGAGTTGTGAGCAAGCCATTACTTAATCATCTTTCGTTAGAATTTAAGAAGAAGTCAGATTGTATACTTAAGACTGTCTCAAATTATGTAGACAACATTGATCCTGACTTTGTCGTAATTCTATTGGATATAATATCATCAGCCACGACACATGAGAAATATTTAAACATTTTGAAAGATGATCGTTCATTATTCTTAAATATTGGATGTCTTCTTCAAGCATTGCACAAGATCGGAAAGAAGTCTGACAATGTATTTACGCCAATACAAAAATTAGAAGCATTAACTCCACAATCATCAGTTAATTCCGATTTCGAGAAGGAAATTTCTTTCGCATTTAAATCAAAACTCGTTAAATCACTCGCAAATCTATCATATCGAAATAAAAAGAATCAAGAACTGGCACGAGAAATGGAAATCATGCACAGCATCTTCGAATGTACTACTGCCGATGCGAGAAATCCACTCATCAAAGAATGGAGCATTTTAGCGATTAGGAATTTGTGTGAAGATAATGTCGAGAATCAAGAGATTGTGAGAAGTTTGACAAAAGTTGGCAATGCTGAAAATCCAGTTTTAAGTGATTTTAAACTCGATGATGGAGTCTTTCGTATTATAAAATAAACATTTTCGCCAATAACGGTATCAAAATCATTTTATATAAATAAACGTTTTCTGTTATTCACACCCTTTTGTCCACAGTCAATTCTTATAGCCTTGATAAGCCTTGACACCTTTATCTGTTTTACGTACGTGTTTTTACGTTACCTTATATCTAGGGCCATTTCAGAAGATTTCAGCTAGTTCCAACAGCAGTATCAGCTATAGTAATGAATACCATCCCTCCAATCTACGAAAAAATTATAAAAAAATCAATAGAGAGGCGTGGTGTGAATTGCCTTATGCTTACATCCTGCCTTAAATGGTAGTTTTATGTCATTTGAGTTTGCAAATTTATTGAAAAATTAAATTAAAGCGCATTTGTCAAAGCAAACTTGTTTGAATATCTAAAATGAAGATTTCACTATAATTAATAATATTACAAACATTTAAACAGCTGTACTAGCAATTGTATTATAAACAGACTATAGCACGAATAGAATATACAGCACGCCACATGAAAAAGCGAACGGATCTGTCAGTTTTATAAACATACAGACACACAAAATTTTGTTATTAAAGAGAATAGTATGAATCATAGGATATATAGTGGAAATATATTTGTGTAAAGTAGTTTAACTGCAAAAGACGTATGATGTGGATGCACAAATTTAAGCTGCTGTTGTGGAAGAACTGGATTCTTGTCAAAAGACATCCAATTGCCGGTAATTATTGACATTATTTTGTCATCGTTAACAAAAAAAGATACAGTGAATTAATTTATTCATCCACAGCAATTTTTGAAGTAGTCTTTCCAATCCTAATTGTTATTTTATTCACTGCTTTGAGAAAGGCAGCATCAATTGAAAAACATCCAGAGCTACATTTTGATCCATTTGAATCCTCACATCATCCATGCAAAGTTGGATATATTTATGAAAAAGATAATAACGATATAACAAGATTGGGATTTGCACCAAACAATCCCTTCTATTCAGATCTCGTAAAATCAGCACTTGGAACTAAATTTAGTTATTCTGGATTCAAAACTGAGGACGAATTAAATGATTGGATACGAAATAAATCAATAATAGGGCCTGTTGCTGCGATAAACTTTGACATGGCACAATCTGTAAGTCGAATTGACACAAAAGCATGAAAATCGATTAATTCTTCAGCATTAATTAATTCATAACAATGTAATTACATGCTATCAGCAACTGTTGATTCTCATTATTCGTTTATTTTTGTAGAACTTGACAGCTCCAAAGCAACTTATCTACACAATTCGTATGCCACAAGAAGCAACTGAAGACAATTGGGGAACTGATCAATTATTCTACGTCAGTCCATCAAAACAAAGTCGAATTGGAGCAGCTAAAGGAATTCCTAACACTCCGCCTTATTATGGATCCTGCTTCCTTCACATCCAAGATCATCTGGATCGAGCATTCATTAAGCAACAAAACGCATCAATTGACATTCCCTTATTGGCACTAAATCCCTTTCCATATCCAAGTGTCGTTGAGGATTTATTCTTATTGTTTGCAACTTCTTTATTTCCCATGCTGTTCGTTTTGTCAATGATTCTGCCTGTTAAAAACATCATTAAGGTGAGAAATATAAGTTTAATTAAATTTTATGAATGCCTTCATGTCTATCAACTATTTTAGAATATAACAGTCGAGAAGGAGACACAGCTAAAGGAAAGTATGAAAATGATGGGTTTGACAAGTGGAATGCACTGGATATCGTGGTTTACAAAATGTTTTATCATGCTCATTATTCCATTCACCATTAATTGCATTTTAATGACAACAACACTAGTTACTGACCATGCAATGTTTTTAAAGACGAATCCGTTAATTGTGTGGATCTTTCTAGTCATTTATATAATATCCGTGATAATGCTTTGCTTCCTGATTGCTGTCGTTTTTACAAAGTCATCGACTGCAGCAAATGTTGGATCACTTATGTTTTTCCTTACAATCTTACCGTACTCATATTTTGGAGAGAAATTTCATTCATTTCCGTACATATTCAAGATAATCTTTGCTTTATTGCCCAACACAAATATGGGAGTTGCTGTTTCAATGCTTTTAAATGCTGAGTCAAACAGAGACGGAATTCATTTTATGAACTTATTTAAGCGTGATCTAGATATGAAGTTTTCATTTGGTGAGCTATTGCTTTATATGCTGATTGGCAGTATTATTCAAATGCTTCTTACAATCTACATTGAACGAGTCTTTCCTGGTGAAGTTGGAATTAGTGATCCTTGGTATTTTCCATTTGTGCCATTTATTAAATATTTAAAGAAGAAAATGGGATACACGACATTATCGAATGAAGCCGTGTTGACTGAACGGAAATTATCAAATCCAGATTATGAGGAAGAACCTGATAATTTACGGTCTGGAATTAGAATTGTCAATTTAAGTAAGAAGTTTAATGATAAATTTGCTGTTGATAAATTGTGCCTGAATTTATATGAGAATCAAATAAGTGTGCTGCTTGGACATAATGGAGCCGGAAAAACGACAACCATGTCAATGTTAACGGGTCTTTATTCCCCAACTGCTGGAACTGCTTATATTGATGGAAAGGATATAAGGACAGAACTCGATGAAGCTAGAAAATCACTTGGAATTTGTTGTCAGCATAACGTACTTTTTGAAGAATTGACTGTTCGAGAGCATTTGTTGTTCTTTTGTTCCTTAAAAGGTGTTGAGGATGAACGATTAGTGATGGAAGAAACTAAGAAATATACTGAAATTCTTGGATTGACTGAGAAACTTGATACAATGAGTAAAGAATTGTCTGGCGGAATGAAACGAAGATTGTCGATAGCTATTGCTTTATGTGGAAATGCTAAAATTGTCATTCTTGATGAGCCTACTTCTGGTATGGATCCTGAAGCTCGACGAAAGCTTTGGGACTTATTGATTGAGGAAAAGAAGGGACGAACTGTCTTGTTGAGCACACATTTTATGGGTAAGTTGCAACTTTTTAATAACTGTCAAATAATATTTGAACAATAACGATTAAACAATCCCAAAAATTCAAAACTTAAACGGTTATTTTTCAAAGATAAATTTACCGGTTTTTAACAATTCATTTAATTTAATTAAAAGATGAAGCTGACATCCTAGGTGACAGAATAGCAATAATGGTTGAAGGCGAGCTACGTACAGTTGGTTCGTCATTCTTTTTAAAAAAGAAATTTGGTGCTGGATATCGGTTAATCTGTGTAAAGGCATTTGGATTTCAAAGCGTGGATGTGCTTAATGTCCTGCATAACTATACACCAGATGCAATAATAGAATCAGAAACTCAGACAGAAGCTACATTCGTGATTAGTGAAGATAAGTTGCCATTATTCGAACAAATATTTAAGGAACTAGAAGATAATTCAGAGAAACTTGGCATATCAAGTTTTGGATGTAGTTTGACGACCTTAGAAGAAGTGTTTCTTAAGTTAGGAATCGAGAATCTTACGCATGGTGAGAGAGTTGACGAGACAGATGGAAATCAACATGAAATAGACATAGACAGAGAAACATCAGTAAAAGTAACTGGATATAAGTTAGTTCTATATCAGATTTATGCAATTCTCCTTAAAAGATTTCACGTTTTTCGTCGAGCATGGAAAAGTATTGTGTATATAGCTTTAATCTCAGTTTGGATGATTGTTGTTATCATGAGTGTTCCACGATTAAGCTTTAATGACATTAATAAGCTTAAAATATCACTGGATACGTATGAAGAGACACATACTGTGATTGAAGATAGAGGATCTGATTTTGTGGCATCATATAAATCCTTACTCTCTGGCAAGGATGAAGTTGAAGTTATTAAGACAGATTTTAGTCATTTCATTTTGGAAAAGTCCAACGAATCATTTTCAACAGTCATGCAAAAGTATCTAGTTGGTGTGACACTCGAAAAAGAATCAATTACTGCTTGGTTTAATTCACAGCCATATCATACAATTCCACTAACAATATCCATGATTAATCGAGCAATTTTAAAGAGTGTTGCTGGAAATGAATATGATATTACTGTATACAATAAGCCATACTCGATGCCATTAAATGATAATGAATCTCATATTGCAATATTTGAAGATCCAAAAAATGTTATCTTTGCCTTAGTCATAATATTCTTCTTGCTGACATACTGGCCTGTTATATTCATCGGACCGTACATAAAGGAACGAGAATGTCGCGCAAAATTATTGCTGTACATTAGTGGAGCAAGTCGATATACTTATTGGCTGACGTCATTCTTATTTGATTATATCGTGTTTTTGATAGTCTGTTGCTTTATTATTGGAATGATTGGAGCTTATCAACGTGATCATTATGCTACAGCTGCTGAATTGGGAACTTTGATGGCAATTTGTTCATTTTATAGTTTTGGAATGCTGCCTTTCATTTATGCATTTTCATATTTGTTTACCAAACATTCAACTGGCGAAACTTATCTGTCGCTGATATCCTTGTTATGTGAGTAGTTGATTGATCTATTTGAAGACCGCTACATTTTACGTAGAATTTTACGTAAATATTTTTAACCGTTAAATTTTGAATATTTTTTGACCGTTATTTTTCAAATATTACTTTAGTGGGTCTTCTTTTTGGAGTCTATCAACTTCTAAGGTTTGGTTTAGAAAGTGCTTGGCTGAGAGGACTCATTGAATCCTTATACTGGGTTGGATTGCTGCTTGCACCATTTTCATTAACTGAAGCACTAGTCAAACTAGGATTTTCATTCCTTAATCAAAAATGTAAGTGATTTTAAGGTTTTATGGTCCATTGATTCTAATTCTCCTTAATTTCAGCAATCTTCACATTCGACCGAGATACAGGAATTGGAATTAATATTGTCTTTAATTTGCTTGCTGGATTTTTGTTCCTTGGCTTTTGTATTTTAAAAGATCATCTTGTGTTTGAATGGATTTATTACAAATATCTTAATCGTCCAAGAGCCTTGCCATTGCTTAGTGAAAATTTAGACAGTGACGTGAATGGTGAAATACAGAAAGTTAAGGAAATGTCAATGGATGAAGTTAAGAACAGCAATTTAGTGCTGAAAGGAGTCAGTAAATATTATAACAATCTTTTAGCTGTAAATCAACTTTATTTAGACGTTGAAAGTTGTGAATGCTTTGGACTACTTGGAATTAATGGTGCAGGAAAGACTACAACATTTAAAATGATGACTGGCGATGAACTAATAACAGCAGGTGATGCATTCATTAGAGGATTCAGCATGAAAAGTGATTTGCAAAAAGTTCATAGACTTATTGGATATACACCACAATACGATGCCTTAATTCCAGAATTGACTGGAAACGAAACTTTAAAAATCTTCTCCTTAATTCGTGGAATTTCAAAATGTGAAATTTATCAGAATATCAATCGAATGTCTAGTGAAATGGGATTTCAACAGCATCTCGGGAAGCAAATTAAAGCTTTTAGCGGTGGAAATAAGAGGAAAATGTCGACATGCTTGGCACTGCTTGCATATCCACAACTTATCTTTTTGGATGTAAGTTTTTCGATTCATCATTTAATTACAATTTAAAAAAACCTTTTCCCATTTTCAGGAACCAACAACAGGCATTGATCCACAAGCAAAACGTCAGTTATGGGATGTAATTACTAAAACACGAAATTCAGGTCGAGCAATTGTTATAACTTCACATAGCATGGAAGAATGTGAAAATCTCTGCACAAAAATTGGAATTATGGTCAACGGTCAGTTCAAGTGTCTAGGATCTGTACAATATCTCAAAAATAAGTATTCAAAAGGCTTTGTTTTGACTATAAAGATGGGTAAAGATGATACAGACTTCCAAATTGAGATACAAAATCGAGTTTTAGAAGCATTTCCATCAGCTGAATTGAAGGAAAAGTATTTGGACATTCTTACTTTCCACATTGACTCTACAAACCTCCAATGGTCTCAAGTTTTCGGTATTTGCGGACAAATGAAGAAAGCTATCAATATTAGTGATTATTCTCTTTGTCAGATGTCTTTAGAGCAAGTATTTTTGTTGTTTAGCAAGAGTGGAATCTACCAAAATGTTTAAGGTTGAAATAAATTCACAAATCAGCACCATAAGACTTGTTTAACAAATAAAACTTATTGTAACGCTTTTATTTTATGCCTCATTATTATTATTATATATACAATTTAAGGACTGTGAGTGAGTTATTTTAGTTTAATAAACATTTTAAAGCAATATTCATGAATAGTTTTTATTCCTGAATTATCTTAATAAATAGCACAATATTTTTAAATAAATTTAGATTTTTGAGCAGTTGACGACGAAACTCCAGGACTAGCATCAAACGTTTTAAGAACAGATTTGAGACCTTTTGTTATGTCTAATTTTTCAAGGCCTTTCATAAGTTGTATATGCGGCGATTCAACATGTTCAAATCTTAATGAACCGTCTCGTAGACTAGTCGGATTCCATTGGCAGTAATAATTCTTCCAAAAACGAATGTCTTGATCAGCTATATTAAGAACTTTATACTTTGAACTATCGTAAGAATTATTCTTATATGCATCTAATGATGAATTTATCCACGACCATAAAGATTTTGTTTGATGCTTTACTTCTATTTCTCTTTCACGTTCTGTATTACACATAAATGTCCCAAATCTGCATGAATAGAGATGATCCAAAATTGTTAAAAGAAAATGTTCATTAAATTCCGTAGCTTTTGAAAACTTTTGCTTTATTTGCCATATGCAGTCAATAAATTGGACGAAAATTGGTGACCGTTCATCACTTTTATATGTTGCATTTCCATGCCCATATCTTTGCTGAAATTTATGTCCAAAACTAAGCCACTCTTTTTCAATTAAAACTTCAAATCCTTTAATTGTACGATAATAAGGATCAAGCATGAACATTGATACTGAAGTAACTTGAGAAGTTCTATCCCAGCCATCAGAACAGTGTACAACAACTGAATTGTCATCTCTAGCTATACGATTAACAACTAAAACAGCTCCTTGAAGGATTTTTCTGATATGTCTTAGCCATCCTGTGCCTTCTACTGCCGAAGCCAATTTTTCACTACTTTGTGGCTGTAAACAGATTTGTTGCAACTTTTCAAAACTCTCACGAATCACATGAATATTTTGAATGTTCATAAACTGTATTTCAACGCCTGGATATGAATTGCCTGACTCATAGCCACCTCCTTTGGCTTTATTAAGCACAGCATTAGCTAATGGTCTGCAATCGGCTATAGTTAATTTATGTCCGAAGGAGTGAGTGCATCTTATCACATTAATATAACGCTCATCTTCAGCAGATCTGGTTTGATATACTCCAACTAGTGGCTGACTGCATCTTGTTATTGTTGCTAAATTTTTCGGATTTATCCATGACAAAACTGGCAGACGACCTTTAGATCTAAATTTGGCAACTATTTCAAGTTCATTATCCTTCAAGCCTGGAACAGTTATTATTGCTGGATATGATTCACATAGTTTATAATGTCTGTTACTGTAGCTTAATCTCCATTTTGCATTTTTATCTCCAGTTTTAATTCCCATTCTCTCAAACTCTGCGACTGGATCATAAATATTCCATCCATCTATAGCAAACACTTCTGAGTAACTGAATGCGAAGGTTTTAATACCAAAACTAATGGGATATATTGAAGATGTTAATGCTTCTATGAATAATTTGGATATTGCACTAATTTCGATCTCAAAACGCATTTTTCTTATATCCTTACATACCACATCAATTAAAGCTGACTTTTGATCATTGGGTAATTTTTTAAGTTTCAATATTGTACATAGTGGAGTTTCCAAATTCTTAAAATCATTTCCAATTGCTTGAAAATACATTCGATAATTTGTGACATATAAAGTTCCACTTTTTCTCTCATCCCAAGGACTGATATAGATCACTTGATGCTTTTGCTTTACCACTTCACCTGCTATATTGTTTAAATGCCTTGGAAACTGTACATGGGAGCCTCTTTCTTCCGATTTGGATCTTTTATACATTGTTTTCTTCATTATTTTTAAGGTTTTCGACTTGTTTGAGTTTCAACTGAATACTGACTATTATAATCAAATTCAGAGCATATGGAGTGATGATTTACTAAATTGAGAGATAAAAAGCAATTACTCAGAGTTGGTAAATATGTATTTAAAGCTGTACTTACTGTATTTAACAAAGCACATTCGTCTTTTGCTTTATAACGATTAATCTTTCAAATTAAAAAGGGGCACGAAACTATGAAGAAAGATTCAAAATAAAAATGATCGTTGTAGTTCAAAAAAAGTTCGTTTTTTTTATTTTTCTTTGTTTTCTTTTAAACGTGTAAATGCAATGAATTATAATTAATGGATAAAAAATGCACAGTTTAAGGCGATATTCGTTTATAATCAACATTAATGTACCTAAACGTTAACTATCAAAAACAATTTTTTTTAATTATCTTAAAACTAACACCATCATAAATTGTATGATTCAGGAAATGACAAATTCTTTGTGCAAATGAATGAATAATTGTGATTTGAAAAGATTTGTTTTTAAAGTATCGTGTGACTAGTTAACAAAAATATTATAATCTTAAGAACATCTTTTTCATCTTCATTAACAAAATTTATTATTTTTGACACAATCTTTCGCCTTTATATTGTTAATATTGTTTCATTTTTGTTTCAAATTCTTCTAACAAATTTCCCTGAAGTTTCTTGTATTTGTTGGTTTTTTGTTGATGAATTAAGGCATTTTGGCGATTAATCTGTGTAATAAAAAAATCAAAAATTTAACGGTCATTTGAAATTTGAAAATTCGTTATGTAAGAATTAAAAAACGTACACAATTTTACGTATCAAAACACGTACGTATTTCTTATTACGTTACGCAAAAAAACGACTTTTTTCACCCCCCCCCCCCTCTCCCCCTTGTTACAATATGTTACAACTCACACACCCCCCCCCCCCCCCCCCCTACGTTCATATTTTTTTTTATTTTGATAAAAAGGTGGAAAATTTAAAAAAAAATTTTAGATTTTCATAAATATTTTTACATACTTCTTGAACCCCCCCCCCCCCCCCCTTAGGTTACAATTTTTCAAACCCCCCCTCCCCCCTAAAATGCGAACGTAATAAGTGAACGGCCCCTAATTTACCTGTCTTCTTCCTCATGCTGACTTGATCAGTTGATAAGCTGTCAGTATCATCCTCATTTCTCTCTTTCTTTGGCCTTGTCCATTTTATCATTGTTTCAGGCGAGCGATACAGGAATATCAGTTTGGCAAATAGATCCTCTTCGAGTGTAAATTCAAGCGATTCACGGACAAGATAAATATCGAGACACAGTTGAAGTACACGATCGACATACGGTAAATCCTCAAACATAATTTTGGAACTGGCTCCTGAGAAGATGGTCGATCGCAACATGCGCGAGAATACGAAAATCAAAGTGGTGTAAAGTCCAACGATACCTGAGAATGATTAATTTAAAGTCTTACTGTTGAACTATCAAATTTTGGAGGTTCTCGATTTGAAAAAGTTTTCAAACCAAAGACCCCCAATAAAATTGAAAATTACCTCCAGCAGCAATGGAACTAATTGTACTCGGAAAGATTTTGTCACAGAACATATACATCATCATATATTTCTTGCAATCAGCATATAAATTATTGCCTGACGTATCTTTGTAATAAAATTCATCACAAGATTCTGTAACTTCCCACCACAACTGAGGCATAGCTAAAACAACATCTCCAAGCTGCTCTTCATAAAGCTTAAGCGTCAAATTCCGGAAATTAACATCATCGTCATCTGAATCTGCACCTTTAATAAGTTGATGTGCTGGTCGCAAAAGTCCATTATTTTTAACCTTTAAGAATTTTGGCATCATAAATGGCATGACAGTTGAGAGTGGCGTTTTGGTATCTTCCAACATTTTCCTTAATTGCAATCCAATTGAATCATTTCCTTTAAAGTCATACGTATGCTCGTCATCAACAGCTCCTGGATTTTCCTTTGAATGTGACTTCCTTTTTACATTATACTTAAATCTTGTCGTCAATGTCTTGTTCTCATAAAGATCTTTCAATAATCGTTCCTTGTCTGGAGGTGATATATTCCATATTGTTGATGAATTTGAACCTAGCTTGACTGCTGCTACATCTGATGGTTCGTAATTTGATAAGAATGTTACTGCTGCCTTGTCCTTTTGGTACCTTTTAAGGAAATAATCCCAATCATTTTGTTTAAGCTCAAAAATATCACTTCCTTGTGCACTCATTGCATAAACTGATTCATAAGGTCCAATTCTTAGTGACACTGAGACATCTTCTGGTCTATTTGGCTCACCGACTGTATTACTAAATGCAAATAGTGCCAATGGGAACCAAATGACTGTAATTATTCCAATAATCATTCCACCACCCATAAGATATTTAACGACAGGTCCTTTTTTCTGTCCGCGCGGTGCTGGCAAGTCACTTTCCATTTGTCGAGAGCATTTAAGTTGATAAATATTAGCAAAAATGTCTTCCATTTTAAGCCAGTCGAAAAGAGTCATTGACGTGTCTGTCCAGACCCAATCCATTAATGTTCTTAGTTCCATTAAGAATGGTATATTCATGAATACTTTAAAGCCAGCAAAATTAAGCATTGTGAATCCTTTGGTCAGGAAATTACCCAAAATTCTACTAGGGTAGCCGCAACGGATTTGATAAGCAGAAAAAAGCAAATAGAAGCACTTAATCATATAATAAATGACTGGTGGACGTGATTTATTGAAGCTACGTTCAGTTGTAGCTGGTAGGACGAAGAACATCCAAATGTGAAGTCCTATAATCAGGAAAAATTGGAAGACAATCTTTCCAAACATGTTCTTCCTTAAATAAAGTGCACGATCGATGACAATAAAGAAGAACTGAATAATCAGCATCAATAAGAAAGTTATTGGTACTTTGTTCTCCTCAAAATAAGACAAAACTCCACCGTCACCTTCTTGCGTACCAAAAGCTGAGAATCCAAAAAGAATCACAAAGAAATTTATAAAGTCACACAAAAATAGAAATCCATAAACATCAGCTGATCTTTTGGACTGTCTATCAAAAAGTTGATTAATAAATTCCTTTATGGACGACATGTACTTTTGACATGACAATTTAAACATGGCTACAAAACCTGAAGCTTCATCGTCCGATTCTTCGACCATTACTAAATCTTTATTGTCAATCATTGTGACTGACTTTCCATTCTCGTCTGGCTTCTTCTTATCATTATTTTTAAGCAGGACAATTTCATTCGATTCCTTTTCAATTTCTTTATTGACTGTCTCAACTTGATACTTTTCACCAGGCATCAATTTGTCAGTCGGTACTTCCGATTTCCATAATCCAAGTGACTTTAAAATAATTCGATGACAAAAGACAACAAGCAATAGAATCAAATCATATGTAGCATATCCATTCTTCTTCTCAATTCCTAAAATACGTGCTGCTGCAAAAGGCTGGTTTGGCGGAATCGCTGCTGTATTCCATGAGAATATATCAAATTGGAACGCACATTTTATGAGCACAACAGCTTGTGTGTATGCAATCAATGTGACCCAAAATGTTTTCGATGGACGTGGGAATGTCAATGTTCCCCACAAAAGTACCATAAATGGCAGTGGTAACGATAATATACTTGCTGATTTTATCTGTAATTAAAAATGTAATAATTGAGTAGTTATTAACTTTGCAGCAATTATTAAATTATGGAGCTAATTGAGACGAGCTTTATCCATCAGTAAACAAGGTAATTGAATACTTATTATTATTATTATTATTATTTTTATTATGGTCCATCAGCAAAACGCTATTTCAAGACCTGCACTGTTCCAAAAAAACTACAATTATTTTGATTTGTCTACATTTTTAAATCTAATCAATGGGATTCTCTGTCCTTCATGTGTCACTCATTGGGTAGATGTTCCATCACCATTGTCTCTAATTGCAGAGTTTGTGAAGTCTCCACTATCTTCCTTCTTTTCATCTTCTTCCTTCATCTCCTCGTCAGATTCTGGATTTTCTAAAGCATCAATGTCGTATTTCATGAGTAATTTAAATCGGTCATGATTGGTGTTTGGAAGTTCTGCTAGTTCGTCCACGAAGTTGCAGAAATCATTGATCGTCTTCTCTATGTCTGGAATTTTTTTTCAACTTTTCCTGAGCATCGCTTAATCTCTTTAAAAGCCCTTCAATCTTGACTGCTTCTTGAAACTTATCTGCGTAGCTTACGTGATTTGATATGACCGAACTGTATGATGCAGCTTGACTTTTCTCGATCACGTTATTGATCGTGAATTTTCCTTGATTCGGCAATTGCGGAAACTGTTTCGATGAGAATTCAGTTGTCTTCTTGATTGCACCTTTTGATTTATTTGGACGTGGAACTTTAGTTTCTACATACTTTTTATATGCAGGATAACCTCGATGATTTGCTGAGTGATTCCCTCCACAATTGCAGCAGACAACTTTAGCGTCTCTCACTAAACGAGGACATTGTCCTTTTGGATGTGATGCATTGCACTTGACACATTTAGCTTGAAGTCCACAATTGATCGAAGCATGTCCCCATGCCTGACAATTGTAGCATTGTGTTGCTTCCTTACTTGATTTTTTTAAGTTTTCCAACCTGATCATTATTCCATCGACGCTGCGATGCAAGCGATTCAGAGAATCCAAAGTGATTGTGTTGTCGAAATGCACCATGAACCAACTGAATTCATTCTTACGTATAAATTGAGTTACTTTGAGAGCTGGAATATCTTCCTTCTTGAGCATTTGAAGTAATTCCTCATTTGAGGCATCATAAAAACCTTTTAAAATAAATTTGTTTGATTTTTCACACTTTTCTGTAAAAGTGTGATATTCAATCTTTATTGTGCAAGTGATATGCAATTTGTTCCTCTGATCTTGCACAGCACTCTAGTCGTCATTTTTAATGATGAAATTACTTTTTTTGTATCCTGAATATTCGCTTTGACAAAAATCAGCTTTGCAGGCTTTCCTTGTCTTGGGTCGCATCTGGTTGATTCGTCTTCGTTGCTTGCAAACCATCACTAATTATTTCTGCATCGGTCTTAAACTTTTTTTTTCAACAGATTTTGATGGAATCGGTGAAATTGATTTTTTGCGCTTTTTTGTGCCCATTATTACTTTCCTCCACTTTAGCACTCACAATTCATTTGAAATATATACACCACACCACTTACAGTGCATGCAGGACTACCAGAACTAATATTTGAAACAATTTTAATAATTTTCGTTGTTTACACTTTAAGGGGCTGAGCACCGTGTATGAATTGAATACTTACTTGATTTAAGAACACCATCGCATAGCAAATAAAGTCTGTGTGAGATAGCACGACATACCAAAGTGCTTGGAAGCTGAAAAATAAATTCTTCGATTAGAAATAGGGTTTGGGGAACCTGTTAACAGAAAACAGAAAAACAGCTGTTTTTCGACAAAAATCTGTTAACAGAAAACAGGTCTCAAAAACAGATCTGTTTCCTGTTTTTCATTTTTACATATAATTTACAGAAAAAAAATTTTCTTAACTTTTTGAAGAATTTAATATAGTTTTCTAGAATTCCAAATTGAAATGTATTTACTATTTTAAATTTTTTTGAATGTTTAATAGGTTTAAAATCATTATCAAATTTATGATTAATCATTACTAATTTTGCATTCGAAATTTTAAATTTGTTGAACCTTTTACTAAAGTTCAAATATAGGGGGAGTATATTATCTTGGAAAAAATTTGCTGGAACGGATTTTGTTGGAAAATAATTTTTTGGAAGTGAAAAAATTTGGAATGGATTTATTTGGAAGAACATTTTTTTGTAACGGATTTATTTGGAATTGGATTATTTGGAAAATAAATAATTGGAAAAATAAAAATTTGGAACTTATTTTTTTGGAACAGATATTTTTGGAAAATATGATTTGAACCTGAATATTCAACTATTAAATCTTATATGAAACCTCAAGTAAAAATATAAAAAATAAATAATTTTAAAATTTTATTATTATGTTTAAGTATTTTTAAGTATTAAATTTAAAAAGCAAAATTAAGTATGTTTTCAGATTTAGCTTGATGTGTTATTGATATATTAATTTGAATATAAATTGGCCTAATTTTGTCCTAATCCGTGAAAAATAAATGAATTTTAAAACATAATCTTTGAAATTTTTCCTTAAATTTATTGAATGGTGTTTTAATAGATCATTCGTAAAGAATCAATAGTCTTTTATGATCTGTAAAAGATATGTCTTATTTCTTTTTAACTCCACTCATCCAAAGACTTTCCCCGTCACTGACGTATAATTTTTGGAAATTTATATGGTGATTAAATTACTATTTTTGTAAAAAACTCAATAACACATCAAGCTAAATCTGAAAACATACTTAATTTTGCTTTTTAAATTTAATACTTAAAAACACTTAAACATAATAATAAAATTTTAAAATTATTTATTTTTTGAATTTTTACTTGAGGTTTCATATAAGATTTAATAGTTGAATATTCAGGTTCAAATCATATTTTCCAAAAATTTCTGTTCCAAAAAAATAATTTCCAAATTTTTATTTTTCCAATTATTTTTCTTCCAAATAATGCAATTCCAAAAAAATGTTCTTCCAAATGAATCCATTCCAAATTTTTTCACTTCCAAAAAATTATTTTCCAAATAAATATTTTCCAACAAAATCCGTTCCAGCAAATTTTTTTCAAACAAAAATATAATCAACAATTTTGCAAGATATTTTTTTGTTTAGAAAGGTTTTTTTTGAATATTTCAAATAAAATATTAGAGTTTATGGAACTTTTGCAATGTTTCTTAAAAGTATAAATATTTTTTTTGAATTTTTATATTCCATTATATTTTATAGAGTTAATTAACGAAAAATTAAGAAATAATAATGCTTAGCTCTATAATGTATGCTTAATTGCTTATAACCAAAAGTTTCATTATCTTAGAGAAACACTAAGGGGGCCGTTCACTTATTACGTTCGCATTTTAGGGGGGAGGGGGGGGGGGGTCAAGAAGTTTGTAACGTTCTAACTGTCGTCTGTCTTTTAAAAAAAGTTCACGAAAAAAATTTGTTTACAAATTCACACCAAAAACATTTTTTTAAATTTTTCACCTTTTTAATGATTTATGAAAAATTATCAAAATAAAATAAATTATGAACGTTCGGGGGGGGGGTTGAGTTGTAAAATATTTTACAAGGGGGGGAGGGGGTGAAAAAAGACGTTTTTTTTGCGTAACGTAATAAGTGAACGGCCCCTAGGATAACTCAGTTTATTTTGAATTCTAGAAAAACAGGAAAACAGCTGTTTTTAAAAATCAAAAACCGAAAACAGACTGTTTTTCAAAAACAGCTGTTTTCCACAAGCCCTAATTAGAATGAGCTTTAGTAGCGGGTTTTTCACTTCCTTTATTTGAATCAGTCAAAAAAAATTCAAATTTTGCTTACGTAATGTAAAAGACGTAATCAAAATTACGCAATTAAATTTTCAAATCATTTCCAACCGTTATTTTTCAAAATTATTTTGACAGTTAAATTTGATTTTATAAGGGTGATACTTTATGGACAAATTTAAGGAATAATCAACTTACAGTTCAACAAAAATGTTGTGTTCTTTGCTAGCAAAATCATCCTCTTCTGGTTCTTCTTCAATTTTCAATACAACATCCTTTGATTTGCTGTAAATCGAGTCAATTTAATTATTACTAAACATTTACAAAAGTTTATGGCAAAAAGATCAGTCAGCATTAAGGTTATTTACAAGTAAGCATTAATAACGTGCAAATATAAATAGTCATGCAAAGAAGTTTTGGATTTTTATGGAAAAGCAAGCATAAGAAATTCACCTTTGGACGGAAATCAAAGAATCACACTTAAATGAGTCTAAATCCTCATCATCAATGCCATGGTCTAATGATGGAGCTAATATACGAATTTCAGGAGCTATCCATGACGATCGACGTCTTAATGTTCGCAAAAATAAAATGTATTAATTTAATGACAAAAAAGCATTAATCACTAGCTACTAGGTAGGTATATAAAAATCAACTGTCAAGTAAGGTAGCAAATTAAGACTCAAAAGTGATCGTGTCTAGGGCGTCATGAAAATGTGCAATGAATTTAGGGCAATTACCGCTAGTCCACGATGCAATAAATTCTACTCAATTTTCAAAGCTACTTTAAAGTCTATTAAAAATTAATGACCAAAAAGACAAAAAACTTACATTTCTTCAGAAGGCGGAGGTGGGGGAGGAGGTGCTGCACGATCGCGATCTCTTTGCATTAATGCGAAAGCTGCACCGATTCCACCCATTGGATGAAGCCTTATTGAATGCATTAATTAGAGACAAAAACAAGCGATAAATTATTTAATCATTGTTAGTAACAGCCAGGCTTAAATTCATTCCTTCAAGTCACAGAACAACTTCAAGCCATTAAAAATCCTAAATATTAGTTTAATGATATTATGGGTTAATAACACAAATACAAACACAGAAGCAGGCTAAGCAAGCATAAATAATTACCCTTCAGATCCACTCAAACGAGCAACTGATGATATCATTGAGTCCCGATCTGTACGATCTTCTAATGTCATTTTTAATGAATCTGCTTGGGCAATGCAATTGGAACTACTCAAACTATCACTATCACTATCTCTACTAACAATAATATCTTGTACAGGTGCCGTTTCGACCGAGTCTCCAGACTCAGCTGGCGATTGTCTAAATTGTTTATTTATGTCACATGAGTTATTCTTATAAAATTTACAAATTTTGATTATGATTGATTTTGAGGGGTACGGGACAATATTTACAGGGGGGATTTTGGGGGTACTTAAAAAATAATTAAATGAACATACCTCGATGTCTTTGCATGCTGAATTGGTGTCCATATCATATTGTTGCCACTTCTGAATCCAGCACCAAATCCAGGTGAATGCTGTTAAATATAAAATTTTATAAGAACCTTAACATCTTCAAGTCTACTCTAATCGTACCTTCAAAGTTTTCTTTTCTCGTGCCAAAACTCTCATGACATAACGGTAGCTCCTCGAGACACGATGTAGTCGTAAAGTAATTGATACTAAAATGCTTGACAAAAAGTCAGGAATCATTCTTAATTTTTTTATTATCAATTTTCTCTTTCGTTCTGTTTCTGTTTCCTTCTTTTCGCCACCTTCTTCATCGTCCTTTCCACTTTCTTTATCTTTAATTAATTTTGATTTGTCGTCTCCAAGGCTTGTGTCCTCATCATCTCTAAATCCACGACTTGTACTTGGTCTAGCACCATCTGCTTGAATTAGACCTTCAGTTTCGTCGTCGTATGAGGATATTGGTTCCTGAATTTGTGAAAAAAATTCTAGAGTAAGATTCTAATAAGGTTTTATGGATTCAAAAGCGATTTAAACGACTCATACGTAAGAAATTGTGAATCGTGTGTTAAGGAAGAAAGAAAATCACCACACAAATTAATTGATAAAAGCTGCATTAAAGAGATTCTAATAGCAATCTTAATTCTTACTTTTAATCCTTTAATTGTCTTAACATAAATCTCAAATTCTATTTAATACCTAATTAAGTATAAAGCATTGAAACGACAACTAAAACAAGTCCAGAAAAGCAAGTTAGTATAATTAATGCTAAATAAAGAAGAAGCTATAACTAATCTAAGATTAAAGATAGAAAAATTGCAAATTTACGATAGAAAAAGCCAACAACAAAAAATAAATTAACTAATGTGCTAGTCGTGCCTAAAAAGCTAAAATTCTTGAAACTTAAACTCACAAAATGAGTGTGCGGAATTGGTTCAGAATGAGCGGATCGCTCAATAGTGTCTGGCTGTTGAGAAGTATGACGCAAAACTGGAGACGAACTTCTCCGTGCCATAATCTTTTTCTTCTCAATTTCCTCTTGTTCCAATTGTTCGATCCTTTCCTTTTCTGTGTCTTCTTTCATTTTATTCAGATACTGAATTTTATTTTTTGAAAGTATAAAGCAGGTTGGGATTTTATTGCGTAGTAAAAAGTTGAAAAAATAAATTGTTCAGATCATAGAGAATATGAGGGGTTCAATCATAAATGACGTATTCTTATCTTGAATATTTAACGTTTCAAAAAATATTTCAAAACTTAAAATTTAATTCACTGCATAGTTTTATACCCTTTTAAAAATTTTAAAATATTTTTTGACTGTATAATTTCCATTTACGAAGCACCCTTCAAGATTCATGATAAATAAATCCATAAATGTATCGTTAAGTCACAAAGAAAATTGCATAATAATTTATTACCTGAGAGAAATTCATTTTCTTGCTGAGACGTCGACGAGTTGCAGACTTCTTTTCCTCTTCATCATCCGAATCACGCTGATTTATAATATCAAGTTCAAATTCATCTTCTACGTCTTCAAACATATAGTAGTCTCCCGACCGTATAGCTGTTAAGTAGGAAGAAATGAAAAAAATTTGTTTTAATTTCTGTTTTGAAAAGTTTTTCTTGGAACTGGAAATAATGATTTAATATCTTCTTATTAGAAATAAATGTGCTGAGAAGTTTTCTTGGATGTGCAATGACATTAGAGGAGGAAATATTCAATAAATAATATAAATAATAATCATAATAATGTGAATGAGAAGAGAATTTTTAATAAATGTGTAGAAAAAGGACGAAAAATTTCACCATAACGACCCAACTGAGTGGATATATCGACAACTTAAGAAAACAATAGCGTTTGGGGGATCAAGTAAATTATTGGAGGACAAAACAGATCGTTCTATGAATGGTTGTGTTCCATGTCAGTTTCAATACACTGAGAGAAATTTTTTGTGTATAGACAGTAAATAGGGTTTTGAAGATCAAGATATCTTAGTGTAAAAATATCACCTGAATCAGAACTATTCCTGTTCAAGAACTCAGAATCTTTTGTCATCATATAACCATGTGACATGTGACATGCAACATATCAAATCAGTAGCGTGTCGAGAGCCTCTGTTTTGGATGTGAATGATGGATGTCACATGGTAGTATGACACATGTTGCACTGTCACATAAGCTCTGAACTCAGAACCCGGCGTTACTAGCTTTTTTAAGCAAATTTTTGAAAATTAATTTGTGGGTTGAACAAAAATCTACAAAGAACTTCAAATCTTCTAAAATTCTATTCTCACTAGGTTGCCTATCCCAAAAAATTTCTCAAATTGTATAAAATCACAAGACATGTGTGGGGTTTTGGGGGTACAGAAGACAAAAAGTAAATAAAGGTTTATTATTCTAACAAATATTTGATGTTAAATGTGTATGATACAGACATAGAGAAATAGAAAATAAAATTTGAAATAAATTTGTGATCGAACGAACGAACGAACGCAAACACCAAAAGCGTCTTGATGGATGAAGGAAGTAAGTTTTCTATTCTAACAAACACTTTTTGTCACAATGAATGTGAACCACCAAAAAAGAACTCCAAAGAACATGATGATGCTCTGACACCCAGAAAACATCACGACTTTTTATCGTGCTTAAAGCTGTGGATACATAAAGATTTTGTTTATATTTAAATGAGTAGTCTTGTAGAGGAATTAGTAAGTTTGTGAATTTGTTTTGTACTTTTTAATACCAAATCTACCAAAATTATATATATTTATGAAGAAACAGCTTGATTAGTTGAAATAAGAGAATTAATACATGAAATTATGAACAAAAAGTGTTTCAAAAGTTGAAAAAATTCAAAACTTTACCACGTCTGGCAAAACTTTCTCTCGAAAATCGATGACTTCCATCTAGAAAATATAGTTTATTGGATTACACAAAATAATGATTTATAAAAATTAAGTAAAAATCATGAAGAGATATCTTTTTAATCACAAAAGAATGAAATATGTCCTGTGAGTGTAGAAAGGTGCGGGATTCTGTGGCACTTGAGGATCAAAAATAAAACGATAATAAAAAAATAATTGTTTTTTCACTTTATTCATTTTAAAAAAAATCTTATTTACAATATTTTTGGTTCATTTCCATAGGTTTTATTCAAGTCTTGTTGCTCCTCTTACCTACTTTGTACGTTTCAGATTGCTACATCGCAAAATGAGTTTATAAAATGTTTCAATAATTCAATTTTTGTTGATATTATTTACATTAAAATGTGTTTTTCTTTTGTTTCGTGTTGGAACTGAAAAATGTGATGAAAAGCGTGTGTGGAAAATGGAAAATTTTTCTTTGTTCTCTAAAATAATAAAGAATCAAAAAGAAAAAGAAATTTTTTCAGAAGCAATAATCAAATATTTACAACGTAGACTTAAGGGATTATAAAGCAGCAAATTGAAAAGCAATAGACATCAATCAGAATTAGTCCGATTATTATTTACATAGCAGCGTAAACGCCTTTTAGATTATTAGAAATTTTTAAGCACAACAAGTGAAGGATCATTCAATTATGATGTCCAATATAAATAAGAAAGGTTCTTCATTTACATTTTTTAACCCCTAGCTAGACATCATTCATGAACGACCCAACAAAAGCTATCGCATGCCAATTGAGAATTAAAGACCAATTAATTACATTCGTGATGAGATACAGGCGATCGTGAGGAAGCAGAACGAACGGAATCGCGAAAACCAGCTTCTCCCACTGGTCCCCAACTATATTGTCGTCTTCTGGATGCTCTAGTTGTTGTCAATGGCTCATCATCATCAATATTCCATGTAGTGACGAAACTTGATCTGCGTCTTGATGATGGATCTAATGTTAATTCATCTGGCGCAATAGAAGTGCTATAACTAAATTTACGTCGAGGAGACTTTGCTCGTGGTGATGCAAATGACTTTTCATCCTCGTCTGCCTCCTTGCAATATACAGAAATTAAACAGTTTTAGAACATCCATAAATGTTATTCATTATTATGTCAAGTTTATTACTTGTGGTGCTAAATCCGTGCTTGTAACTGTTGACATTCTTCGCGGTCTTGGACTTACTGTTAATTCATTAGGATTTGGCCATGAGACTGTATTTAAACTAGACAATCGTCTATGTCTCCTTTGTGATCCAGTACTACCTAATGGACTTCCGCTTGTCATTTGACCACTGAGATTTGGTGGAACTAACATATTCTGATCAATTTCTCGTGAATCTCGATCCTGACAATCAACAAATTTTATCAGATTTAAAGGAATATAGAACAAAATAATTTCAAAAAGACTTTACATCAAATGGAGGTGGAGAAAAGACTGGAAAAGTTTCGTCGGGACTCGAGATTCTTGGCAATATTTCGTAGTCGATTGGCGAGCCATATGAGATTTTTGTTGGATCTAAATAAGCATCAAGTGAAATTGTCATTACTGCTGAACTTGGTGAGGGTGCTTGAGTTGTACCAATGAAAGATTCACCTCGTGAAACTGAAATTCCAGGCAAATCAGTTGGAATTTCCGATAATCCTTCTCCTTCTACAAACATCGATTCTGCTACATCATCTACTTCTTCATCGTCGTCATCATCATCGTCCTCAACAGGTGTGTGATATCCAATTGCTGATGATAAACTTTGTGTCCTTGCGAGCGGCGCAGAGCCGTCTATTAAATTTGTTTATTGTTATTTTATTTATTGATGGATATAAACCTTAGTTTAAATTCTTTTCAGACTGATCGTGGGTACTCACTTTATGTCCGGAATCAAAAAATTATTGTCAAGTATTCTTGACTTCAAAAATCAAAATGATTCACTTTTATCACAAAATAATTTTCGGGTTAAAAAATAATAAACGCGGAACCAAAGATTTAATAAATAATATAATTGCTGTATTTTTACCTGCCGCATGAGTTTTAGGCTCATTCTCCTCCAATACACGCTGCTGTGTCGCTTTAATTCTGTCCATCTTCATCTTTATTTTCTGTAAGATTTGTGCTTCTCGGTCAGCTTCTAATCCCATTTCCTTCTTCCTTAATTCTTCAATCAGCTCGTTTCCTCTTGATGCTAGAATTAAGCTTGCTTTTGCCTCATTAATTACATGACAGAAATAATGACTTGAGAACATTCGTCTTTGAAGGATTAGAAATGCGAAACAAACACCGTCCCAGAATAATCCACCATCCTCTAATGGTACTTTGCAGTTATCTGGTAATTGTAAATCATCTATGCTATCTCCGCTAGAATATTTTGTTCTGCATATGCAAGTGACGCCGAATAGCTTAATAGAATAAATTGATAAAAATACTCATATGGGTATTGTGTATGAAGTTAGGAGGAAAGATCTTCAATCGTTTTGAAATCACATGATATATTTCTCACCTGAATAAACGTACATCCACTGTCGGTTAATGATAGTCTTAAAACCAAGCAACCAACCAACTGAATCAATGTTTTGATTGTGACAACGGACACGTTATATGTGATCAGATAATTCCACCATCTATTCGAGTAAGAAATATTTGAAGTTTAAGTACATACATTTAGCAATTAATGACATTTCTTACCTTAAGATGACGTATATCGGACGCAAACTAAGTAGAATCAAACAAGATTAATGAATGTCAAATTTTAATAAATATTAAGAAGCTTACTAAAAATCAGTGCCTTGCCACAGGAATATGAAGCTGCCAATTATATAACCCAACGATAATAGATTCACTCGGCTGGTTCCTGTGAGAAAAACTATCGCTAATGTTGCCCAGAAGAAGATAATGAATATAAATCGTTTGAGAATGTCCAAATAATTTCGAATTTTATCAATAAAGTCATGAGTTGGATTGTCAAATGGAACAACACCAAGTTGATCAATGTCTTGTAGAATAGACTTGTTACTTCCTCCCGGGAAATTAACAACAGAATTATTATAACGCGCTTCAATTCTGAACACAATTAGTTGACGACACATCATAAGCAGTAACACAAAATCAAGCAGCAGAAGCTTAGCACGATCCTTAAATTCTAATGAACTGTCTGGTAAAAATGAAAAGATATTAAAATCTTTAAGCATGTCAACATTCTTCCATGGATACTCGATGCATAATCCAGGGGGTAATCCAATTAATGAGATGTATTGTATTGGAATTGATGCAATTAAAAAGTATGTCGCATAAGTCCAGATTTTGCTTGCATCATTACGGTCCAATTTGTAAAGGAAACATAACCAAATGGCATAAAAGCATGCGACAATATCCATACGATATCCAATGACCATTAAATATCCAATCAAGCATATTTCAACTCCAAATTTATAAAACCCGTAATTAATGAGATATTTTATGAGATGTGGTATATCACGGTCAGCATCAGCTCTTCTTATATGCTTAAATACTACAGTTGGTGTTCGAGGTGGCTTATTTTGTTTAATCCTTCTGATTGTCTGGAAAAGGATCATGAACGAGTGAATTGATACGAGAACGATGTATGCCAAATATGGACGTATGAGATCAGCGAGCTTAAATTCAGGCGTTTCTTTCTTAAATCCAATCCATACTGCATTATTTGTCACTTCCTTTGTTGGATCTGATGCATTTGTGCAATTTGATTCATAATTATTATGTACGATATAATCAACTTGATAAATCATTGTCGAAATAAGCAAGATTGATGAGACAAGTGCACCGATTCTGGTGACTAAAAATTGTGATTCCGTTTTGGCTCGTAATCCAGCAACGCCCAAAATCACAAATGAAAAGTGTAGAAGCTCAACTCCGCGAACAGCTAATAAGAACACACACAACAGCATGATTTTATAAAAATGAATTTCAAGGAACAGCAGAGCAATGTCCAAATAAACGAGGAGTTTCCCAAATAATCTCTTTGCTACTCCTTCAATCTCTTGCCTTGATAACTTTCTAATTTTAATTTCATTCAAAATATCCAAATTTTCATCAGTAGTGTCAATGTCATCATCATCATCGTCAGTCCTAGTTACTGCAAATGTCCCATAAGCAACGGAACTTGTTTTTGAAATATTATCAGATGGACCTTCGGGAATTTCTGACAATTCTAAGAATTTTGTGTGACAATAGTGGAGTTGAATGACTGTAATAATGACAATCATTGTTGGCGTCACTAAGTGTAAAAACAGTTGCTTTGCATCGTAAAGTTCCAGTCCTATATCTCGTTGTCTGTGGATTAATATTTATTATTATGAAAAAATTCTAATTATTTGAGTATGGTTGACTCACAGAGTTTTTGATATGTGCAGGTATTTCTCGAAATATTCAGACGTTTTGTCAAATTGATACGTGTAAACGAGAATTAAAATTATCATAGAATACAGGATAACTAGGAGCCAAAATCCATACATGAACTTCCTCCATACACTAAATGAGAACTGTGGAATGTAAGGAATTTAATTAAGTTTATGTCTCTGCATGGTGATTCTTAAATGTTGGGGTTGTTTAACTGTGATGTCTAATATTTTAGGTTTGCATATCACGTGGTTGTTTCTGACATATCACATCGAGGGATACATTAAATCCACATTTAATTAGACGTCATTTTTGAACGAACCCAAACAAAAGCACAAGAAGAAAAGACACTTGCCTGGAATGTAAGTACGAATATAAGGAATAGTGCCATATAAACTATTCTAAATCCAGTCATTTGTTGGCCACTTATGCCACATACAAATAATGTAATGGACACGACTATAATCCAAAATTTAATTAAAAATGCATTTATAAATTTTGCTGTCTTGGTAATAAATGCAGACTCCTTTTCTGCCTTCTTTTGAATGCCTTCTCTCGCAGTTGCAGCCCCGACAGTTAATTGAAGCGGTGCCACCATATCTGCCAATGCAGTCGTTTGCCTTTCTGCTTGCTTCTCTTGTACCATTTGCCGGAGCGATGATAAAAACATAACAGTGAATATTGATTTCAACATTATTGGACCGATCGGGAAATGAGGATATTTAATGAATCCGATTTGTGGTAAATTTATTCCACTGACTTTCACATTCGCTGGCAATTCATCATCGGTGAGATTCATTCCATAAAGATATGTCGCAAGAAGAAGAAACTCAGCATATGCTACTAAAAATGGACTTGATCTCAACATATTCTTGCGTTGATTTGGTATGATCCAAATTAAATTTGCCCAAATTAGAAGCACAAAGCCAAGCCAAGAATGATAAATGATACTCCATGACTATGAATTAAATATGAATAAGAAATAAGAAATGAGCATAAATTGAATCATGATAGACACAAGAGGTCAATTAAATACTCAGGGATGGAATGAGTTTGCTACTTTTTTCTAATTCAATTGTCATTCTCTTGTACATTCTCTACCCTGATGATTCGTCACTAAATACTCACCATCATCACTACATTTGTGAATATATAGCTATTTTTGTAAATGAATTCGGCTATACTACTAGCTGCTATCGCGATTTGTTCACAGAAACCCGTACTTTGTTCATCCTCCTCATTCTCATCTTTTTCTGTAAGAGTCATTGTGTTGCCTTTAAACAAAGTCAAAAAACAGGCAAAGAGGTGTTGCAAAAATCAAAAAACAAACTTTTTTTGGGGGTTCGTTCACTTATTAATTAGGGTTTTAGGAGGGGGTTTGGGAGGGTTAATATTTTGTAAACAAGAGGAAATGTTGGGTCATTAAAAGTGTAGGGGAGAACCCAAATGTGTCTAATATATTTAAAGGATCGCTCATAAATGATGTATATGTTTTCAAAAATTCAAGGTTTTATTAGACATAATTTATAAACGACCCCCATTAAGGAACAAGGTTTTCAAGCTGATAGGATAGGATGACTAAGCATAAAAGAACCAAAAAACCTCAACCTTTAATGCATGATTATCTTACCGATCTCACTCATAGGAATCGTGTCACTGTCTTTCCGAACTGGCTGATCAGGCTTTGAATCAGCAACTTTTCTCGTTCCACTACGCATCAACTAAAATATGTTTCATAGAAATAACGTGCATGAATGTATCGAGTAAAGATAAAAAGTAGAAAATAGATTGATTATTGGAAGTTCATAGACCTTCCGATAAGTAGAAACCAAAAATCATGTAAGATAACAAACGGAATCGGAAAAAAGATAAGTTTAAGTTGTGCATCTTAAGAGTAAATATTTTCATGGCTTAACATCACGTAAATACAGTTGTGCAAGATAAGAAAAAAAAAGTTAAAACTGTTATTGGACATCGGCGTTAAGCTTCACAGCACTCATTCATGAGAGAGATTAAGAATTAGAGATGCTAATAGTAATTAAGGCGATAAGTTGATGCATAGTTAATACATACAGGCGTTCTTTCATTAGGTTCAGTTTCACGCGTCAGTTCAGGACATTCTTTACGAACATATCCCTAAAATAGCAAAGAATAAAAAACCAAAAAGGCCAAGATAGTAAAATGAAACGTAACGTAAGTAAGTATGCATAAAATAATGACAAATTAATTAAAGAATACACATAAAGCAACACAAATCAAGCAAACTCACAGTTTGGAACTGATCAACAATTCTAATTTCTGTTAGTCACAATAGACATGGACACGGGAAATTAGTGATAAAAATGAAAGAAAGAAGGAAAATTAAAGGAAAGTTAAAAGGAAAAGGAAATAAAGTTTGTGTTAAAAAATTATTCCAAAAGATATGTTCGTTCACATGGATGTCAATGGCCTGAATATCTTTTACTTTTTTGAGCTGTCCAATTTTCATTTTAACTTAAAAAAAATTCAAATTATGATTTTTGAGAATTAAATCATAAATTAATTTTGAGACACCAATAGGCTCGAATAATGACTTGATGTCCTTGAATACATGACAATATTCTCATTGAGTAATAATTAGCATCAAATCTTTAAGCTATCTGAACAACATAAATTTATTGCATCATTAATGAAGAAGTCTTTGATGCCACTTGATGGAATGATGCCAGAAATGCTAGGTTCAAGACTCAGTAGTTTTTTTCAAGCTTATGTTCCAAGAATTGACTTTCATTGACATGGAATTGTCTTGCCTACAACATCTGAACCTTTAATATTTCCAAATTAAACCCTATTAGCATGATCATATTGTCACATAATCTACTGGACATAAGCCATTATTCTCAATGAACCATCTTACTTGTGTTCGAATCTTCACCCTCCGTGCAGCACCTTTCCACTTATCACTTGTAACAAAAGTTTTGCGCAATATGCTTTTTCTTTGCATACGAAATGACACCTGACGTTGAGTCTTACTAACACCACTTTCAAGCTGAGAAAATGGACCAATTGTTTGAGGTTTCGTTTCTTCAGGCTTTTCATAGATTTTTATATATATTTCATGTGAAATGAATTTTTAAGCGATAAATTTTGAGATCAATGATTTTTAATCCAATTTTTTTAAGTATGCAGCAATGAGAATGGCAAGCGATAATTGGAGAAATGGGATAAAAAAATTTCATGTTTGAAATACTCTTGACACAATGGTTAGGAAGATTACAACTGTACAATTTGTTTAGTGATATATTTTTAGCAAGCATTTCAAAGTGACAAATTACCTGTGGCTCGAGTAAAATAATGGACGTTAAAGTCACAACCAAATAACATATGATGAGTGCAATGGGATTCAAATAATGATCCAAATCCAAGTCTTCATTAAAATTAATGACTCTGATGTCGGTTGCATTGTCGCATGATGATGTGTAAATTGCAGGAAAGCCCAGAACTCTAATTAAATTAAAGGTTAAAGAATAGAATTAATTACAGCATTAAGGGAATGACATAGAATAACAAAAGAGTTTCGCACAGCTTTAGTAGGTCATTTATATGCTCAATAATGTTCCAAAAATGTAAACTAACCTCGGTAGAGTCGAGTTTGGCTCTAAAAACTCTTGTGGCCAAGGATTTTGATATCCAAGGAAAGCAATAATGTGTAACATCATAAAACCTATCACAATTCGCAACACGATTGCAAATGCTCTGTAAAGGAACCGAACGGTTAATTAAATAAAGAATATCAGACAATAAATCTCAGCTGACTACCTTTCGAGCTGTTTGTTCATCGCCCACCATGTTGCAGAACCGAGGAAAACTAAATAGTAAATAGCACTTAAAGCTGATGGCTGAAGCGCACCCGTAGCACAAAGAGACAATAAAGATAAGATTTTTCCTGCTTTTACAAGGATTCTCCATTTTTCTAATCCAATTTCATGAACTTCGGGAAGTTGTTGTATCGGTGGTGATGATGGTTGATTATTGGAAGTTCCTTCATTATTAGATTCTGTATTTAAAGCTTGTAAATGAATAGCAGACGAACGTCTTAAAATGATGGTAACTATTATTGATCCAAAGAATGCAATGACTTCTGGTGCCAGCCATTGGATTATTGATAATACATCTAAATCATCGAGCCTTACAAACCCAACATGACGTAACAGAATCTCCAAAAATTCACATTTTGCAATGATATCATTGCCAACAATAGCCAAAAATATTTGAAACCCAATTTGTGCGAGACATAGTAAGACACTAACAGAAATCAGTAATGCCAAATAAATTCCTGTGTGACCTAAATTCCAAAAAATGGATGTCAATAATCTATTATCACATCGTAAAAATAATAATAATAAAATAAAAAATAATCGCCGTAACTTACCCTTTATTGACCGATAGTTTGCGACAGGAATGAATGGCAGATAGAAAAGAAGCAGGAGATATGGCAATGAAATCGCAACGGGCCTTAAAAGGCAACCTTAAATGACGGGGAAAGAAAAGAAGAAAGAATGGAATGAAAATAAAATAGCGGAAATTATCATTTCCTAAATATTATGTGTTATGGTCAAATCACTTCTGGGGCTGTTTATTAATGACGTCAAACAAAAACTGAGATTTTAGAAAATTCTCTCTTTCTTTAGCTTTAGGACTTCTCTATTTATCACCAATTATTTTATGCCCTTAAATGTTAGACCTAATATGTGAACCTCCTCTTGCTTCAAGCGTTTATCGCAAAAGAATTTTTTAAAAAATATTAAATTTAGCACATTGTCAATTTATTCATCGCTCGAGACTCATTGGACATTAAAGCATGCTAGCACAATTATTTATGCATTTCCGCAATCATAACAGCTTCGAGTCACATGTGAAAATGTGGAATCAATAAAAAAAATTCATATGTTAACAAAAAAACATTGGTATATCCATAGTATGGCTTGTGGAAACTTAAAACATTTGCGTGATGGATTTTCTAAACAATTTATCTGCATAGAGCAAAATTAAGTGTAGACTCAATTTATAGCAATTCCAAATCATTAAAGTGTAAACTTTTTCTGGAGGAGGTGCATCTAGAGTGAATTCTTGCTGGTCTATTAATAAACTAGTTTAAAAGTTGGATGTAGAATTGCTTTTAAAGAGTCTAATTTGTAATGTCTGATGGAATTGATCACGTACCACAAAGAATTATTCAGAACTTGGCTGTAAATCAGGATAGATCGATTATTATGTTTTATTCTCATTTCTTTAATCCTAGATCTTGCCTGGATATTAAAGCTCCTTGCAATCACATAATCAGCTTTATTCGCACCAAACCTTCATCAACTTACAGCAAATTCCCTACTCTATAAAAAGTTGCAATTGTCTATAGCCACATAACATTACATGACTACATTTTATGTCCGTTGTTCTTCTAGAGGAAATTTTACCATCATTTTCACCATGACCTATTTTTTCTTTCCCTCAGCACTGCCATTTAAATATCCTCACACTCTTTTTGAAACAATTTTCCTTTTAAAGTCATTGTTCATCCTCAATTATCCATGGCTATCATTCCAGTTAATATGCAGTCATTAATCATAATATTATTGTTGGGTATGAAACATTATTATTGGGCATAATAATCAACAAATAAACTGATAAGAATCAGACACTCATTAACTATTTACAACTGTATATTAAGCAATAACACTCATGTACTGTTCCATGCAATTTTCTAAGTAGTCATAAAATATTCATGAATGATCGAATTGTGGTGACATTGATAATAGCCGCGTATTTAAATTAATTACCAATTGAGGCTTACAAATTGATTATAATTCAATGCATTTTCTCTTTATTTCCGATTGTGTTCACGCAAAGTAAACATGCCGAACAATCGGATGGTACAATAAACAGCGGAAAATATTTTGGATACAAGAGAAATAAAAGGTATAAGGAAGGAGAAAAACGTGGAGAGAGGAAATGAGAAAAAAAAATTTCATTCATAAAATCGAGCCACGCTTGTGTACATAAATGAAATCCACATGATTTTCAGCATTGTTGTTGCTCTTGCTCATTCTCTCTGTACATAAATGAAAAAGAGTGTGGAAACGCATTTTCGTGTTTATGGCCGATTTTCATGAATTTCTCCCTTTTAATAAAAGTTGAAATTACCGAACGGATCATGAACATGTAGCTTAAATAGACATATAAGCATAAACGAATCACGTATGTTAATATGTTTATGAATATTTTAATTTAACAGCTTTGTTCTTATGGTTGAGAGGGATATTTTAATTACAGAATTTGATGGAAACTTTTTTTTGCTAGAAGTTTGCTGATTCACTGTTTAATATGTCAGATTGATATTGTATTTGAACTTCTGAATTGAACAAACAGATAAGAAAGTAGGTGAATAAAATGTTATAAACATTATTTCGTCACATAAGAAATCAACTGGAATATCTTTATTAGTCATATCTAGTCTAATATTTGTTAAAATTTGAGGTTTAAGTATTTTACAGAGATCGAAGCCGATTTTTTCGGCTTAACTCAATTTTTGATTTTTTTGATAAAAAAAAGCCATTTGACACCCATTTCAAGTATTTAAATTGAACTTTACATGCTTTACTATGATTCTGTGTAATATTTTGTCAGCATGTAGCTATAGTGAGCTCTGAATTTCAATTTAGCCGATTCTAAGCCGATTGGCTTAAATTTCGGCTTAACATTCTTTAACTTGAAATTCTGAGCTTCCTATAGCTACATGCTGACAAAATATTACACAGAATCATAGTAAAGCATGTAAAGTTCAATTTAAATACTTAAAATGGGTGTTAAATGGCTTTTTTTTATCAAAAAAATCAAAAATTGAGTTAAGCCGAAAAAATCGGCTTCGATCTCTGTAAAATACTTAAACCTCAAATTTTAACAAATATTAGACTAGATATGACTAATAAAGAGAACTCTGGTATTTTCTTAGTTCGGATAAATGATTCTTTAAGTCGACTCTAGTCTGTAAACTTCGAAGACTCGTAGTGAGTTTCCAAAGGGAACTGTTCATCTTGAAGTAAAATTATTATGAATTTTCGAATCCAGCCATTTCCAAATTTGTTCTTTTTCAGAAGTTTAGATACTTCGACTGCTTAATGTACGAGATCAAGCCATAATTGGGCATTTTGGGCAACGTTGGATTAAGGAACGGATCAGGAACTTGAAGTGTAGCGGGAGAAATAGGAACGAGAGCTACAAGATTACCTTATAATGGAATATTGTCAGAATGGACCTGAAATGTATCACGTCACGCCAACAGAAGATTGAAACGAGAGCCTGAATTTAATCGAAACCTAGATTTGAAGATTAGAAGCTTGATTCTACGTCACCCATAGTGATATGAAATGTATCACTAATCAATGTAAAAAGTAAAACATGTATAAATACTAATTCTTCTGGACGGTAACGTCGACAAATAAATAATAATAATAAAAATAATAATAAAATTTAACCAGTTCCATATGTCCAAAAAAAAACTAAATTCAACCTCACATTCAAAGTTTGAAACAGTTTGTAGCTTCATGAACTATTCATACCCAAAAATATTAGATCAAGGTGAAATGCGTCTAAAATGTTCAATCCACATAAAGAACAATGTACTTTCTTTCATACCCATTATTAGTTCTACATAAATTGACATTCTAATTTAATAAAATAACGCAATATATGGCAAAAGTAAATATTTGTTGCTCAAACTTATCATTTCTATTCATTCTATCAAAGCTTTTAGTTAACATGAATCTGACATAAGTTCTGCCTTTATCGTGTTCTAATTTTAAACAGCGAATAACCATATAGCACATACATTTTAACACATTTGTACAACACTACTAATTATAGTAAGGAATGTCTAGTGGAACATAAAATTTGCATATTTACGCGATTTATAAAAAGCAACGAAGTTCAAGTGTAAGTTTTGTATGCAAATCGAGGAAGAAATTAATTCCAATTTACGAAAAACTGACATGATTATCACTATTACTATACCCATACGAATACTACACTTAATTAATAGTCAGAATTTAAATAAAATTTAATTAAGTAATGATCAACATACGTGGCAGTGACATTTAGTAAATCTGACTAAATAAAATCAAGAGAAGACATAAATTAATTTATAACCGGTATTGTAAATAGCTAAATTGTGAATTGTTTGGATTCTTTTCGGAAATAACACATAAAAGATTCTAGTATGAGCAACAATAGGCGCCTTCATTAAGATTAATTTTAGGTATTAAAATATGACTTACGATTTCACAGGAGCTTTATCGCAAGAAATTAATTTAGACACATTGATAAATGACGTCTAGTAATTATGTGATCAAGAGATTCTAAGATCAGAGCTCTCCTGATAAATGAAATTTGTTTGATAGACGTCATTGACTCAAGACTATAAAATACCCAAAAGTTAATTCTACAGAACCAAATTGTTTTATGGATGCGGATTTCAATTACGAACAATCTCCCTCGTGCATGTAATTAAAAATCCCATGACTAATGCGATAAACTCAGAAAGCAACAAGTCAAAACAATGAGAAATTATTTGTTGATAAGGTTTGTTTAGGTTCGCATCTTGAGTCGGCGTGCATGGGAAGATCACGCTTGTTTCGAACCTTGAATGTTTATTTTAAGCCTTAAGAAGTTGATGATCTGTTTACATTAAAGGTTCACAAAACAATGTTCTGATAGGAAAGCTTTAATTTTCTAGTTAAATCAAGAGTTTTCATGTTTTGAATGACTAGTCACATCTTGATTAAGTTTTATTATAAATGTGCAAGTATAATCTTGAATGATGAAGCACTCTCAGTCATTTTAATTGACATAATTTCTTTTTTAATACACTTCTACTTATTGCATACTGCAGCATAATACAAGCAAAACTGTTTCTACCCTTGTCTATCCCAAATTGTCAGTAGACATTTTGAAAATGAAACATTCATAAATTGAACGATTATTGAACTTCTTAAGCAATTACATCACCATTCAACTACAAAAAGACATTTTTCAAATAAGGAAATCGACTTTTTGTTCTCATCCCACAAATATAAAGTAACTCATAGACTAGCAATTCAAAAAAAAAACCTTTAGCATTTGAAATTTGTTCAAGGAAATTTCACATAGTCACACAAAGTGTTAATTGACTTCATTGCTTATTCATTCAGACTTCTATTGTACTTGATTACAAAATCTTTCTCATAAAATCTGCGCAAAAACAAGAATTTTCCATTACAACTTTAAGGTCAGAGAACTGAATAAAATCAATCTAGTCGCTCACATGTTCTACAAATTTTCAACTCAAATTACATATTTACTATTCTTCTGCTTTCGTATCATTCGCGATGGGCTTGTCTTCTAATTGGTCGAGTCATGCAATTCTTTATTATTTTTCATACTAAGGAACAGCTATAAAAAGAAGTCATTCAGCTAGTTTCATATTTCAAGTGAGTCAAGATCATTTTTGGAAAGATAACAATGTTCTTCACACATTTAATAAAGCTTTCACTTTCACAGTAAGTAAGTAGCCTAACCGTACATGGAAAATGCAAAATATTTGATGATGAAATTTCAGCATGTTGATATACATATTTATGCATTATAATAAAGCCGGTATTGCTCTATATGGCTGATGTATATAAGTGAGAGAAATGAGGTCATGAGTAAACATCAGTAAATAAGTTTGTTTGAGAATTTCGGGGTGGAAGTTGATTTTTGGCAGAGCTTTATTCCTTTCTGTTGAGCATTTTTTTTTGCCGTCAAACTGTTGTTGCAGCATGCGAGGAACTTGTCACATGCATCAAGAAAAATACACGCATCACCTTGCAGGAAATTGATTCCCTTATAAAACCATAAAGCTTTGCCCATTCAATTACTAATATTGCTATATCCTTTTATAAAGGAATCATTCGCAGGAGACATACGAATGTGCTTGCTGACAAACGGAACATTTGTAGCTCCGTTATTCACAAGAATTTACTCCTCGACGTTAATACATTTTTTCGGGTTATATTATGACACATTCTACAACTTCAAACGCACACACGTACTTATGGATATGGATATAAAACATTTTTTTGGGGACAAGTTCATTACAAATTTAAGTTTGGAATAGAATACGTAGAAAAGAAGCACACGATATTTAATTAATGTAATTGAAAATTTTCATGACATAATAGTGAGGTAGGTAAATAGTTTCAATAAACTGTAGCTTCAAAGCATCTCGTCACGTATAACGTAGTCATCGCACATCACCTACGGATAGATTGCTATATATTGACTGCCAACTTTTTTTTATCACTGCACATCACGAAAGTTGATTAAATTAAAAATATTATTTTCAACAAAGATAGACATGCGGGGGAGATTTGTAAGTGATGTCTTACTTTTGTAGATTAGAATTGGAAGGCATGGCCAATCAAATCGTGGACTCCCAGTATAATGGCAATAGAAACTGGCCAAGAGCCAAAAACCCCAATTCTCAAATAAAGACGTCATTTATGAACAATCCCACATCATACCGTGAACCGTGGAGAATCAAATGATCAAAACAGAAAAGGAAGGAGAAGAAACAATCATTATCAAAGCAGGTTCAAGGTCATATTAGCATTTTAGCCGGCAAATTATAGAAAATCAAGTTTTTCATTCATTTCATAAAATATTACGACGTTTCAATTGATTCCACATTCCACATTGACGCGTTTTTGTAGCTTCAGCGATTCATTTTTTTTTTTCAATCAAACAGGAAAGTTGTAAATTTATACAGTAACGATTGAAATAAATTAAAAGAAAGAATGAATACTTACATGTGCTCAGAAGAATCGGAAGAATCAAACGTTGAACAATTAAGCTTACGATGTAATTAGCCATTGATTTACTTTATCTAGAAATAAACAATAGATTATGCATTATTAATCACCACGATCTGTTTAATTACTTTAAAGCTTTAATATAATGAAATCATCCATCACATTCACCAGACATCAGACATCGCAAATAAATAACGAGAATTCAAACAAAAATGACCGAGTTCGAAGCGAAGCCAAAAGAATGCACAGTGGTTTGTTTAAAACTCGAATGGATGAGCAACAACATGCGCGAATATTTACTTGATTCATTCCAACTCATACAAGAATCATTAAACTATTAAAAATAATTTACACAAAAATGTTGAAATATATTTCAATTATCGGGAAGATCTCGAACGAAAAATGGCAAGAGAAGAAGTAGCAAGTAGTAAACATTTGTTGAGCATGTAGAGCCGTGGTTCTTAAGGTTTTGTGGTAACGAAATGTAGCAATAAGATGCAATATCTATGAACATTTTAATGTGCCGCGTGAGCCATAAAGTTTAAGAAGCACTGATTCAAGACAATGATGTATGTGATTATCGCTAATGTGCTAAATGCGATTAAGTATAATTTTCTAATGAATAACAACTCAACAATCCAAAGAATTTAATAAATATTAAAGATCTTGGAATATTTTGCAGTCATCAAATTAACTTTTGACAAATTCAAATATTTTTTTGACACCTCAATAAAGTCAGACAAGTTAGTACAGTCCATGAGCAGACAGATTCATTTGTCAGTCGATCAACAACAAAATGACACAAACGATTACAATTTGCTTGACAAAATCGTGCTAAAAGCATCAAGCATGCGAGAAACGTACACCATAAAAATCATCGATAACATAAGCAGACAGACATTGATAAATCCCTTCATACAATTAAACGACACATGAGAAATTGATGAAAACATTCTTGTGATCCATAAATTCTTACATCAATATTGTCATAATTAAAGCTAATGAAGTTCTGACACTGCACCTACTTTTTTCTTCTCTCAAGTGCAGTTATGAGTAATAGACACAAAAAAATATCATTGTCCAATACGATGACATTCAATTGCGATTGTAGAAAATGAAGTTATGGCATTGTGTACGAGGGTTCGTTCGTCAATAATGGGTAGCTTATTTGGGGGAGCTGTGTAACTCCTCAACACAAAGAAACTGTTTTTTTTTGTAATTAGGGAGGGTCTTAAATTACAGTTCATGATAGACGTCATTTAAGAACGACCCCCACAATAAAAATTAAACGAAAAATTTTGAAGCGAGAAAACAAGCAGTAAAAATTGAGAATGCAAAGCTGATAAAGTCGTGAAAACGATCAATGATCTCACAAAAAGTTACTCAAGAACGCAAAAAAATTGATTTCCGTACCTAAAAACTTTACAAATAAACACAATCCGTACAGGTTTAATAATCACTTGTTGAGATTATAAAGTAAATAAATTATTTTGATTGTATCCAGATGCGAATATTTTTGGTCGTGAATTCGACTTGCAAATGTATTATGCTATTTAAAAAAATGAAACTGTACGTATACACAGGAATAGCGAGAAAACCAGCCATGCAATGTAAAACAGAACTGAAAAATAGTAGCAGTCAGAAAGGCGCGTTGTCATACTCACTGTACTGATAAGATTTTCTCACATTAATGTACAATGAAAAAGCTGTCTTTTTTAAGGAGTGACCGAACCATCACGCAAAATTTTTCATTCACAAAAATAAAAGGAATCGAGCAGCAGTAAGAGAAATGAAAAATCGAATGTTTAATGAGAAGTGAATTTTCATTGTTTTCATAGAGGAAGGAAGGAAAGAGAATTTATGCTTGCCTTCTTTAAATGGCAATCAATTGTTTTATGGAGTGGTTTACTGTCGTTCCTTTATGCTGCCGCTCAGTCATTTGAGGTTTTTTTCTTTGACATTGAATTGTGTACAATGAATTGCTTTAGACCAGAGTTGAAAGAACTGACTGTCACGATTCATTAATTTTATGCAATCTACTGCTGCTCATCTGATTTTGGGATTGTGCTGATGTAATGGAATGTTTGAATTGTCATTTTTTAGACTCACACTCCTCCTTTTCTTAATTCTACACAAGCCTTGTCTAAGTGACTTAATAACAAAACAAAATACTAGGAGATGAGGTGTTGGTCCAAAAATCATAATTTAAGTGATTTACGAACAGTAGTAGGGTTTGGGGAACCTGTTAACAGAAAACAGAAAAACAGCTGTTTTTCGACAAAAATCTGTTAACAGAAAACAGGTCTCAAAAACAGATATGTTTCCTGTTTTCATTTTTACATATAATTTACAGAAAAAAAAATTTCTTAACTTTTTGAAAAACTTAATATAGTTTTCTAGAATTCCAAATTGAAATGTATTTACTATTTTAAATTTTTTTGAATGTTTAATAGGTTTGAAATCATTATCAAATTTATGATTAATCATTACTAATTTTGCATTCGAAATTTTAAATTTGTTGAACCTTTTACTAAAGTTCAAATATAGGGGGAGTATATTATCTTGGAAAAAAATTTGCTGGAACGGATTTTGTTGGAAAATAATTTTTTGGAAGTGAAAAAATTTGGAATGGATTTATTTGGAAGAACATTTTTTTGTAACGGATTTATTTGGAATTGGATTATTTGGAAAATAAATAATTGGAAAAATAAAAATTTGGAACTTATTTTTTTGGAACAGATATTTTTGGAAAATATGATTTGAACCTGAATATTCAACTATTAAATCTTATATGAAACCTCAAGTAAAAATATAAAAAATAAATAATTTTAAAATTTTATTATTATGTTTAAGTATTTTTAAGTATTAAATTTAAAAAGCAAAATTAAGTATGTTTTCAGATTTAGCTTGATGTGTTATTGATATATTAATTTGAATATAAATTGGCCTAATTTTGTCCTAATCCGTGAAAAATAAATGAATTTTAAAACATAATCTTTGAAATTTTTCCTTAAATTTATTGAATGGTGTTTTAATAGATCATTCGTAAAGAATCAATAGTCTTTTATGATCTGTAAAAGATATGTCTTATTTCTTTTTAACTCCACTCATCCAAAGACTTTCCCCGTCACTGACGTATAATTTTTGGAAATTTATATGGTGATTAAATTACTATTTTTGTAAAAAACTCAATAACACATCAAGCTAAATCTGAAAACATACTTAATTTTGCTTTTTAAATTTAATACTTAAAAACACTTAAACATAATAATAAAATTTTAAAATTATTTATTTTTTGAATTTTTACTTGAGGTTTCATATAAGATTTAATAGTTGAATATTCAGGTTCAAATCATATTTTCCAAAAATTTCTGTTCCAAAAAATAATTTCCAAATTTTTATTTTTCCAATTATTTTTCTTCCAAATAATGCAATTCCTTTAAAAATTAAACCTTTTTTCCTTTAAATTAACCTTTTGTTTAGAAAGGTTTTTTTTGAATATTTCAAATAAAATATTAGAGTTTATGGAACTTTTGCAATGTTTCTTAAAAGTATAAATATTTTTTTTGAATTTTTATATTCCATTATATTTTATAGAGTTAATTAACGAAAAATTAAGAAATAATAATGCTTAGCTCTATAATGTATGCTTAACTGCTTATAACCACCAAAAAGTTTTATTATCTTAGAGAAACACTTAGGATAACTCAGTTTATTTTGAATTCTAGAAAAACAGGAAAACAGCTGTTTTTAAAAATCAAAAACCGAAAACAGACTGTTTTTCAAAAACAGCTGTTTTCCACAAACCCTAAACAGTACCACTTCAGTTAATGCGAAATTGTATTATTAAATACAAACGGCGCGGTTCTAATAAAATTGTATTTCCTACTTAAGAAGCTCAAGAGCAACTAATTATATATTATGTATTTCTTTTTTGAGAGAGAATCTACACACATTTATGATCTCTTAAGAGAATAAAAATTGATTGAATCATTTCAGAATAAACAGATTCTTTCATTATAATGTCGACACACAGAGTTTCTGCATATATGCCTCTCATTTTTCGTAATCGTAGTGTTTAATTCGATAATCTTTATGGATTTTATTTTTGTGGACACAAATAAATGTATGGGAAACGTTAGGGAATGGAGCTAGGTAAAATAATATTAAGCATTCCATTGCACAAACAGCTGTCGATTTCCTCTCTGAACTTCAAAATTGATTTTCATAAACACACATTTTGGAGAAAAATACGGAATATATTTTAAAATAATAAGCATATAGGCACCTTTAAAGCTCTCGATTCAATCAATAGAAAATTAAGCAAAAAATATTGTACATTTGCTCTAATTTTTATGGCTAGCATTTCTGTTCGTGTGTTTTTGTTATTTCTTTCTTTTCACTTTTCAATTATTTTAAAAACCTTTCGGCATATATGAATCATGTTAAGCCACGATTCTAAATATAAATCGATCGGAGCTGTATGTTATACGATGATGATAAGGAGTTATTAAAATTTGATATGAGATCATTCGGAGAATATGCATTCATGTACAGGCACAGTGATAATGTCATGAACTCATCGATGCTTGACGATCGTACTTACATTATATCAAGTAAACTCCAAATATAAAATGGCACTTAAATTCCTTCCTGTGAGAGCAAATTAATCCAGCTATTATAATCCAAATGCATCAGTATTTATTTTTATAATTTTCACTTCTTCACTAATTTCTTTCCACTTAATATTATTTTTCTTGCGAAATTCAACTTATTCACTATATTATTCACTTTCTTTCCTTAATATATATGCATTATTCTATTGATTTTTAATTATATTAACCAAATATATTTTCAAAACAAACAATTTGTGCAATTTAATGCATTTTTTGATATTCTTGTGATGTAAAAATAATTGCCGAAGAACTAGAAAACAGGTCTTGACTTATCAGCGGTATATACTCGACTGGATCGTATAGAAAAGTGAATTAAAAGAACCGACTTGAAATTGAAACAATTGCTTTTGTTTACATCAATTTTAATGCCATCTATGATATGGTCTGTAAAATCCAAATATTTCTCAACTGCCAATTAAAGTTTTTGAAAATTTGAACAAAAAAGTGCTATTTTTTAAAAATATTAAATTCTGGCTGATACATCAATTTATTTGGAACTGATTAGCAGAATCATAAATCACAAAGATACAGACTTTTCGGGAAAAATGACAGCTCCAGTTTTATTAAGCCATTTAAAAGGTAAACTTCAATTCATAATTTTAAAACCAACCGTTGCCAATAAAAACGTATTTTTTAACTTTCAGGAAACAGAAATACAGTAACATCCATTGTTTTCAATGATAATGAGCAGTTTGCAGCAGCGTCTCTTGATAAAACAATAGGGATTTATTCACTTAAAAATAAAAACTTGAGATGTCTTCGATTTGAAATGCCATTTGAGGTCTATGATATGGATTGGAGCGTAAAGAATATATTTGCAGCTGTTGGAAATAGCAAGATTGCCAATGTTTGTGAAGCTGTTCTACATAAAGGATATGCTGAACAAATTGTTGCTCATCAAAATTCAATCCGTAGTGTTCATTTTTCGACTTCAGGCAACCGAATAATAACTGGAAGTGACGATAAATGTATAAAAATGTTTAGGCTTTCTCATCGAAATTTCATATCTTCATTTACTGGACACACGAACTGGATTCACTGTGTAAGATTCTCACCAAACAATAAGATGATTGCAAGTTGTGCTGAAGATAAGACAATGAAGGTATTTGATGTTCAAAGTGGACAGCTAATTCATAGCTTTAAGGATGAAAAGGGATTTGGGAATCAACTAGTATGGCACAAGGACAATAATACAATCGCAATAGCACAAGAAAATCATCGTTTAAAAATTTATGACTTGAAGCAACGAAAGCTGATTCAATATTATCGGATCTATGACTGTGCTGTTAATTCTCTAGACTTTCATCCATCTGGATATTTCATGATTACTGGTGATAATAAAGGATCAACTAAAATTCTGGATTTATTAGAAGGAAGAGATATTTATACGATTTATGGTCATCAAGATGCTGTTACTGCTGTTAAATTCAACAAGGATGGTGAATATTTCGTTACAGGATCAAAAGATAAGCATTTAATGGTATTTAAGTCAAATATTGATGCAATTGACTTTAATGACTCGGAAAATTCTATTGAAGAAATCACAAATCCAGATCATATTGATAATAAAGAGAATCAAAAGGACGATAAGAAGTCAATCATTGTTGATTCAAGGAAGTCTGTCCATTACAATTACTTAAATAATGATTCGGTTAATGTCTAATATTATTTTATAATCTCAAATAAAGTTCTTATTTAACAAATGATCAATAAAGTTTAATTCTAGTAGACTTTGACATTTATTCTATTTAAAGTTTAATAATTAATCCGATTTAAAAAGTGAAGAAAAATGACTGAAAATTCATCAAATTTTGTTTCTGCGCCAAGTAGTGTGGAATGGCTGTACAGCAACGATCCAAAAAAGCAATTAATATGCCTGAAATCGATTCGAAAGAAGTTATCGAAAAAAGATCCAGATATTGAAAATATGCTTTATGTTACTTCAAGAGTATTGGAATTGATAATCTCACGAAATGATTCAGAAGGTTTACGCGAATGTACATGGATATTGACTAATATTGCGTCTGGTAAGTCTCAAAAATGACTTCATTTATACCTGACTCATCTTTATTGAAATAAATAAGCTACTTTGATAATAAAGCATTAATTTATTTAAATACAGGATACAGTCTTGGAGTTGATGAAATACTCAAACTGAACGGAACTACAATCCTTAAGAAACTTATCGACAAGACATCAGACAACATTGTAAAGAATCAATGCTTCTGGACATTTTCGAATATAGCATGTGAGGATGAACAATGTCGAGATCATGTGCTTTCTTTGGGAATATTTCATAGTCTAATAACGTTTATAAAGGAGATTTTTGAGGAAAATGACGAAGATATTTTGAAAACTTGTATCTGGACTCTAGCAAACTTCTTCTTGCCAAAGTTTACATCACTACATGACGACTATTGTAAGCTAGGATTAAAAATGTTCATAAAATGTTTCCGACATTCAAACCAGATTCTTAGAAAGGAAGCAGCTTTTGGAATCCTTCACATTATGGAAAATCGTAAATACATCGACAATATTATTGAATCTGGTATTTTAAACGATATCCGCACAGAACTAGAATTTGAAGAAGACACAAAAATGTTGTCTTGCATGATACGAATTGTTGGAAATTTAGCATGGGGAAATGATCAGCAAACTCAGTCTTTAATCGATAATGATTTTATTTACGTCTTTCACAAGCTCTTATACACTGAACATAAAGAATTGTTAAAGGAAGTCATTTGGACCTTGTCAAACATTGCGGCAGGAAATCGAGCACAAGTTAAGGCAATCATGGATGGACAAATTTTCCCAAAACTTATTGGCATGCTTAATGATGAGAACTTTAGGATTCGACGTGAAGCTGTTTGGGTGATCAATAATTCAACTCAAAATGGTAGCAGCGAAGTTGTAAGTTTTGCTTCGTTAATGCTATAAATGATTAGCATTTAACGTCACTCATATGGGCAATTCTTTGGATGAGTGGAATTTGAAAAAAATTAGCTTTCATAATCCAATGTCAATGAGTTTTGTGTCAATAAAATGTTTTCTTTAATTTCATATTACTGTGAAGGAATAATAAGCCAGAACTTTCGTAGATCATTAAGCATAATTAATTCTTTACAAGTAATCTATTGAAATGTTACAACTCACTCAAATTAAGTCAAAAATTGAAAAATATGTTTGAAAATTTTGTATTTTTTCACGGATTAAGACAAAAAAAAAGCTTCTTTATAACTCGATGACACAAGGAAATTTTTCAAAGAATTGAAATATTTCATTAATTACTGACTTAAAGCACACAGAAAAGCAACCTAATTAAAGATTTTTGTCTGTTCTATAACTCAGTAAAAGTTATTCAATGTTAATTTCAATAGTTTTCTCTAATTTTCGATTCTTCGGATGATGAAAATTGAAAATTCCGATTTCTGTCATCGAGTTATTGACAAAAGAATCCAAATAACTTAATTAATACAGCGATTAGAAGTATATGATATCAAAAGGAGTATACATTTTAGATTTTTACATCGATAAGAATCATAAAATCAGTGCCTCTGATGGAAAAAATCAATAAAATTTCGATTTTTCGCTGAAAATTTTCCGAAAGTCATCCAAAGAATTGCCCATATCTGAAATTAAGGTTAATAATGGTTGCGCCCATACGACTACTGTGCATTCATTTTGATGTCATAACAGTATTATTAGCTGCACCTGACCTATACTGTTGCATTCTTACATCATGAAGTCACCTCCTAGGCACAGATTATTAATAAAAATTCTTCCTTATATTTCCAGATCGTCCACCTTGTCAAACTGGAAGTATTAAAATATTTAACGACACTTTTGGATGACGATGATCATGAAATTGTAAAGGCTTGTGTTGATTCTATATTCAATATTTTACAGACTGGAGAAATGTACTTTAAGGATGTCAATTTGTTTGCAATTTTGGTTGACAAGTATGGATCTTTGAAGAAGATTGAGCATCTTCAGTTCCATAAGTCATGGCTTATTGTGGATAAAGTCTTGCGTATTTTAGAATCATTTTACAAGCGAGACGTGAAGGAAGTTCCAAAAATTTAGAGCTTGCTGTTTATATTTTATATGAAAAACATTATTGACATCAAAAATTGATTACTTAATGATCGAGAATTCGATTTGCATATTTTATAAATTACAGTATTATTCTGTCCTAATTATTATTCATATTTGTGACCTGATTTCATTGATAATATATAGTGTCTATCAATATTTTACGCATTTCAAAATGAGTGAAAATTCTGTTATTCATGATCTATTTTTGTGGACATTCCTTTGTAGAAAAAGGTACTGCTGTTCTAATTTTGTCTGCTGTCTGCTCACCGAGTTTGAAAATTTAACGGATAGCAAATATTTGAAAAATCTTAGGGGTGTTAATCAACGTAGTTTTGAATCGGTTATTTTTTCAAATATTTTCTGAGCGTTAAATTTTCAAACATTTTTTGATCGTTAAATTTTCAATAGATGCGTCTTGATAAGGGCAATTCTTTGGATGAGTGGAATTTGAAAAAAATTAGCTTTCATAATCCAATGTCAATGAGTTTTGTGTCAATAAAATGTTTTCTTTAATTTCATATTACTGTGAAGGAATAATAAGCCAGAACTTTCGTAGATCATTAAGCATAATTAATTCTTTACAAGTAATCTATTGAAATGTTACAACTCACTCAAATTAAGTCAAAAATTGAAAAATATGTTTGAAAATTTTGTATTTTTTCACGGATTAAGACAAAAAAAAAGCTTCTTTATAACTCGATGACACAAGGAAATTTTTCAAAGAATTGAAATATTTCATTAATTACTGACTTAAAGCACACAGAAAAGCAACCTAATTAAAGATTTTTGTCTGTTCTATAACTCAGTAAAAGTTATTCAATGTTAATTTCAATAGTTTTCTCTAATTTTCGATTCTTCGGATGATGAAAATTGAAAATTCCGATTTCTGTCATCGAGTTATTGACAAAAGAATCCAAATAACTTAATTAATACAGCGATTAGAAGTATATGATATCAAAAGGAGTATACATTTTAGATTTTTACATCGATAAGAATCATAAAATCAGTGCCTCTGATGGAAAAAATCAATAAAATTTCGATTTTTCGCTGAAAATTTTCCGAAAGTCATCCAAAGAATTGCCCATAAATGCATTGAGTGACCAATGACTGTACAAATTTACATGTGACTTTTTGAATCGCCAAAAACAAAAAACGTGCGAGAGAATCGAGAGAGAAATATTGACCTTGAAACACACCGAGACATTCTCCTTGCACTTTAAAGCATTCTATACATGTTGCACCAAACATAAGATCTTGATAATTAATATTAGCTGACCGCAGATTTAGTTTAGTCGCTATTCAGCTCTCACGGTTGCCTGTAGCAAAAAAAAAATATTCTCTTTCGTCGCAAAAATGTTCAAAATCAGTTTTTTAATTTGGTGCTTTTTAAGTTTTGTGACATCAAACGAGTTAATTTGTAACTTTATACAGCATATTGATGGATATAATTGTGAAATAATTAACTCGTTTAAGGAGAAAGTGACATCCGTTAAAGGAAAGCATTTCTCCAATAAAAATAATACAGACATTGAAGTTCTATTTGCACCATTAAGATCAAACTTATCAAATTTTCCAAGTGAAGCATGTCTGCAATTTGAGAATCTTCTAAAATTCGATATCAACGGACCTTATGTGACTGAACTTTCAAGGCCAATCTTTCATGGATGCAAAAAGATTCAGCAAGTCAACATTATGTATACGAAAATTGAAGAATTTGAAGAAAACTTGTTTTACGACTTAGATACTTTAGAAATATTAACAATCAGTGAAAACTCATTGCAACATCTTCAGAGAGACTTACTTAAGTATAACAAGAACTTAAAGACACTTGATTTATCATACAATAAAATTACATCAATATCCACAATCATTCCGTCATCTGTTAACATCGTCAAGGTCTTTAACAATCCATGCGCCGATCGATCATTTCATCCTAGAGATTTTAACAAAATTCATGAGCAGTGCCCTGACGAGAATAAAAGATTGTCACTTAACTTAACAGATACAATGAATAAGTTCCAAGAACTACACATGCTTATTATGAAAACATCAGCAAAATTAAATGATTTTGGAGACATTTCTGAATCGGCATTAAATGAACTTGATGAACGATTGGATATTGCTGAAAATCACCAAAAGTCATATGTAAATAGGACAAGAGATGACGAAAGAGAATGGATTGAGAAATTTAAAGCAATCGAGGTGCTCAAAAGAGATTTGAAGAATTTGTCGTTAAAGATTGATAAACAAAATGAGGAAATGAGCAATTTTAAGGAACAGCAAACGGTTAATTATGAGAGAGTTATAGATCAAATGGGCAAAGTACAACAACACTTGAATAATTTCTCAGACGACCGGATCAAGTTTGACAAGCTCTTGGAACAAAATGCTTTGGAATCAAGTTTCGATGCCGACAGAAAATTTATTTACATCGGTTTCGCAATCAATGCCTTGATGTTTGCAATGTTTATACTTTTAGCATTCATTAAAATCAACCGTCCAACTAAACGTGATGCTTTTCTGTTGAATCCGTTTGATAGCTAGGGTAAATTGTTGTGAATTACTTACTGGATCTTCTATAAATTGTAAATTCTCTTTTCTAAGTTCACTGGATCTTCGAATCTTAAGTCTGTGTGTGTCTTACATTAATAATTAATTAAATTATCTTAGTGTAGAAGGCTGTCGGGAATGTTCCTTAAAATCTTTAAAATGCCTTATTTTGTATTTACTGGATTTTTTAAAGTTGTTTCTATAAAATCATTTTATATGTTAAAAATTACCGTTCTGTAACTCTGTACTCAATTAACTATAGAAGTCTGAGCACTTGATAAGTAATCTGATGTAGTCTATAATCAATAAACTGGAATAAAAATCATAAAAAGTCAAAGTCAATTTGGTTAATTTTCTTCAAATCTTTCATCTTGTGATGCATTTTAAGTTTTATTTATTCTTTTATTATCATTAAACGACTTCTTTACGTTCACAAATGATCTCTTACTCTGATTTTCTTTCCACTAAACAGAGAAAAAAAAAGTGACAGAAATGTTTAAAGGAGGCGGCTAATAGCTCAAAATCTTTTTACAATCATCCTTTTTCATTTAATTATACTCATTTACAATAGTTTCTATTTTTAAAATTGTTTTACTTTTTTTCTTTTTCTTGTGAAATAACAATTTATTTTATAGATTCATCGGATTTATCTCATTTGCATTAATTTTTGTGATAGTCAAAAAATAAAGAAATTCTTTGCTTTATTATGTTTAAATGAAGGATTTGGATGAGAAGTTGTTTGTGAAAGTTTAATAAAATGTGCTTCATTTTGATTTTGAAGGAAGTTAAATTTTAACGGTCGAAATAGTTTTAAAATTTTGAGAATTTGTAGGGATTTAGACAATGTTGAAGAAATTGTATTGTTTAAAAACTTTCTACAAACAACTTCCAAGCCTCATCCAATCCTTTAATAATCATTTGTTCTATTGAGAATCCCATCAAACGCATTGCAATTTAATGACATCCAAAAGAGAGTTGTTACATCAAATTGCGAAACATAAGATGGACATTAAACACAATTAATTTTATGCTACAAGTTGTTCTCTGAAATACATCATTAAATTGAAGTTTGTCAATAAGGTAATCAGGAATGAAAACCTTAAAGACTGCCACAAAACTTTTTTGTTTTATTTACAAGAAATTGTGAGTTAAAAAGCATGAAAAGTTTGTAGTCACAAAACATAATTTTTTTTGTTTTTATTGAGCGAGCTCCATTTTTCGAGAAACTTCCTTTCCACATTGGAAAGAACCAAAAGATTTTCATCTGTTTCTGTGTGTGTGTGTTTTATATGTAGGATCATTAAGCATGATCGCGCGTCAGGTACACTTAACATTATTTAGCAAAAACCAAAGGAAAATAATATAAAGGAATTAAAATTTAAATATAAATTTGAGTGATTTTAAATTAGAAAAATTATGACAATTTCAATTTTTCCATCATCAACGTTATGTTCCTTAATATTCTTCTTTTTTTTCACTCGCGTTAATCAGTTCTTTTTAAAAGACTGAGGGACAAGAGTTTACAACAAATATATATTAATTAAATTTGAACTTAAAAATTAATTAAACATCATTATTACATTAATTAAATTAATGTTGTTCTCATTCATTCTGGATATTTTTTGGCGCACTTCCCAAACATAATTTTTGAATTTTTTCAGCCGTTAATTTCAAACTTTTTTCAGATGACAATACAGGAAAATTTACCATTTGTAAGTCATTCATGACTACATCTACACTAGTTTCTTTCTTAAATCTCATTTACTTTTACAAAGCCCATCATAATAAAAATTTCCAAGGAATCTTCCCAGTCACTAAAGTTAATTAATTATAAATCTATTAAAACAACTACGTAATAACGGCTGAGGTTCAGTAGATATACATACACATATATATTAATATAAGGTAAAGGTAAGAAAAGAAATTATTAAAAACACTAATCATAATTTTATAATCAACCGTTAAGTGTCCATTGTATTCCTATTCTTTAAATCAACATTAAATATTATTCATCTTCTCAATTTCTAGTTATTGCACGACGATATGGGACTTTGACAAAGCACAAAACAAGACAAGTGTAATCAAACAATATCTTCAGAGAATTCCCAATCATCAAAGGTCGCTAAATCTCAAAAATTATCAAAATCGTCCTCAAAATGATCATTACCAATTTCTTCGTGTCATACACAAGATTCTCTTGGTTCTTCTTCGCACCAGCTCACTTCCATTGGTGTATTATTGTGTTCTTTCCATCTCAAAAGTGCATCTTCAATAGACTCAATTGGCTGTTCATTTCCACTACTTGACGTCGATGACGATGAGCTAATTGATGGGGTTGAAGGACCTGTAGATACTGTTGACGATGCAGATGATGTATTTGAGTGATCTTCATCCTCTTCCTCTTCAGAATTTGATCCACTCCCACTAAACTTAATTTCACCAGCACTTACTTTTGGTCGACGATGTTTTTTAATGATATCTGTACTTAATGCTGCTGTATCGCATGTTATTAATCCACGATTTTCTCTAGATTTCTTAAAATTTGGAGCTGTATCTCGATGAAATGATTCACATTCGTCATTTACGACTACCGGGACACTATCATCGAGAAAAAATCCATTTTTTGATGCTGTAGATTCAAAGTCTTCATCAATAATCAACTCATCGCCAATTGATTCACCAATTGTGACTTTCTTTGGATTCGGTGAGCTTGTTTTCATTGCTAAATTGTGATGTTTCCATGCTGTTTCACTGAGATTCTTAATTACAGCACCATTGCCAGAAATTGATCGAACCATTTGTGGAATAGCTTTAACTCTCGGCTCAATTGCTTTTGATGCACTTACAGATTTTGATCGTAATCGTCCATTAAGAGTTTTAAGTGGCGATGGTTCTGAATGTTGTCGAATGATTGATGTCGCAGATGCTGATTGTTGAATGCTTGAATTATTTTGACATTTTTGTTTCTTTGGAACTGGAGATGGTGAACATTTATCAGATCTAAAAGATCCAGCACGTCGAACCATACGATTTGCCAATACTTCTGGTGTCTCATCATCCATCTCTAAAACCCACGAAACTGAGTCACTTTTCTCAACAACTCCTTTAATTATTGGTGATGCTGGTGGTGAATTTGTAACATCTTCATCCTCTAATGTTGAACTATTGCCTCGTCCACTAATGTCTAATTCACTTGATCGATTACACATAAAGCTTGAACTTTCATGATAACTCTTGGACAGCTCATTAAGAGTCATTGAGTATCTTTCTGCATTCTGTTTTAAACGCCATTGAAGCTCTTCATTATGCAGCGATAAGCGTGAGGATTTCTTTTGAATTAAATCATTTTGCTCTTGAAGTGTCTTCAATTTTTGCAATAGTTCCCTGAAAAATAAATCTTTATTAGTAATCTAGTTCCATAAAATGCTATTAATTAATTTAACTTACTTCTCTTCCTCATTTTTGGCATGCAATTGTACTTGAAGATCCTCAACTCGCGATTCTAATGCAGAACATTTAATTTGAGCAGATATTGCATCATCAGCTGCTCTCTGAAGTTCACAATTTATCTTCCTTAATTCAGAAATTTCATGCTGTTTAAGTTCAAGGACACATCTTAGAGATTCAACTTCATCCTGCAGACTTGTATTGATTGTTCGATTTTGGAATGATTCATTAAAGCAGGAATTTCTAGTGTTTCGTAAAACAGACAATTCGTCTTGTGATAAATTAAGTTTTTCTTCCAATTCTCGCTTTTCTACGTCTGACTGGATCTTTATGTCATCTAGTACTTTTGTGAGTTGATTGATTTTGTCACTAAGGTCCCGTTCCTTCATTGTAGCATGCTGTAACTTTTCACCATACTCTAACTCACTTGAATGTACCTAATTGATGAGAAATTGTAGATTAATTACCCTGATTTTTGATTTAATTATATTTGCAATATTTACCTTATCACGAAGCTCATTTTCTGTAACTGTTAATCGCTGTATTCTCTTCATTAAGTCATTCTCACGGTCCTTGATATTATTAAGTTCTTGATCACGTAAATTAAGCTTTTGCTCAACATCTTTTGAAAGTTTTCTGATTTTCTCTTCATTTGATCGCTTCATTTCAATTATTAGCTTTTCCTTTGACAATTTCTCGTTTTCAAGATCTTCTAATGACTTTTTGGCTTAAATTATATAAATAACACATATGCTTTCGTTAATTAAAATATATTTTAATTGTTAAGTTTTCATAATAAACAAAACAACGTGAAATAAAAATTCAACGACTATAATTGTTTTGAATTGAATTTTGACAAGTTGAGTTAAAATTCAAATTTTTTGAAAACCGTTAAAATTTTAAATTTTTAAAAAATTATTAATCCTCACCTTTAGCCATTTCACAGCGATGAAGCTCTTGAAGTTCCAATTCTCGTTTACTGAAAAAATCTTCACGTTCATGCATTTTCTCTTCTAGACTTTGATACGATGACTTAATTTCGTCTATGTAATCATGTGCTTTGAGAAGTTGCATCTGTGTTTTTTGTTGTGATTTCTTTATGGATGGGCAAGAAAAAGCATCCAGCTGTTGAAATTAAGAGAGAATGAAATTAGTAAAAGAATAGGTTTAATAAAATTTGATGCTTTATGAATGCGAATTAGAGGAGATCACCAACATTTTTCTTCCATAAATCGTTAACCAATTCGGCTATTTTAGGACTCAACTTTGGAGCCATTATTGCAATTTTTTTTTTGGATCCGTTTGACGAATTAAAATAAATTTAAATTGTGATTAAACCACTAAAGATACTGATAATGAAAATTATTAAATAATTTCACTTTTATAAAGTTTTATTTTTATGTATTTTTAAACTTATATCCATTTTTTAGAGCTGTATATGAACCAGCTTATATTTTCTTCGATGTGAACTGTTGAAAGTTTAGCGTAGAACTGAAGATATTCATCATCATATTAAGGCTCATACCCCCAAAAAAATTCGTTATTTCAGGTAGCTCTCCCTGTATCTTTAATTACATTCATGGCATGCTTTAAAATGATCAGAGAAGAGGGAGATGACAATTCAGGTACGAGACTGAGAGAGAATGCATGCAAATGAGAGCATGTCGTGTCCTTCAAGACATAGAAAGATAATATTATCATTTAGCATGCATAGACCCCGAAAAAATAAAGAAGGAGGATTTTTTATCACTATGGGACATATTGTATTTATGGAATGGATCAGTTTATTATTTTTCTGGATTTAAGGGAGGAGATTCTCTTTTTGGTCAGAGCTGAAATGCTTAACTGTTGACTCCTAGACATATAACATTTTAAATTCCTCTCTCCGACCCTGTGAGTGCTCGATACACATTATACTGGATTAAATAAGATCAGCACGAGCTGGAACCGAAAATATAACAAAGATCCTTAATCTACACATGGCGGGAATTTTTGGTCGTGCCTTTCTCCTGATTAACATGAATTTCATGCCATGTTTGCATAAAATTGAGTCAAGCAATGCTAACGACTGGATGTACAGTCAGATTTATGTTAATGACCAAATAGAAAAGAAAAAGTTCAATAAATTTCGGCATGAAATTCAGTTTTTAATAATATCGAGTTTTATTGCTGCTGCTTGTGAGTTATGACACATTGAATTAGAGCGAAAACAAGCTATTCATAAGCAATGTCTATTGGAAAATGTGATTTTTTGTGTCTGTCATGAGAATTGTGGGAATAATGCTATTTAAGCTGATTAATCTCATTCTGATGTTTGTAATTAATCCATCTGTATGAGTTTTAAGTATTGTTCACCTCCCTTGCTGGAACTAGCTTAAAAATCATTTCTGGGTGTTGCTTACGTAACAAAATACGTACGTAAGATTACATAAAATAGAATTTTCAAATATTTTAACCGTTATTTTTTGAATAAATTTTAACCGTTATTTGAATCACATTTAAATAGAGTTACGAATGTCCACATAAAAATCTAGTCGACCCATCCTCATTAAAAAATACCAGACATCACAAGTCAACGACCCCCGAAAAAAACATGCGCCAATTTCTCGTCAGAGACAAAACCTCCTTAATATCCGGCTATCGACATTAGAATGTCTAGACACGACACTCAAGTTCTTAACAAAAGCCACCCAAACAATCATTAAACTCTTGACTCATAAAGACATTAACTGAAGTGGAATTTTACTTAAAGGATGTAACTTGGGATGATTGTTTTTGGAACTCATTATCGTCGCCTACATCCACGACATCTCTTAGAGAATCATAATTTATTGTCAATAATATTTTCAGTTCCAATAGAAACAATTTTAATAAAATTAAAATTTTAAATTTATAGCAAAATCATTGGCAGGAAGTTCAAATTTATTTTTCAGGTAACTCGATATGTTTTTGGCATAGCCAAAAAAACAAGAGAATTAAAAACTGCATGAAATATGGCATTTAAATTTATATGCATGTCATCGAAACAGCATTAAAATGTTTGACAAATCAGCATAAAAATTCCCAGACTCACGCATCTTCTGAGAAACTTTGTGTGGTCTGCATGTGTTTGTGTTGGATGTTCAGGTCTATTTTTTTTTTACTTTCCCATTAAATTGCAGTCTTGCATCATTTGGAAACTTTTTGTTTGTTTTGTCTAGTTCCTTGGAATTGTCATCTTTAGATTTTAATTAAAAGTTTAAATTCGGCAAAACTTTATAAATTAAATCTTTCTAAATTTGATTTCCTGAAGATATTTAATTGATTCGTCAGTGATTCTTATTGGAAGTACTCTAAAGTTTCTTTTTGACAATAACTGAATACAAATTATAAATTAATGATTACTTGACATATCTGTGCTGATTTGATCTCTTACTCGATCAGCGGCTGCTTGGTTCTATGTTAACTGTCTTTTGGGCTATCATAAAGACAACATTTGAGCAATAGCTGATTAAATTAATTGAACGATAAAGATAAATGATTAAATCTTAGCTGTGACTGAATTCAGAGATTGTTTTGAGCAAAAACCAATAAAACAATGCATTTTCGGATGGTAAAGTTTGAAGTCAACAGCTTAGGTTTGACGATCCATAAGAATTTGATAAGGCTAAACCTCATCAGCATGAAGCTTGCTATCTACATGATTATTCATGGTCAACATGTGGTTTGTAAGTTAGTAGATTAAAGGATGAATGCATGACGGATAGCAAAAGTGAGTCAAGTACCTCGACAATCAGATTTCGAAGGTCTCTGACTGAGTAGAACTAAAATATATGAAGCAGTCATGAAGACAATGTCTCAAATCTCATCAGTCTGTATCATCAAAGCACTTAAGATTTTCAAAAAAATATGCAGACTTCATTAAATAACAAAAAAGATAAGGAACAATTTGAGAGACACAGTTTCAATTATCTACCTGAATATGACGAGAAATAAAATTGATAACACCTCAAAAAATTCATTTTACGATTTTTATGATCGCATAGAAGGTGGGAATCTTGCTTGCATCAAGTGAAAAGATGAGGATATGAAAATTTAAGAGCAGATTGATGTTTTAAGATTGAACTGGTTCGTTTCCTGCCAAAATTTGGTAACAAACTCAATAAGGGGTCATTCACTTATGACGTCCAGGGGGGGGGGGGGCAGGAAAAAAAGAACAAAAGAAATTCCTAGAAATCAGTGAACGATCCCTAATGAAAACTCATGTAAACCAAATCAATGAGAATTCAAGGAACAGACAGCAGTATAGACTTATATCAAGCAAATTAGCTTAAAACAACACGTGCGATGCCTGAAAAAGCTATAATAAATTTTGACATCTTACATAAAAGCCAAATGAGACATTTTTATTAAGCCTAAATTGATACTTAATGTTGCGATTAGAGTTATGCAGCATAATGTCACTTAATGTCATCATAAAATTTATTCTTCATACAAATTAAAAATTTTGGTCAGCAATAAAAATAGCACAAAATTTATGTGCATGTCACATTAAAAAATCAGCATAAAAAGTTACAAAGTCTACGCATTTTTAAGGAAAGTTTGTGTATGAGACTGTATGTGTGAGGGGCATAAACTTTATGGCTCAACAGATGTATTCTTATCTCTAAAATATTGCTATAATTACATAACATTTAGAATCCTTTCAATATAGTTCTAGTTCTTGTTTTAACCAGTTCAGTTCAATTAAAAGGTCAAAAAGGATGAATATTATTGGAAGAAATGCAGCAGAAAATCGAAAGAGAGTCTATTGGATTGTTGCAGCATTTGTTTTCATACTTTTCATTAAGTTTGGCAGCAAATACATCAACTTCTACATGCACGAAAAAGAATGTGTTGCTCACTATCTTAAAAAGAACAACTTTTCTCATAAGATCAATAATGTTGAGGCTTACGATGGATCAGAAGATTTATGCATACATTTTGTTCAGCAAAATATCGACAAACATCGAGAGTTTAGATCGGAAAGTTTGACATCTACAAGTTTCTATAACAATCAAGTTGGTTGCATTATGAAGAAGTATGACAATAGTAGCATCAGTCTTGATGGTGTTTACTTAATGTACCTTAACTTATTAGATGAAAATATAAAAGATCTAGCTGATACTGAAGTTGAAAAACACAAAAAATCTAAGGATATAGTATTGAAAATGGAGAAATTGAAGATTGATCTTTTTTATTTTGATTGTCATATGGACGATGATTTGCAAAAAGAATTTAAGAAAATTTTGGATGCTGCAAAATATCCAGAGCAAAATGAAGCTCATGACTATTGTTATGCTAAATATTTGAATTCAAAGAATCTAGTTTATCATGACTTGCAGAAATATCTTCATGTTCCAGAAAACTCAAAATATTTTTGTGACGAGAACTTCATCTTAGAATTGAAAGAAATGGTGGAAGAAATATTCAATTATAAAAAAGGTTTAGCAATTTTCAAATATTACCCAAAGTTTAGAGAATGCTTCATGCAAAAAGCCGAGGATTTACAATTGATTGACAAAATGACTATTACTAGTGTAATGGGAAGATTTGGATTGGACGAAGCCGAAAAATATCTTGAATTTACTAAATTTTCGAAGCTTATTGATGATTTTAAGAAAGGCTTGAGCATCGACTGTCTTAAGAACTATCAATACTCTTAAATTATTAAGGAATGAATACTTGAAGCTGAAAATTAGTTTAAGTACTTAATAGCTATCATGTCTTCATTTCTCACATTCCAAGTTTTTTAAGCTGAAGAAGAATTAATTTCAATTAAGAATAGAATTAGAACAGAAAAGGGACACAAAAGAGCATTAAGATTAGCAGAAAATCAGATCAGAACATAAAAGATTGATACACTTTTGAAACCTTTTGTAAGTCACAAAGAATTTTTAAAATCCAATCCTTAATATACTTCATAAAATGTAGACTTTTATAGCAGCAAAAAAAAAAAAAATTTTCTTTAAAATTCTCAAAAAAAAATTCTTTTTAACACATTAGTATAGAAAAATTGTTTACAGCTCCGTTTTGTTTACTGTGCCTGAGGTTTGTGATATTTTTATGGCTTATTTTGTTTTCAATATGCTGATATTTATTGCTCT